CATCTCGGCCGGCTGGCTTGACGTCCGTCAAGATAATGACTCACGAGTCAAGTCTGTTTAAGGGCGCACTTAGGAGTCCGCCCGAAGTAACCAATCTCATTAGCCGGTAGCGAAGGCGTTTGCTCCCAACCGCTCTGCCTTCTCTAAGTGAGCCTGTCATCAGTTCACTTTGGCACCGAGTCTAAATATTCATCTTAACTAATAAAGATCTTGCTTGACGACATGTCATTAGGCAGCTGGCAGGCCGCCAAGAGTGTGCAAGCAGCCCCTTTGGTTTAATTAGGGGTTTCTCTCGTGCAGACGTCGCTTTTCTGACACGGGTGACAAGAGGAGCACCTCCCAGGTTTTCTCGGAATTAGAAGGAAAGAAGGGAGGGAAGAAAGGAGGGAAGGAGGAACAAAGGGAAAGGAAAGAGGGAGGCAGGAAGAAAGAGGGAGGGAGGGAGGAAAATGAGGAAGGAAGGAAGGAAGGAAGGAAGGAAGGAAAAGAGGATGGGAGAGAGGGAGGAAGGAAGGATTTCATCTACTTCAAGACATCTGAGAGGACTGTCTCCGTCATTCAAAGCATTTGCTAACATGGCACACTGAAGTTCATTGCACCTCCACATCTGTCAAAATTAAAAACATTAAGAGGAACACACTCCAATCTTCAATCCAGTAGACCTTAAGACTCCTTTTAACCACGCTGGAGAAGTGTAAACTCCCAGAATTCCCTGGTGCTAATGCATTCCTTTTGCCGCATATTCTCAATCTGTGTGCCTGCTTACCCTCTTATAATCCCTTTCTCTGCAATCTCTCCACTCTAGGCCATGGGAGAAAAAAATAAAAACGGGCATGGCTGGCTGGGGAATTCTGGGGCTTGAAGTCCACACCTCAACCAAGGTTGAGAAGCGTGGAATAACCGAGCAGGATGCATTTAAGTTTCCCCTTAATCTTGGCCCCGTTTTCTGTCCTTTCCTTTTTTGCAACAGAAAGAAAAGAGAACAACCTTGGGAAGAATTTGTCAACTTTGTTATAGCTTCGAGCAGCTGATGATCTATTTGCATTTGTCGGTAAAGCTGCCAGCCGTTTGCAGCCAGGCCTTCTTTAAATACCAGGCTGCATCCCAGGAGGGTCGAGATTAATATCAGCTCGTCCTTGTGGAAGTCACCGAAAACAAGTAACTGCTGTAAAAGTTAATGAGTAATTTAAACCAGCCTGTCTGGGTGACAGGAAAATCCATCCATCAGTTAAAAGGCCTGGGGTGTGTGTGTGTGTGTTGCACAGCACTTCCAAAGAGGATGCCAGCTGGAGGCAAAAGGCTGTCTGTGGGGCTGATTTGCACCCTTTGGGGAGGGTTAAAGCAGCAAAGGAGATGGGATTTGGGACCCCCCCCTGGATGGGCTGGGGCAGGTTTAGGGCCCAGTGGATGCTCAGATATTCCGTTCTTCCATGCCTTCCTTCCTTCCCTCCCTCTCTCCTATCGTTCTTCCCTTCTTCCTTCCTATCTTCCTTCTCCTTTCTGGTACTTCTCTTCCTCTTTACTTTCTTCCACTCCTTCCTTCCCAATCTCCTTCTTTCCTCTCCTTCCTTCCTGTCCTCTCTTCCCTATACCTTTTCTTTCTTCCTCTACCATTTCTTCTCTTCCTTCCTTTCTTCCATCCTTTTCTTCTCTTCTCCTTCCTTCTTTTCTCTTCTCCATCCTCCAACTAGGCTAATCAAACTTCTCCGTTTTGTCAGTCCTTTAAAGGCTCACATTACCATACTCAACATTTCTTTCCTCCCCCCCCCTTGCTTAATAGCCCTCCACATTTAATACGCCACATTATCACAGCCGAATGAAGGAAAGCGCTTTGATGATGCACCTCCGCCCCGTTGCAATAAAAGCTAGTTTTATTGTCGTGGTCTTTTTCTTGCCTTTATAGACCTTGAATTAAAGAGAGGAGGTAATAAATCTTTCCCCCCACCCAAAGCGTCGGGAGAGTAGAAGAGGTCTCTGCAAAAGCAGGTTTTGTGCACCTTCAGAACAAGCACCCACTGCAAGGGGTAGCATTGATGGGGGACTTGCAAACGTGTCACAAGATAAAACAAGATTTACTGTCTGGGGCGAGAAAGAATATTCCTTTAAGGCAGGGGTTTCCAAACCTGGCAACTTTTAAGACTTGCGGACTTCAACTCCCAGAATTCCTCAGCCAGTTATCTTCCGCAGCCCAGCCCACCTCACAGGGTTGTTGTGCAGCAGAAAAACAAAGTGCATAAATCACTTTTTTCAGTGCCATTGTAACTTCCAACGGTCGTAAATTGAGGACTACCTGTACACTTAATGCGTTAAAATAATAACCTGCCAAGTAGACAAACCAAGGGGCAAACGAAAGGGAGAGAGAGGAATAACACAGTGCTGTGTGCGTATGCGTGTGTTCTTTTGCATACACACACTTTTAATTAAGGGATCCCGGCGACAACCCTGTCCACCAGCCAAGTCCATCGCACTGCTCGAAAACAAAAAAATGGAAAAGCGCGTTCAAAAGCCGCTTTTCTTTTGATCCTGGACTTTCCGCTCTGAAAATTAGCAATTTGCAGGGCCAGGAGGAAAAGCAGAAACGAGGGCTGGAAAGGGAGTTTTAAAAGGTTTTCTTTGCAGCTGACCAAAGAGAATTTTCGGCGCTGCCTTGCTTTAATCATCGGCCAAACTTTGGGACTAATTGGTGAGAGTTTGCAAAATTTTGCGAAGGGTGATTAGCGGACACAAAACCGCGCTCCGGATCCCCACTGCCTTTGCCGGGAGGCTGGTCCGGCTATGAAACGGGACAAATCATTCTTTTAAAGGGTCGGTAGGATATAACATGCGAAATTTTTTTTTTTAACTTAAAAATGCGCAAATTAAGGATAGCAAAAGAACCTCAGTTGTATTCTCGCAAGCCTGCACCAACAATCAAGTGGTGGACAGGAGGCTAGTCCTCATTGTGCCAGACACATCTGCTTTCAATCCAGGTCACTTTCCTTCCTTCCCTTCTCTCCCTTTCCTTTCTCCTTCCCTTTCTTCCTTTTTTCTCCCTTCCTTCTCTTTTCCTTCCTTCCTTCCTTTCTCCCACCCTCTCTCTGGCCTTCATAATCCTCCAATTCTACCTAAAAGATGAAAAGTGACTCTTTTCCACTATGGAGACCTAACCCCTCCTCTCCTTCAAAATAAGGAAGCATAATCCTGGTTAGCTGTGACAGGCCTCACTTCAACTCCCCATTAAACCTGGATACTCCTGGCCAAAAGGCCAAGGCTTCCCGCAACTTGTAAGGATCATTTGCATTTCCAGAATTAAATTTTCTGCAGAGGAATATCAAAGCTGCCTCTTGCTTCCCACTGCTGTGTCGACAGATACTAAGCCTGCAATTAATTCTGCGGTTGAGGTTTTGCATGATCCAGGTTTAATACGTATGGATTTTTTTTTAAAAAAATCACCCTTAAGCCTATTTTTTTTAGCGGTTTCATCTCCAGGTTTCCTTATTTTTTTCGCTACCAACAATCCTTTCTTCATTAACGCCGGCGAGCTCGTTTTGCAGGCTGCTGGCATCTTTATTGAGAAGATGCATTAATCCTGGTCTTTTTTTTTTTTTTTAGAGAGGGGGAACAGATTAGCCCCTTCTGGTTTTGAAACCCGACAGGTTTTCAGGTACATCCCCCCAAAAAAACTCTGTCTGTGTGCGTCTGTGGTTGTGTGCTTCGCTGTTTTTTTTTTTAAAAAAAGACCCTCAAAATTCAGTAAATATTGCAGATATGAACTCGGCGGAGGAAAATAGATTTCCAATTTTAATCCCAGCGAATAAAACCTTAAAAAAAAAACTGCAGAAAAAGCTGCGCCAATTATTCACCGTTCAAATTAAGTTGAGGTTGGAAGGTTTTGAAAAGCTGATCCGTCCTGGTGCAGACAAATTTTTCCAGGTTTTTAACGTGTGTTCCTTTTTTTTTTTTTTGTCTTTTATGGAGTCACCCAAAACGCTTACTTGCTACTTGCACTCCAGAAACTGAATTCAGAGCGGAACCAGCAGGAAAGAAAAAAAAAAACTGAGTTTGTGCTTGAAAACTTGATACCCCTAGAGAAGCCGACGGGTAGAAAAGGCACAAAGGGGCACCCCGAGGATTTGGATTTGAGGGGGTCTTCGCAGACCGTTCGGGGGTATGAGGACGAGAAGGCAGAGGGAAATAAAGGGAATTTAATTTGACAAGGGGTACCGGCCCGATGCCCCATTACTGGTAGGTGACCTTCACACAAAATGTCTCCTCGTTCTTCCCTTCGGCGTCGTTGATATAAATCAGAATTTCCTCCTCACCCGCGTTTTGGCTGGGGGCGAACCTCAAGCCGATGGTGTAGGTCTCCCCTCCGCCCACCTGGAGGGAGAGCATGGAGGGGGATTAAGAAGGCTCAGGATGAAGCTGGTTTGGGGTGCCAACTGGGGCACGGCAAGAGATTGTCTTTTGTGAAGTGGTCACGCTGCTCTGGAGTCACCCAAGTTGGTCAGAGGGAAATGAAGGCGGACACTTGACTCTAAAGGAGGGCGATCCTGGTTAAATATCCGACATCCTTCTCTGCTTGGCCCCTTCTCTCCTTCCTGCCCAGGACAGCTTTGCACTCCCTGGTGCAAACCTGCTCTACAGCTTTGTTTGAGGCTCAGAGATGGCCAAATATGAACAGCATTGGTAGAAAACAGGGTTGCACTATGGGGGTCCCTGGTGCTCTCCGAGCTGGGTGGTTTTCTTGCAGACGTTTCACGACCCAACTAGCTAACGTCATCTGTGCTAGAAGGCAATGTGATTTGTGGAGAGGAGAAGGAAGAAGAGACCTGTGGGGTGCTTGGTAGGCAACGCCATCAGTGCAGTGTGCAGAGCACTGAAGATGTTACCCAACTGGGTAAGGGAACATCTGCATGAAAACAATCATGCACCAAGGACGCTGGGATTGCCTCCCCCCCTTGCCCAGAGGACCCTCCCCAGGGACCCCACCCGGAGCCCTCTGGGAGCACCTCCCTCACCTCAAAGGAGTCCTCCTTAAAATGCAGCAAATCCGGATGGTTGGTGTGCAGGAAATAGGCCCGCCGAGAGGGGTAGGAGTTGCTGTAGGTGATCTTCTTGTTGGAACCTTTCCCTCCCCCGGAAGGCAGCAGGATTTCGAACGCCTGCCGGTGGGAAAAGGACACGGAGGGGCTCAAGTGATCCGTGGCCAACCGCCTGGGCTCTTAGGGATGGAAGGGACCTTGGATTTATGACAGTCGCAGCGTCCCCGGCTCACGTGACACCCCCCCACACACAAGAAATGGGAAACAATTCCTCGTCCTCCCTATTTGAAGGTCCCCCGAGGCTCACCTTGGAGATGAAGGGCTGCCTGCAGGACATGGAGACCAGCCAGGTGGAGACCAGCTGGTGGAACTCAACGTCCACCAAGTTGAGGTAGATGAAGCGGCTGCCGGCGCTCTGTGGCTGCAGTCCGAGGTGCAGGTCCTGGACCCCGTTGGCCGGCAGGACGAAGACCCCGTCCGGTTCCAGCTGGAGGGGGGAGAGGAAGCGGTGTCCCGTCACGCCAAGGTAGGGCGTCTCACCTTTAGGGACAGGTCTGATCGCTTTACAGGCTTGGTCATGTGTAGATGGGGGACTTCAAACCCCAGAATTCACCAGTTCTTCCTTCCTCCCTTCCTTTTCCTTCCTTCCTTCTTCTCTCCCTCTCTCCCTTCTTCCTTCCTTCCTATCATTCCCTCCTTTCCCTATCTTCATTTATTCTCACTCTCTCTCCCTCCCATCCTTCCTTTCTTTCCTTCCTTCCCTTCCCTCTTGACCATTTATCTATCCTTTCTTCCCTCTTTCTTTTACTTCCTTCCTTCCTCCCCATTTCCTTCCTTCCTTCCTTTTCTTCTTCCTCCTCCCTCCCTCCCTCCCTTCCCAAGGCTGAGAAGCTATGCTGGGCTCCCTCCATCACAGGATGCTCTTTGGCCCGCAATAAATGCACCGTTTTTTACGTTTTTTACAACGTAGCCCAGCCCTGTTCAAAGCCGCCCTCCCTGGACAAGGCCTCCACCACAGGAGCCAATTCCCTTTGCCCTTTTCAGACCGGACCTCAAACTTGCCAGCGTTTTCTCTCCCGGACGGGAGGCTAGCCGAGTTTGCCTCTCTCTCACCATCTCCATTTATAATTATGACTAAAAAAATTTCCCCTAACGAAACGATCTGCCTCCAGGTGACCTCATTAATCCGGATGGCGGGCCAGGCGAGCTCTAGGACAGCTTTAATCAAAACGCAATTACCAAGCAGCTTCCCCCGTGATAAATTCTTTGCCGGCTCTCGCACCAGAGGACAGAGGACCGTCCAAAGTCACTGGCAGACTTTGGACGGGGCTTCCATCCCGACCACGTTGAGCGCGACCGCGACATTTCAGCAATCACACGTAAAAATAACAGCAGTCCTCCAATTACAACAGTTCGCTTAGTGACGAGGGCAGCCCCCACGTAGAGCAGGTCGTAGTAATCCAGACGGGGGAGTGGCTGGGAGCGTTTTGCTGAGAAGTCCCGATTGGGTCAACCTCAGGCCCGTTTCCCACCATAAGGACTAGACACTTGAATATGTTGGCGGAGTGACCGCCCAATTTTTCAGCCCCCAGCTAATTGGAGGAGCTTACCTTCATCTCGTGGGGGTGGGAGGTGAAGGCCTTCACCTTACGGAGGGCGTGGGTCCCCCGGAGCACCAAGGAAAGCCGGGTCAGCTGACCCAGGACACAGCTGGCCTCGACCCACTGCAGGCAGTGGAGGTAGAACTGCCAGACCTGGATGGGGGCGGCCAGCCAAGGGTCCCTGTCCAAAGGAAGGAGGAGAAAAGGGCTGTGATTCGCTTAACAGCTGTGGAAGAAAGGTCGTAAAAGAGGGCAAAACCCACTTAGCAACTCTCTTGCTTAGCTCCCTTGCGTTCATAACTCAAGGACTATCTCAAACAATTTCACTTGCTTTAATAATTAAATTTCAATCTCTAACGTTCCTCGCCTTCCTTTTAATTAATGCAGGCAGATGAGCCCAGCTTGATGGCCACAATCTCGATTTTTTTTTGGGCTAACGGCTGATCGGAGGAGTCTGAATCCTTTTAAAGAGGGCGACGCTTACGTATAAATCAACACGAAGAATCTCTGGATTTGGGGACTTGAGCCCGCAGCAACTTTCAGAAAGATGTCCTGGGGTTCTCCAGGTCCCTGGAGGAGAAGATCAAGACCAGGTTTAATTCGGTTCCTTTGGGAATTAAAATTAGGACACGGGATTTTGGGTACAAGTAGGTAGTAGTTGGAGAGATCCACCTTGCTGCATTCACACCATCGGTTCTGAGTCAAAGGGACGGGCTTTGTTCACCTGTGAAGGCCAGGTTAGCCTGTTCTGGACCCTCCCCTTGAACACTTCACTTCCTGCCCTGATCAATCGCACCAACCATACCCACAAAGCTTAGGGTGATCAACCGTACCATCTTCTTGGTCTCACAGATGACGTTGGGGTCACTGCAGCGGACAAACATCTCAAGGTCTCCCCCAGGAACACCTACAGGAGCCCCTGACGAGGAGAAACAGGGGGGTCTCAATAGCTGCTGATCTTTGAGGGCTTCAAATCAAATGTCCCTCTTCCTTTATCGGTGACGGCAACTCCAACGGACTGTGACCCACTCAACTAAAAACCTAACTAATGGGTGGGCTTCAACTCCCAGAATTCCCCGGCCATCAGGTTGATATTGAAGTCTACCCACCTTAAAGCCAGCTGGGGAATTCTGGGAGTTGAAGTCCACCTCTCTTAACGTTGCCAAGGTGGAGAAAAGCATCAAAAAGTCCTCTGGTCTCAATGCAATCGCTCAATTGCTGCTGATCAACTTGCAATGATGGGGCATTACGTATCCTAAACGTTCAGGATAGGGTCAATTTAGCCAGGAGGAGGAGAAGACCTGGGAGCCACCTGGGAGCGTGTGCCACAGAGGCAGGCGGATGGATTTCTTCAGGAAGGTCAGCTCCGGGTGGTAGAAGCGGAAGGTCTGATCCACGGCGTGGGGCTGGGATTCCACGCTGACGGTCAGGATGGCGAGGGGCTTGCCGCTGCCCACCGTGAAGGACACCTGGACGAGAAGAAGACACTCAGAGGAAGAGAAGGACTATCTAGAGAGAGGAAGGAGGAAGAGGAGGAAGAGAAGAAAAAGGAGGAGAGGAAGAGGAGAAGGCAGAGGAGGAGAGGGGATGAAGAAGAAGAGGAAGAATATCCAGGACACCACTTCCCCAAGGTTTTGTCTATGGTGTTCCTGACAGTGTCCAACCCACAAAGGAGGGAACTGCCCATCTCAGCGGGGTCACTAAAAGCTTTTCACCCCATTCAGATGACAGGTGCACCATCCTTCACTTCCTGCATTATTACCTTGATGCGCAGCGTCTCGCTGAACTTTCCGGAAGAGGTGGCCGTGCAGATCTTCTCACCTTCCTTAGAGGTCAGCTCGGGGGGACCTTGCTGGAAGTGGAAGAGATGGCATGGCAGGGGACCGTGAAGGAACCCCTCTCCCCCACCCCCACCCAGCCTTACATCTCCAACAAGGTTTAAAAGACAACAGTTACATGAATGCAGGTAGTCCTTGACTTACAACCATCCATTTAGTGACCGTCTGAAGTTACGACGGCACTGGAAAAAGGGACTTAGGACCAGTTTTCACACTTGAAGTCACCACCTCAGCGGCTGAACGAACAGAGGTAATTCAAGAACTCCCTGTGTGGAAAAAGCGAGGGGTGAGGGTTTCCCTACCTGCATCATGGCTGTCTGCTCCATGGAGAAGGTCTGGTACTTGAAGGGGATGTAGACCGTCTCCTTGGGACGGAGGTAGACCTGAGGGGTGAGGCCATTGTGAAGATGAAACATGTCCTCCTCCAATGGTGTGACCGTTTGGGTCAGTTCTTTAAAGCGCCTCCACTCTCTGACGTCCAAGATGATGCTAGGAGAAGAGCAAGGACCACATTAATGAAGAAAATGGAGATATGGTGGCTTTGGAGAGAGGGCATCTCCAAGGGGTTCCCCGGGTCATCTTCTGAAAATTATAGGTGGCCTCCAGATGTACCTCCAACTTCCACTGTCTCTTGGTTGGAGATCAGGCTGAAGATCAACAATACCTGGAGGACCACCTACTCCAACCAATGTTACTGAACCTGGTTGGCTTGTCCTGGGAACACGGGACAGAGAGTGACAACGCATTGCAGATACCTGTTGAGTTTGGGGGCCCTTCCTTTCCTACCGCTTCCTTCCTCCCCAAAGGAGTCCCACAAGGAAGAGATCAACCTTCTTCTCAATGGGCAGGTGACCTCCTGCTGTTCTCTACCTGAGTTCTGGGTTGTCTATCCTGATGGTCACCGTGTGCTGGACGCTGTAGGGATTCTTCAGGGCGAACTCAAAGAACTCGGCCGTGCCCAACGTGGCGTAGACGGTGTGGTGGGTGGTGATGGCTTGGCAGAGCATGGAGGTGATGCTCTCGGCTTTGATGCGCTCCCGGTACGCCTCGATCAGCTGGAGGTCTCGGGAGTGCTGAACCCGGTCCTCATGGCGCCCCTGGGGGGGGGAAACAAAGATGGCCTCAAGAAACAGTGGGGTGGGAAGTCCTCGGGTTTAATTAGAAGACATTTCTGATTCAAATCAAACGCAGTTTTCTGTTCTGCATCCCAACAGGAAGCATTCTTAAGCTTTCTGTTAAAGCTAGGACTTCCATCTGCCTCCCTCCCCTATGAAGCATAGGAAACTAGGGAGGGTCCCTTGTGAGATACTTCTCAGGCCCCTTTTCCTTCTGCAGACTCAGCTGCCTCTTATCTGTCTGTTGTATTGTCTGCATCCCTTCCTCCTGTTTCCCGAGGTCAACCTCACATCCCGTTCTAACTTCTGGCTGGCTGGTCCTGACTCAACCCCTCAGCAATGGCTTCCTGCTCAATTCGGCTCTGAATCTGACCGCCTCGGACCGCATGCATCCGATCCCCACGTCCCTCACCAAGATGAAGCTGCTTTTCCTCCCAATGTCGCCCTCCTGGGATTCCTTCCTCCGGACTGAAAGCATCCTCTCCAACTTTCGGCGTCGGGTGAGGCCGGCTTCCTGGTTGGCGGGCTGCAAGGCGGTGCTGACTTCCCGCAAGTGGGAAAAAAGGAGAGCGGCCAGCTCGCTGTCCACCTCGGCCAGTTTTTTAGCTTGGCACACGTTTCCGACTGGAAGAGATGCACCAAAGGGTGGCAGTCAAGCCAATCCACCTCAAACTCAGTTAAGGTTTAGTCAATGATGGTTTCCATCAGGCAATGACCGCGGCTAGGTTAAATTCTAAGCCCTAATAGAGTGACTTAGGACCGGTGGCTTGGTGACTGTTTGAAGTCCTTGACTTACGACTGGTGACTTAAGTGACCATTTGAAATTGAGATGGACCTCCCCAGGGCTACATACAACCAAAATTCCAAGTCTGAAGCCACACCCGCATTGTCACGTGACACTCGGTAACTAGCTAACATTTATGGCTGTTCGCAGGGCCTTGGGGTCCCATAATGGTAATTGATGGGGTATTTTTGCCTCGTAAAGTCGAGGACTCTCTGATAGTGCTGGGGAGCAGCCCGAAAGAAAAAAAAATTGCAAATCTTAGATGAAATCACAATTTTGTGCTGTTCAGTTCCAGTTAGGAGTTTTTGATCCAAGGAGGGAAGTTAGATCAGAACCGCTGGCACAGAACGAGAAAATTCAGTGTTATTTGTCGCTTAGCTGCCCTTCAATTGATTCCCCTGGTTCAGGCCGCTCTCCCCCAGCAGTGACAAATTGGCTGAAGTCATTTTTACAACACATACACACACGTACACACACACACACACAGAAGGTGGAAGTGCAAAAACTTCTCTTTTCTATTTTTTTTAATCTTATTCTATTATTATTTCATATACAGGCAGTCTGAACTTTCCTTGAAAAACCTCCAGCGATGGAGCACCCACAGCTTCTGAGCGCAGGCCATTCCACTGATTCATTGTTCCTCAGAACAGAGTCTCCAGTCCTCAGCGAGGAGGCCATTGCAGGCCTCCTTGGGAAAGAAGTGTGGGCACCCATCCAAGGAAGAGAAAATTAAAGAATTGAGACCCTTCCCAACTAAACCTGGGCCTGCAAATCAAGAAAAAACTCAACAAATTTATCTATCTTGTTGACCTTCTGTTTCCCCCCCCTTCCCCCCCCAAATCAAGGGAAACTTACCCCTGTGAGGGTTGATGGAGACCAAACTGCCACCAGGGAAGCCTCTGGCCCCGTCCTGTGAGGAGATGACCCGTCTGCAAGAGGGGGGTAAGGAGTGCGATCTCCGCAGCCCCCGTTCACTCCGGTGGCCTGTAAGAGAAGAGAAGGATGGGTTGTGTGTTGGGGGGTGCATCAGCAGAGCTCCACTCTCCTTATCCTGTTCATGGATGAGAGAAGGGGCTGGAGTAGATCAGAGATGAACTTCCCCTATTTGGGGTGTGGGGAAGAGAAAGGTAAAAAGATATAGAGTTGGAAGGGACCGTAGAGGTCTTCTAGTCCAGCCCATGCTCAAGCAGAACCCTAGACCATTAAGGACAAACGGCTGTCCGGTTTCTTATTGAAGACCTCTAGTGATGGAGCACCCACAGCTTCTGGAGACAAGCCACTCCATCCATCCATCCATCCATCCTTCTGCCTACCCATCCATCTCTCCCACCCTCCGTCATGTATCTTATCTGTCTATCTCAGGATCATAGTATCCTGAGGCTGGAAGGAACCTTGGAGGTCTTCTGATCCTACCACGTCCACCCTTGGACTTCAGGTTCTCCAATGACAGAGCCCCATCCCTCCAGAAAGCTGTTCCAGTGCTTAATAGCTGAGGACAATCCTCCTTATTTCAAGGCTGGCTGTGTCTTGGTAGACCTTCAGACCACTGGTCCTTGTCTTATCCTTGGGGGCTATGAATGAATCCGATCTTCTTCCCCTTGAGACCTCTTCATGGATTGGAAGACCACTGTCAGGTCTTCCCTTAGCATTCTCTTCTTTAGGCGGAACACATCCAAGTTCTTCCAAGATGACCTTCATCATCTCTGTCGCTTTTCTCTGTGGTCTTTAGGTCAAAGAGAGCCGAGACATCACCCCAGTCCCTAAGACCATACAACGGAGGAAGCTTATCCAAGGGCCTCACAATTGCATCACGTTGGCATGTCACTCATTCCAGATCTTCATACATGGAACAGGAGAGCGATGGTAGAAACCAAAACACCTTCTCTTCGCACAGCCCAAACCTGATCCTGGTCACGCTGGTGGAACGTGAGGAATGGAAACCTCATGAGGTGATCCGTGTCCTGCTCTAAAAACGTCAACCACATCCCACCAATCTCCCAGGCTTGGCAACTGTCGAGCTGGTGACTTTCATGTTCATCATGATCTGAAGGAGATGGATATATATATATTTCACACTCTTGTGGTTTCTCTTGGCCTGTCTCGCTTCTTCTCCTTGGAACAAAAAAAAAAAAATATCTCTGGATGCCTCAGGCGAGCTTCCATTTTGACAAGGAGACGGAGGAAACAAAGACGTCTCCTCTTCATGAATAATGAAGGTGATGGAGCAACCCAGATCTTCATCTCTCCGCCAAGGGGAGGAGGAAGAAGAGGCGAAGAGAGGATGGAAGCTGCTGAGATAGTCGCATCGGCTTCTTTGATCAGAGGAGAGACAATATCAGCATTTAGGGGTGACTGGAAAGCCCTGATGGACTGTCTCCTTGGCGTGAAACAGAACAAAAATGAGTTTCGCATTTATGACTTTTGAGGATTAGAGAGAATAGATCAGAGGAAGAACAGAGCGAGGCTGCAACCGGAGAGGAAGAGCTAAATTTATAATTGTACTTGTAACAAGATCAGAAAACACTTTTTCTTTTGCTTGCACTAGGAGCTTCCACTTTTGATTTCCTTGCTCTGCTTTCCCTCACGTCGCGTTCGTCCTTTATCTCGGTTTTATACAAGAATAAAATTATTAAACTTTGCGCGGAGTTGCACGTATGAAAACTTCTTGCAAGGGTACCTGGAGGGTCTCCGGTTGCCAAAAATCCATGCCCTCAATTTCCTTCCTTCCTTCTTTCCTATCACCTCCCTTCCTTCGTTCTTACCCTTCCCTCCTTCCTTTTCTCCTCCTTCACCCCCTCGCTTCCTTCCTTCCTTCCTCCCTTCCCTTCTTTCCCTCTTTCTTTCTTTCTTTCTTTCTTTCTTTCTTTTTCTTTCCCCCCCCCCCGCTTTGCAGTGGCACTCATCTTTGTGTGCTTCTGACCCCCGAGTGGGGCTCAGCGGGCCCTCTGCCTTTGACTTGGGGGGGGGGGAAACCACCTTGATGCATAATAGGTTTATCCAGTCCTTTCACAGCCCTGATGGCTCTTCTGATCTCCTCCCGAACCTGCAAGCCCAAAAAACTCCCCCCTCCCTCTCCTTCTCCTAAAAGTAAAATAAAATAAGGCTGGTGGCCTTTTCAGAGCAGAGGCAGAGGTATCAAAGGAGACACCTCCGGCGTCTGAGAGGCTTTGATTTGCAGCAGGGAAGGAGAGACGCTCCTTTCCAAAGACAGCCTCTCATCCCCGCCGGGTGCCGGGAAGGCAGCTTAAAAGGTCCGGCTAAGGAGAGCGGGAACCTTCTGGAGCCCCCTTCTCCGGCTTTCGCTCCTCCTCGCAGGCAAGGAAATTCATCTCTACAGGTGTGTGGGGGGGGGGTCCTCCAGAACTGGCCAGCCACCTTGAGCTCCAGAATGATACAAAATGCAGGATAACGGAAGGGACCTTGGAGGTCTTCTAGCCCAACCCCTTCCTAGACTATTCTGGACAAATGTCTGTCCGGTCTCTTCTTGAAAACCTCCAGCGATGGAGCAGCCACAACTTCTGGAGGGAAGCCCATCTGCTGATTAATTGATCTGGGATTATAGAAAAACAGGAGTTGGATGGGACCTTGGAGGTCTTGCAGTTCAACCCCCAGCTCAAGCAGGAGACCCTGGATGGATGGATGGATGGATGGATGGAAGGAAGAAGGGAAAGTGGAAGAAAGGGAGGGAGGGAGGGAGGGAGGACAGAAGAGATGGCACTCACCGATGTTGGCCAGGCGGAGGTGGAGCTGAGCCCTGAGGACCACCTGCACCCCGATGGGCTTGACCCCCCAAGGCCGGAAGCCCTGGCCGCTCAGCAGGCTCACGTCCGGCTTGTACTCCACGGTCAGCACTTCCAACTCGTGGCAGACCTGGACGGCCGGACGGCCTCGGCGGAGCAGGTGCTGCGAAGGGAGCCCAGCTGTGGCCAGTCACGGCTGAATGTGGGGGGCCCGTCTCCCTCTGTCCCCGTTGCCCCCACCCTGGAAATACAGGTAGTCCTCGACTTACAACCACCAGGGAGCCCCAAGTCTCTGTCGCTAGGGGAGAGAGACTGGCTAAGCGGCTTCTGCTCCATTTTACGACCTTTCTTCTGGCCCCCGTTTTTAAGCGAATGACTGCATCCGTTAAGCTGGTCTCACGGTCATTAAGCAAATCCAGCTCCCCCCCCAACTCTGCCAGTCAGAAGGCCGCAAAAGTGGATCGTGTGACCCCCCCCCCCCCGGGGACGCTGCGACCGTCATAAACACGAGCATCTGAATTTGGATCCCGTGACCCCTGGAGACGCCGGGTGAAAAATCGGACGTAACTCGCTTCTTCCAGGGGGTGACCTGCCCCCCGGTCGTAACTGGAGGACCGCTTTGGAAGCCTTTCCTCACCTACCTTCAGCTTGACGGCAGCAGATCCCAGCAGAAGCAGCGAGTCCCCGTCCCAGACGTCGATCTGCAGGGAATGCTGGGCTAGGTAGTGGAGGAACCAGTGCGGCTCTCCTGGCTTGAGGGAGGCCACGTCCACCGCGTACTTCAGGTGGAAGCCAGGGGGCGCTGCGGAGGGAAGGAGCGGGCCCAGTGCGTATAAGAGGGCAAGAAATCTCCCAGAAGCCACCTGGCCTGGCTCACTATCGGGCGGGTCCTCTCCCTATCAGTCTCCCCTGTTGCGTCCCAGCCGTACCGAGATTGGGGCTCCCGTCCGGGTTGATTTGCGCCAGGATGTGGGTCGCTGGCCCACAGGCCTGAGTCTGGACCAGCTGCAGCCGTGGCGTGGTGACCGGGGGGAAGCGGTAAAACTGGAAGGTGAAGTAGATGCTTTGGGGCCAGGTGGCAGGGCTGTCCTGGGCAGGTCTGGTGGAAAGAAAGGAGCGGAAATTCAACTGGCGAAGCCCGAAATCCTAGCACTCAGCAACCTCTTAAGAGTTCCAGAATTCCCCAGCCAGCTATGCTGTTTCCCCCCCCCCCTTACTCCCTAGAATGGAGAGATTGCAAAGAAAGGGATTACAAGAGAGTAAGCAGGCACACACTAGGGATATACATAAAAAGACATCCATTAACGCCTGGGAATTCTGGGAGTTGAAATCCTTAAAAGTGCCAAGGTTGAGAAACACTACACTGGACAAACCCAAGGATCCAAAGTAAAAAAAAAGCAGTTGTAAATTGAGACGCTGCAAAAGCCCGCAAAGGAGTAATTTCACAGTGCTCAGAGGAGGAACCGGAAGGCCTGGCCCACCTGCTCAAGGCCAGGAACTGCAGGTGGATCTCGTGGTCTGGCAGGAGGTCGGCTCCTTCCTGCTGGGGGCTGCAGGGGGTGGGATCGCTGGGATCCAGCATCTCCACCGGCTCCTTGTTGCAATCCAGAAGCTCCGGGAATCCGGCCGTGCGCAGGCGAGCAAGCGAGGCCCGGGTGGGGCCAGTGTTCGGGCTGGGGAAGGAAGGGGATTCTGAATCCTTCTTTCCTTTCCTTCTTCCCTCCCTACCTCTCTCTCTCATTTCTCTTCCTTCCTTCCCACTATGCTTCTTTCCTTCCTTCCTCAATCTCTTTTCTCCTTTCTTTTCATTTTTTCTTCTTTCCTCCTCCCTCCGTCCCTCCCCTTTTCCTTCCTTCTTTCCCTTTTCCTTCCTTCCCTCTTTTTCTGGGGCCTCACCTGCGCCAAGGTGCTCCTCCGAGGGCCAGGATGGGCATGTGGGCCGGCGTGAAGGGCAGCTCCTGCAGCTGGTCCACCAGGGACGAATCCTCAAGTTGGGGGCCGTAGCTCAAGTCGGACTCCAGGTGAGCGATGCCTGCTTGACTCTGCTCCGGCTGGGAGGGGAGGGAAGGAAAAGGGAGGATCCGAACAAGCTAAGCTGGGTTTTCCGTCAAAAAGGAAACCGGGAATTTTGGCTAGTCTTTGATTGCACAGGCCTGTCTGAAGTGGTTACCTCTCCGGCTGGCTGAAGACTGTCCTGGGACGGCTCAGCATCGCTGACCGGCTGCTGCAAAGTCTGGACGGTCCTCTTTATTGGGGACGCCGACAATTCGGACATCGACAACTGCAAGGAGAGGTCACTTGTGAAGCGAGAGAGCGAGCGAGCGGAGGCGAGAATCGGGCGCAGGGAGTCCTCGGCCACCACTGAGCCCCAAGTTTCGGTGGCTAATCGAGGCAGTTATTACGGCTCAATGGTGGTTGTAAATAGAGGACTGGCTGTTAACGGAAAATATTCCTTTGCTCCTTTTTCCTGCAGGGAACTAGACAGAAAGACTTACCCCGGGGCCCTGCGTATAATCCTGAGTAGAAACCAACATCTGGACGGAAGGAGGTGAACCTAGATAAGGACGAAGAGGAAGAACTGTCACCATAATCATAAAACACAGAATCCTATCATCCCAGATCAATTAACCAGTGGAACGGCTCGCCTCCAGAAGCTGTGGGAGCTCCATCCCTGGAGGTCTTCCAGAAGAGACTGGACAGCCCCTTGTCTGGAAAAGTCTAGGGTTTCCTGCTCGGGCAGGGGGTTGGACTAGATGACCTCTGAGGTCCCTTCCGACTCCTGTCATTCTATGTTCTAGGTTTTAGCATCTACTCAACAACCCCATTGGAATCCATCTCTGGTCCATGCCAAAATATTTCCAGAGCAGGAAAGGAGAGAAAAAACGAGAACGGACTGCACTCTAGTGGCTGGAGGAAAAAAAAATCTTGATTTATTTTTTTTTTCCTTTCTCTTTTCCTCCGTCGAGGGAAGGAAAAAAAGAAAAGAAAAAGAGAGAATCGGAGGCGGATCAAATCTAAACTGCAGCTCCGGTCCTTAAGCAGAGAGTCGAGGCAAGTCCTGGGCTTACAACCACAAGGGAGCCCCACATTTATACTGCAGAGGGAGACATATTGTTAAGCCCCACTTTATGACCTCTGGATGACAAGCAGACCTCAACTTATGACCATTTATTCCGCAGCCGTTTGACGTAACCATGGCACTAGAAAAAAGGGACCGATGAGAAGTCACCGGGACCAAAATTCCCATCGCTAAGTGTCGTAACTGTGTTGTAAGTACCCCCCCACACACTGTCTGTCATCACCTTGAACAGTCGTAAGTCCGGGACTGTCTGTTTCTGACCCCCACCGCTGTCCTGAAGGGCCTCCTCAACCTTGGAAGGGGTCTGATGGCCCCCCACATGTTCCCCCAAGAAGGAAGGTGGGATGGAACCCCTCACCGGGCGACTGGACCGATGGCACCCTCGTTCCTCTCTTGACGCCCGGAGGCTTGGCGGCCGTTCCCAGTCGTTCCTCGGAGCTGGTGGAGAACTGAAACGCCAGGATGCCCGATTCGACCTGCTTCACCTGCAGTTTTATTTAATACACATAGATATACATATGTATCTTTCTCACCTGGTTCTAGCTACCTGCACGGCAGTTGTGAAGCCAACCTGGTTTGATTCCCACAATGCTTTGCTGCGTAGATGAATGAAACGCAGGCTTAAATCCCAAGGGTCACCTCGAAAAAGTGGCTTGGGTTCTCCAAAATGAACCTTCTTGAGCTTACACATCGCTGCAGCCCCCCTTCCTGTCTTCTCCGCGTGCTGCCTCAGGACCCATCGTCCCCATCCACCACCACCACCACCGCCGAGATCTGAGATTCAAGAGCCAAGCGGGGAAAGGGTCTCTCACCTCTTCAGAGCTCATGATGTCCGGAGGGGTCTTATAAACCAGGACGTGGTGGGGGTTCAGCTGGGCTCCGCCTCGCAAGGGAAGGACCACGTCCGCGGGATTTGCATCCAGAACAGGCTGCCAAAGGGCCCAGCGGACCGAGTGCATGTAGGCTGCAGCCGTCAAGGAGGTCATTGAGGGTGTCTGAGGGAGAACGGATGGTGACAGATCAGGGAAGAAAGAGAGACAGAGAGAGAGAGAAGGGAAGGAAGGAGGGAGGGAGGAAAGGAAGGAAGGAAAGATGGTGTCTACCATCGCTCAACAGAGATCCTTGAGATACCCTGAACCTGGTGTCCATTGTATCTCAAAGATGTCCTTGAGGTGCCCTCAACCTGGTGTCCCCCAGCTCTCTGGGTAAGACAGTCCCATAATTCCCAAGCAACTGATGATCACTGGAAGAGACCAGCTTCAGAAAAGTATTTGCACATTCACAAAGAAGTCCACTCAATCGACCCTTGAATTACCTGGAAGAAGCAGAAGCAGCAGAAGCAGAAGCAGAAGCAGGAGCAGGAGGAGGAGGAGGAGGAGGAGGAGGAGGAAGAAGAAGAAGAAGAAGAAGAAGAAGAAGAAGAAGAAGAAGAAGAAGAAGAAGAAGAAGAAGAAGAAGAAGAAGAAGAAGAAGAAGAAGAAGAAGAAGAAGAAGAAGAAGAAGAAGAAGAAGAACAACAACACCCAAAGGTCATCTCCTACCTTCCCATCAGGTCCACTTGCAACAGAGAAGACATATTCCAACAGGAAGACCACTCCAAAAGCTGGGTGAGGCACCATCTCAGCCAGGTGGATGCGGCTTCGCAGGATGAGAGCTTGTCCCTCGGCACTGGGGGTGGAAGAAGCAAAGGAAAAGATCACCATGAACGTCCAGCAACTTCTTCTCACCACCTTCAAAGTTGGCTCTGGGCATCTGGGTCTTTATTTTCTCTGGAGACGCAACCATAATACCTGAATTTGACTTCAAGGAATCTTCCAAATCTTCTCCAACTTGGTGTTCTCCACATCCATTGGGACCTCAATCCCCATAACCCACCAGACCAGGATGCTCAAATTACCATGCTGGTCAAGTGAATTATGGATTCCAAAATCTGGTTGGGAAAGGCAACCTAGCTCGAGAGAGGTGATCCCCTCTCAAGGGTCAGCAAGACAATCTTTTGTCATCAGAAGAACGACCCCTGCTCTCACGTCCTCACTACATGCATGGTCATCTTGGGAGCTGGCTTCGTTCCCGTGGTGTCCCCAACGATATTCATGCCTTCCATTCCCCGGTTCTCACCTGCTCTTGAAGGGACTTCCTTGTTTCCGGCGCACGCTGTCGGCGCTTCCCCGAGCTCTATCGGCCTCTGGCAATGCCACGGGGACCACCACCACCACCTGGGGGGGCTGCACGAAGCACAAGCCGTTGTGGACGCCAATGTGTAGCCGGCGCTCCTGGATCATGAGGGAGGTCCCGTCCAGGATCGAATTAGCCTGGATTCGATCACAAGAGAACAATGAACTCACCCCTTGGTACCCCATCCCTAGGAAGGTGGATTATTACAGATAGCCCCCGATTTACGACCATTTGAATTTACGACGGGACTAAAAAGAGGGACTCGTGACCAGTCCTCTCACTGACGACCGTTGCAGCATCCCCATGTCACGCGATCAAAACCTGGGTCCTTGGCAACCGGCCCGTATTTAGAATGGTTGCAGGGTGCCAGAGTTGTGCGATTGCCATTTGTGACCTTCACAAGCAAAGTCCAGGGGGGGAAAGTTGGATTCGCTTAGTGACCACGTGATTCACTTAATAACTGGTGGTTTTACTCGACAACCGTGGCAAAGGAGGTCATGAAATTCGAGGGGCGGGGGGTTGGACTAGATGACCCCCCAAGCTCCCTTCCAACTCTCTCATTCTGTGTTTAGCACAACTCAGTGAACAGTTTCCTGGCTCGGCAAGAGAAATTCCAGCTCTAATTGTGGTTGGGTGTTGAGGAGGACCGAGATTAGATAAGTTTTATTTTATTTATTTATTACTGCCTTGATTTGTGGCCCACCTGGCGGTTCAAATTAAACCCCAGCGGGGACCAAAATGAGGGTTTCTGAGAAATTTCTCAAAACTTGGAAGCAGCTTCTCTCCCCTCTTCCGAAAACGGGTATTTCTGGCAGGCAAGTTCCATTTTGGGCCGATGATGCACCAAGGAGATGCACTGCCCCGTGGGGTGCCGGGTGCTAATTTTACGCCATCTGTCATAAACTAATAAAACTCAAAGCTGCCCCAGAGTGATTGCGGGATATTAAACCGTTTCATCTTCTCCCTCTTTTCTCCTTAAGGTCATTATTGCTTTTCTAAATTACGGGAAGCTCCCGGAGACGACATTAAAACTTAGGATTCGCTCTCTGGCTCCATCCATCTCCAGCCGGGCCCTTCCAAAACAGCTCATTAGCGCTTGCCCCTCGTGGAGGGGGGGGGACCATCAGCATTGTAAACGGGCATCCAGGAGGCTGATAAGAATTTTCCTCTTAGACAGAAGGAAAACAAAGACCGTAAGGCAGCTCCCAGGCTGGCATTCAAACAGAAAAAAGAAAAAGAAAAAAAATGAAACCTTGGATATGGAAAAGATCTGTAGACAAACAAATGAGGGAAAAGGCTGCGGTTGTCCCCATAATAGAACGTCTATTCCTCTGGGAAATCACCCGTTTTTCACCATCGGAGAAAAAAAATTCAAAACCAAAAATATAAAATAAAAAAAATCCCAGTTTGCTAAAATTTGTTTTGGGGTTTTTAAAGAGAATCTGTAATCCTTGTGGACTGAGAACATAATCCAGAACAGTGCTTGACACCCTAAAGTAGCTGCTGGGGATGGCCCACAAGGCCGAGTTCTTCAACCTTAGCAATTTTAAGGCGTTTGGACTTCAACTCCCAGAATCCTCGCTGGCTTCAGCGGGAGGACAACCTAAGACAGTTGTAGCCAAGACTGCCTCAGCGCCTGGTGGAAACATGAGGATGCAAAGAGCTTAAGCCTGGCCCTGATCAACCATGATGGCCCCAATTATAATTACAATCATAGCTATAATTAAATGGGATCTGAGCAAGGACAATTATTGGCGTTCTTGGTTTAGTTAGTAGCTTTTTAACGACAGAAAAAGAGACAGAGAGGAGAGATGATAGATAGATAGATAGATAGATAGATAGATAGATAGATAGATAGATAGATAGATAGATAGACAGACGATATAAACAGGTAGATAGATAAAAATAGATGAGATAGAAGATAGATAGATAGATAGAGATAGAAAATAGAGATAGATAAAAACAGATGATATAAATAGATGATTGAGATAGACAGACAGACAGGGATGAGTGAGAGAGAGAGAGAGAGAGAGAGAGAGAGAGAGAGAGAGAGAGAGAGGGAGGGAGGGAGGGAGAGATAAATAATACGGATAAAGAGACAGAGAAGACAGACAGGCCCACCTGCTCGTTCATCAGCAGGCTCAGGAGCTCCTCCTCAAACCTCTCCAGGGAAGGGTACAGGTGGACAGCCAGCCTGTCCAGGTACCAGGTCTGCGTCTTCATGAGTCGGGGCTTCTGCAAAAAGTCTCCTGCAAAGAGAGGAGACAAGTACAGGGTCAAAGACTGAACTAAACCACGATGGAGTCCCAAGTTTATCTCGCTAAGTGAGACCTTTGTTAAGTGAGTTTTGCCCCATTTCACGACCTTTCTCGCCACGGCCGTTCAGTGAAACACTGCAGTTGTTAAAGTTAGCAACCCTGAATTTTGATCACGTGACCATGAGGATGCGGCAAAGATCGTAGGTGTGGAAAACGGGAGGGAGGGAAAGGGTTATGCATACCTTCAGGTGCTGCTAAGACCCCAGGGACCCTCTCCCCACGGGACACGGGGGTGTTCTCGGGCAGGAGATGGTAAATGACCTCCAAGGGTGGGTGGAGCTGCAGGGTGCACTGCAGGTGGCTGTTTTCCATCACTGTCAGGTACTTGTTCTCTAAAGAAGAAAAAAGGACAGAGGGAAAGAAAGAAGGAAAAGAAGATAGAAAAAGGAAAGAGAACGGAGGGGGGAGGAGAAAGAGGGACGGAAGAAGGGAGGGAGGGAGGATAAGAGAGAGTGGAAAGGAAGGAGGGAGGGAGGACAAAGAGGAAAGGAAGGAAGGAAAGGGACAGAATGTGACGTAATAAATTAAAACTGCATCAGGACAATTCGAATCTATACCAAAACGAAGGAGTAGCTGCAACCAGTGAGAAGAAGGTTGAGTTATCTTGAATCTGAACTCAACAATTAGGAGTTGATTTCCAATAGCCGGTCCCTTTTTCTCCTCTCCTCGCACCCTGAACCAGTTCCCCCCCTCAATTTTCCAACCTTGCAAGGCTGTTTTTCTGAGGATTTCTCAGCTGCAAAGAACACAGGGCCTGGCCTGTGCAAACCACTGGGCGCCCTGCGACTTACTCTCTATGGGCTCCAGGAGCAGTGGGTGCAGGAGAGCGCGGGGGGTCCCCTGATACAAAGCAAGCCTGCAGAGAGAAGGGGAGGATCAGATCAGAGAGAAAAAAGGAGTTTTTGAGAGCTGAGTTGGTGATTGGCCCAAAATCACCCAGCTGTCCTGCCTAAGGTGGCACTAGAACTCACCATCTCCTACTTTCTAGTTCAGCATTTTTATGTTCACCACGAGGTGTGCCCTTCACAGTCCCTGCCAAGGTGTTAATTCCCACCCCATCTGGCAGAAAGGCGCTTGCTTTTAGAGAACCGTCTAGACCAGTGTCCAAGTGACTCCTTGCCACCGATTCCAACCACGTTTCATCCCGAAGCTGACCAACATACCCTTTGCCCGTCGAGTTCCAAATCACCGGCTCGGATTTGCCGTTAAACAACCGGAGGAGCCCGAAGCCACAGCCGAGTTCCTGGGGGGCCATGCCCTGTCCCTTGGCGGTCGCCACGATCTCTAGCACCATCAAGACACCGGGGTGACCCAAAGACGTGTGGAAATACACCGTCTAGGAGGGCAGAGGGGAGAATTTCAGGGACCACAAACTGTGGACCCCCGTGTGCCGAACCCATTTTGAATCCTTAAATGAGAGGCATCAGGCTTGAAGGGGGCTCCCTGGAAAGAGGTTTGGATTGAAAGAAAATGTAATTGAAAATTAAATTAAATTCTTTAAAAAATAAAATGTAAGAGCGCCCAGCTGCAGGGAGGACACTAGGATCATTAGCTAGAGGGCAAGTTCAGCGGGCAGAGAGTTAAAAAGTTCTGGCAGCTTTTTCACCCGATTCCTGGAACAACAGCACCCTCTGCTGCTGGTTCTGAAAGACCAGCTGTTATGGGATGGAGAGCCCACCTTGACCACTGAACTGGGAGGATTATTAGGAAGCAGGCAGAATTTTTTTCCCAATTCTGGAGAAAATTCTTTTTCTTTTTAAGAGTGATATTTTGCAGGGAAGATAATAACCAGTGCAGGGAAGGAAATTTTACTTATTGTATTATGAAATTTATATCCTGCCCACCGGAAGAGGGACACCCTCCATCGCAGAGGACCCAGCCTATGGGACCCACCACAACTCACGAACAGGCCCTTACCTCGTTGAAGACCACAGAGGGTGGCTGCCCTGGGACGGATTTCAGAGGCCTTGGGGTGCTTCTCCAGGTCCTGCCAAAGAACTGGTGGTAGGCCACATCGAAGAGCGAAAGGCGCAGCTGGAAGGCTACCTCCACCATGCTTTCAAGAACTTTCTGTCAAGAGATGGACCAGGGAGGGGAGGGTGAGGGACGGAGAAGCAGAGGGGGCAACATCACAGATCAATAGGAAATATCAAATTATAAAGGAGTAGCTAAAAGAGGAAGGACAGGAATTGCACGGAGTTGATCAAGTCTTGCTTTACACTTGACGGTAGGATTTGGGTTGTCAACTTGATGTCATTCACGTAAGCCCTGAACCTGTGTTTGTCAAGCTTGGTCACTTTGAAAGGGGTGGATTTCAACTCCCAGAATTCCAGACGGAGAGAGGGAGGAAAGGAAGGAAAATGAAAGGGAGGGAAGAAGGGAGAGAGGGAAAGAGGGAGGGAAGGAAACCAGAGGAGAAAGAGAAAGAGGGAGGGAAGTGGCTGGTCAGAGAATTCTGGGTATTGAAGTCCACACACCCCAAACCTCTTAAACCTACAAACCACAGAACAGAGATAATAAAATCACTAGAGACAGCAACTTAAAAGAGGTTAAGGAGATAAGGACTCCTGCCTTGAACGGGGGTTGGACTAGAAGACCTCCAAAGTCCCTTCCAGCTCTATTCTGATTGATCTTACTTGTTTCAAGGCACTCCCGTGCACGCTCTTCAAGACGCACTGAAATGGCACCGATCGCTGGAGTGGCAAATTCGGCCTCCGGACGTTACGGGGAGGCACGGTTAGGCTTTGGCGGAAGATCTTATGCCACTCCCCCATCCTGGGGACCAGGTGTGGTGGCACCTTGTTTCACCTTGGCCTCAGGGCTTCCTGCCTTTAAGCATATAAAAAATAATTGTTTCGTAAGTAGGGAAGAGATCCCTTCATTTCTTAGAGAAAAGAGTAGACTAGAAAATCTGAATCGTTGTCAAGATGGCTGCACACCTCTACATCTGAAGGCTCTAAAGCAGAGTTTTCCCACCTTGGCAGCTCCCAGAATTCCCCAGGCATCCATGCTTCCCCCCCTTCTCATTTCCCCCTTTCCATAGTGGAGAGATTGCAGAGGAAGGGATTAGAAGAGAATAAGCGGGCCACGATGGAAATACACCTCCAAAGGAATGCATTAGCGCCAGGGAATTGAAGTCTGCACTTTTTCAAACTAAGATGGGAAAACATTGATATAGAAGTATAAAAAGTACCAGCTTTCAAGCCAAAAAACTCTCTTAAACATGTACCGAAGGGATGGTATTTGAAGGACAAGGTCTTCCTACACCAGGAGCTGTCGAATTTCAGCTCTTAATTTAGTTGCTTGTTTGACACTAAGCCTTTTTTTTTTTTGCAAGGTCACAATGATTCAGAGATTTCACAGGGAGAGCTGAAGAGAAGCTGACTTCATCAGAAAACACACTCCAGAAAAAAAAAGAATAAAAAGGGCCCCAAAGCAATCTGCAAAAAAACAACAACAAACCAAACCCAAAAGAAATAGCCTTGATTCTTAGTCAATTTTTTGCATTCACACTTTCAGTTTTACGTGGAATGTAATTGGCACGAAACTCTCTCCATGAAATCATACCATTTAATAAATATATTAAACTAATCAGCGGAAGGGCTTCTCCCCAGAAGTTGTGGATGCTCCATCACTGGAGAATCCTTAAGAGATTGGACAGGCACAGATTCGCTTAACAATTGTGGCAAGAAAGGTCATAAAATGGGGCAAAGTTTGCTTAATAAATGTCTCACTCAGGAGCAGAAATTGTGGTTGTTAAATTGAGGAGTACTTGTAGTCTCTTTGTGTCATATCTGTGGGATGCGCAGCTTGAACGTGGCCTATGAAGCTGCAAAATAGAGATTTGCAGATAAAAGTTCCTTGCCGGAAAAAATCAGAAAGTCCTCACCCCTTGACACAATTTGCCATCAAAAAAACAAGATTGCTTCTTTCACCATCTAATCGCTGCCTCTAGGAAACACAATATTTTTTTAAAAAAAAAAAACCCACACTATTAGGAGCTGCAGAAGTGGCAAAACGTCAAATTTTCCTGCTAAGCAGGATGCTAAGCAGCTTAAGGCTACCGAAACCCTGTTTTTTCCTCCCCTTGGAAGCATTAAATCCACATACTTAATGTTCCAAGCCATGCGCTAACACTGGAAAAAGAGAACATATTATGTAATTCGTCCTCCCACTAAGAGCCACGGATATATCGATGCGTTTGCTGATTTCTTTTAACAGCAGCTGCACATTGCCCCAGTACAAAAAAGAACAGCAGAATTAATCAAGCATTTTAACACGCCGCGTAAATAGGCAGGCGACAGCAGCGTGAGGTTAGCCTGAAAAATTGTTATTTTTGTATGCTTTTAGGCTAGTAAAACGCTCTGCTGAGTAAAAACACACAGTACAAAATGTTCTTAGAAGCAAGCTGCTTCTCTCTTTTTTCCTTTCTTATATGGCTGCGAAGGGCACAAATAAAGCACAAATCCAGAATAAAGGAATGGCTATAAAATGCAATTTAACTGAATTTTAGGCCCAAATGTGACGAGCAATTTAGCCAGGAGGGCAGCCAGCTGATTTTAAACTGGCAAATGTCCTGGGGATTTATATGTTGATCTGTCCTACTCAAGCTTCACATGACCTCAAAACCTTGTCTGTTCATTCAAGAGTTAAGTCCGCAAATGTTATGTCTGAAAACACAATCTGTTCACACTACAGGTAAATATAAATAAAAACGTATTTTTTTTAACTCACACGGATACTGAGATACTGTGTATTCTACCAGATACACACACACATACACACACACTCATAAATGCAATACAAAACATATGCATACAATACCTATAAATATATGAAACCTATAATACACGCGTGCAATGTATAATTTATATGCAATAAGCACACATATATGCAATATAAACATGCAATATAAAACATATATGCAATATCTAAACGTGTACATATATACAATAAACACAAAAACAATAGAAAACAAACATATATACATATATATACATGCAATATATAAACGTATACATAGGTAAAGTATGTATACGTGCAATATATAAACACTTAAGGAGATGAACGCATGCACCCTCCCCTAAAACAAAGCTGCCCCCCTTTTCCACCAAGCATTTGGGGTGCCCTCCCCAAAGGTCGCATTTTCCATCTTCCCCTTACACTAAACCACATTGTAACCTGGTTTTAAACCCCACCTTGGTCATTCCCAGGAAAGTTCAGCCTTGGCCAACTTCCTTGGGGACCCCCCCAGCTGAAACCCACGAAGGTCGCCCCCTTTTCCACTCTTATAGCCTTGGCTACCTTCCCCCATAGCCTCACATACTTAAAAGGCCTTTTCTTGACGCCATTTTGGGGGGGGGCTTTCATAAGCACATAATTTCACCCCTTCCACCTCAACAGACCCCCCTCCAACTTTGGGGTCCTGGGAGGGAAGGGGAGGGGAGGAAAAGCACTCTCCACATGCTCAGAGGCACACTTGTCTCTGTCAGTTCTGGGGGGGGTTTCTGAGAGGAAGTGGGCGGAAGGGGTTCTAGGGCCACTGAGACAGCGGAGGGAGGGCAGGAAGGCCCCCAACTCCCGCCGGCCAATCAGCGCGCTCTCCCAAAGCCTCCCGAGGTCGGGGCTGGCGGCAGCCAATCAGCGGACGCCACTCCTTTCCGTCCCCCCAATGGGGAGAGCCGAGAAAAATCTCCCCCATTCTCCTCCCCTCACCTGCCGTTCCCGCGCTCCCCTTCTTTCGGTCGGCGGCCGCCATCTTGGTCGGGGCGTACCACTAGCATCGCGGGGGAGATCACACCAAACCCTCTCCTCTTCAGTTAAAGCCTCTCTGACAAGACAAGCTGTTTGAGCTTCCCTTTGCGCTCCTCCACATTTTTAACGTCCTCTCCTTCCTCACTTTGCCGCCTCTACTCCTCCCCTCCCTCCCGACACGGCTTTTATCTTCCTTCCCCCCCAATTCCGGTAAATGGTTCGACCCAGCAGGCGGGCCGCCATCTCGGAGTTGTAGCAAAGCCGTTGCCAAGGGCGACTCAGAAAGGGGCGTGGCCCGATGCTAAACCAAAGCCCCATGCGCGGGAAAGATGGGGAAGACATGTGGTTGCGTTGCGCTCCCTTTCTGGTCGTGTGAATGCGGGTGTTACCTTCCGAGCGTGTCCATATGAATGTATGCTGCCTCCTCTTTTGGGGAAACCCGGGATGATAGCCACGGCTCCCTTCTTCTACCATGACAACCCTGCAAAGTAGAACAAGGCATGGGATTCTATCGATAGCTACCTTGCAAACAATTTGTGGCTTGGCAATGTTGGGTTAGCCCAGCCAATGGTCCTTTATGCTGTAGATCTTAGTTTAACAGTATTCTAGACCTGTTTTTTTGGAAGTTGGCAATTTTAAGGTGGGCCGACTTCAACTCCCATCAACGCTGGGTGGGGAATTCTAGGAGTTGAAGTCGACCCATCTTAAAGGGGCAGAGATTGAAAAACACAAGTACAGCTAGTCCTCGACTTAGGACCACAACTGAGCCCAAAATTTATGTTGATAAGTGAGAAATTCGTTAAGTGAGTTTTGGCCCGTTTAATGACCTCATTTGTTAAGTGAATCACTACAGTTATTAAATGAGTCACATGGTTGTTAAGTGAATCTGCCTTCCCCCACTGACTTTGCTGGTCATAAGGTTGCAAAAGGGGATCACGTGACCCGGGAGATGCTGCAATGGTCATAAGTATGAAAAATGGTCATAAGTCACTTTTTTCAACATCAAACAGTCACTAAATGATCTGTTATAAGTCAAGAACTGCCTGTATGGAAATCACACCACCAGGAATGGCAGCCCCTAATTTAATAGTCATTGGACTTGCTAACAAGGGCTACTAACCTCGATGCCTGTTTATCATATGGATTAAAGATGGCTTGTTTTTCAAAGCTGGTAAAGAACTGTCCGTAACTGAGCCAAAGATCACGGTTTACACAATCCCAGATGGCCAGAACGCCATCCTGGCTTGCACCTGCCCTCTAGAGGCCAAGTCATGGTTTGCGATGGTTTGGCATGGGTCGCATCCTACTCCACCTTTACAAGCTCCACCAGCCAAGGAGCATCGCGACTTGCAGCAGCCAGGATGCGCCCAAAAGGATGCTGCGCACCTGGGTACCAGCCCGGGGCCAGGGATGCAGGCGACGGCGCTCATTGGCCGCGCTGCCCGCCGGTCAGCGGGAGGCCCACCCCGGCCTGCCAATGGCGGCCGAGGGCGAATTGCATGCGGGCGATTGACGGCGCCGCCGGGCCAATGGGCGGCGCCGGCGGGCGGGCTCTCTTCGCACGAGGGGGAAGATGGTTTTTGATCCCGGCCAGCCGCTCCGCTCCCGCCGCCGCCGCCGCCGCAGGTAGGATCCGGGGACCCGGGGGGGGGTCGTGCATGGGGGTGCTCCTTCCTTAGGGGGTGCAGCTCCTTTGGGGGGGCTGAAAAGGCCTCCAGAAGCGGGGGGATCTCAGGTGAGGAAGGGGTTGCAATGGGGGAGCGATTGCAGCAAGAGGCAACCCCAGGGGGGAGGAGGGGGCTGCAAAACACCCCCTCCTCCCCTTCCTCTGTTTGCAAAGGCTGCAAAGCACCAGAGGTTGGGGTGCCCCCCTCCCCCCTGCTGCATCGCCCGTCGCCACTGCAGCAGCAGCTTGGTGCAGGATGCATGCATGCATGCAGGAAGCAGCTGGCCCTCTCTTCTTTCTCCCCCACCCCACTTTTAGCAGGCGTAGCTGCTTCTTGCAAAAAACAGGAACTGCAAGACCAGGAAGAGGGGGTGCCCTGCAGAGGAGAAACCCCCCCCCCCAACTAGAGAGGCTGAAGTTGGGAGCCTTGGCTGGCCTGCAGTCCATGGCGAGGGGCTGCCAAATGCAGGCAGGGAGGCCTTGCCCCTTTGCCTGCCTGCTGGCGGAAAGGGAGGGGTGGGGAGACCTTCCCCATCAATGCACGGAGGGGGATGTGGGGCTGGTTTCCGGATTTGACAGCCGTGATAGGAAATTGACTAGCCAATGTGAGTCAATTTCCAAATGCTGATTTTGTTGCAAGGAGAGCTGTTTGCGGTGTGGTTGCAGGCTGCAAGGAGGAGGGGGGGTCAGTGGGGACTTCCAAGGCGGATATTGGTGCAAAAAAAGGGGGGGGAGGAAGCTGGGCCGTTCCACCTTCTTGACTGGCTGGTTGTGTGGTTGTGCATTTGGCAATCAGTTGTGTGCTTTGTCCTTCCGTCCAAAGGAAGGGAGGATTAGCACTGGTTGAGGAACGTTGGGGGCCCTTATTGTGCAATCGCACACTTGAGGGATGTGTGCACACACGTGGGCAAGCGAGCCAAATGCCCCCCTTTTCCCCTGCCCCCCCCCTCAATTTTGCTTTTCCTGGTGGAGAAAATGCTGTGTTTTAATAGCAAGAACACTTCTTAGATTAATATTGTCCTAATTCTAGTTGAGGCGGAGACACCCCCATAGTTTGGGGGGGGATCAGATGTTGGACGAGATAAATGTAATGGGATTTGGTGCCCCCCCACCCTCTCCCCCCCACCGTTCTGTGGCTGATCTCATCTCTGGATGTCAATGCAAGTCATACTTGGTCCAGCTCCAGTCCTTTCGCTGCATCTGAACCGTCACCAAATTTTACCAGTTCCGCCAATTCTTCCCAATAATCCTTAAAGTGTTTAACTGCCCGCCCCCCATGGAAAATTAGTAATTTTCGGTCCCTGCCCCAGAGAACTTGTAATCTCCATCCCTCTTGGAGGGAAAGACCCTTTATAAAGGGGTGTGCCGGTCATAATAACTAGGGTTAAAAAAAATGCAATTATCTTCTGTAAAATATATATATATGTATCTCTTCAGCGTGACATTCCCAGCAGAGCAATAGTAACCGCGATGAATAAATTTTCTAAATGAATACTCTGTGGCCAATTAAAAAACCATCCCTGGCTCTTTGCTCTCTATCAGAATTGAATAATAAAAAAATAGAATATTGGAGTGCTTTTTCAAAGGAGAAATTGGTCACTTAACACCTCTGTCAATACCAGTGTAGTCCTTGACTTACGATCGCAGTTTCCGTCGCTGAGCGAGACGTTGGTTAAGCGTGTTTTGCCCCGCTTTACGACTTTTTCTCTTGCCACCATCGTTAAGCCAGCGAATGCAATTCTTAAGTTATCAACACGGCTGGTAAGTGGATTTTGCTTCCTCATTGCCTTCGCGGGCTAGGAGGTCACAAAAGAGGATCGCGTGACTCTGTGACCGTCATAAACACAAGTCAGAGACTTGCGACTCAGATGCAAAATTCTGAGGGCCGGGCTTTCTCAGTGGTCACGTGTCCCTCGTTTGGTTCATATATTTCTTAAATTTCTATACCGCCCATCGTAGTCGTACGGCCGCTTATGATACATTTCAAAAATGCCGAAAAGCTTTCAAAGTCAGAATAAAAGAGAAGGGAGTGAGGGAAAATAGGAAGGAAGGAAGGAAAAAGAGAAAGAAAGATTTGTGCAAATATTGGGCATGAAATGTACTGTTAAAATATTTCTCTTTCTGATCACACATATGTAGATCTATCTAAATGTTTTAAAATTCTCTAATGCAGCCACAGAGGCCTTTTCCACCTTCTACCAAAAAATAAATAAACATCTGCATTTCTGGCCTTTCTTTCTTTCTTTCTTTCTTTCTTTCTTTCTTTCTTTCTTTTTTTCTTCCTCTGCAAAATGCTGAAAACATAAATAGCTCCGCTGATCCCATCGAAATTTTTTTTTTTTTTGGCAGCCTCGACTTGGCGAAGGCCACAGCTGCGACCCAAAAGCTGAATCGCTCAGCGCAAATAATGCAGCTGTGAATGTTTTCTGGGCAGGGAAAAAAAGACAAGAAGGAAAAAAAATAGAGTCCTCGACTTATGACCACTGCGGAGCCCCAGGATTCCTGTTGCTAAGCAAGAAAGTTCTTAAGTGACTTTTGCCCTTGCAGCAAGAAAGGTCGTAAAAGGGGGACAAAGCTTAACCAATGTCTCACTTAGCAACGGAAATTTATCGTCGTAAGGAAGGAAGGAAGGAAAAGAGTCACAAAGGAAGGAAAGAGAAACAAAGAAAGGGAAAGAAAAGAAAAGAGATTTGTGCAAATATTGGGCATAAAGCATACTTTTAAAATATTTCTCTTTCCGATCAGACATATAGATTGATCTAAATAGAACCTTAACCTCTTCTTTTTTAATTGTTTTTTTCTCCTTTTTGCTTTAACTTTCTTCACTTTCCTCTTGTTCCATAGAAAGTCATTTAAAAATAATAATAAAACCCACAAAACTTGACAGTTGGCTCTTGTGACATCCACCTTGCAAAAGGGAAGCTCAGCCAACTTTTGGGTGACCAAAATAGAGTCCTCCACTTACCCAGACAATTGAGGCCAGGGTTTCTGTCGCTGGGCGGGACAGTTAAGGGAGGTTTGCACCATTTTACGACCTTGTCACAGTTGTTAAGTCTGCGATCAATTGATTTATATCCATCTGTCTGTCTTATCCATATCTACCCATCAATTCATACATCCGTCTGATTTATCCATTCTGTCTTATTTATCTATCCATCCATTTATCCATTCTATCCATCCATAATTTGGGGCAGAATCCTGTTATTTTTTAATAGCAATTTGCAATTTTAACTTAGAGGCTAAGAGGTCTGCAGCACCCTCTTGTGGACATCAAGGGTCATGACTGCTTGGAGGCAGTTCTGGATTGCCAATGATTTTACCTATTTGTTTTTTGTTAAATTGATTTGTGAATTGATTTTGCCTGGCAAAATCTGGCATGCATATTCATGGGTTCTTTCTCTCTCTCTCTCTCTCTCTCTCTCTCTCTCTCTTTCTTTCTTTCTTTCTTTCTTTCTTTCTTTCTCTCTCTCTCTCTCTCTTTCTTTCTTTCTTTCTTTCTCTCTCTCTCTCTTTCTTTCTTTCTTTCTTTCTTTCTTTCTTTCTTTCTTTCTTTCCTGCAGTGGGTGCTGAACAAGATTCATCTGGATCCTGGAGGAGCTTGACTCCATGTACCCCGAATCCACCACGGACTCCCCGGCCAGATTCTCCATCCGACAGACTGGATCCCCAGGTATGATTTACAGGTGAGTGTGAGCATTATCCAGCCGTGTGTGTCGTTTGGAAATCGGTCCCGTCCAAGCGTGTTATAAAGAAGTAAATAAAATGCAAAGGAAGTACAATAATGTCAGTAGCACAGGATTTCCCCTCTCTAATTAAAAGGTAGTCAGAAATATCCAAGCTTCTTTTCTGTTGAAATTTCCACCTGCTCCACATGGGGGTGTTTGTTGACCTAAGACCAGGCCACCAGCCATAGAGTCATGAATTGGAAGGCCAGAGCGTCTGGGGAGACGGCATGCGATTGTCCCACGTATTTGCCTCTTTCTTTATACTTTTCTTTTTAAAAAAAGAATCTGTGATTGGTGGAATCTTCCTTTCTTCCTTTCTTTCCCCTTCTGCTTTCCGAAGCGCTCGTTATGGAAGTCCGAAAAGACAGCTCCAGTTTTACAGGTAATTTTGTCCTTTTTTTTTTACTTTTTTAAAATCCTCTTGGTGGTTTCTGGGCATCCAAAAGTCAGGGATTCCCCCAAGAGGTCGACTCTGTGACCCCCTAACTGTGCGTTCCTCCATTTGCTTCAACCGCCGTGCATGTCTCCTCTTTGGAAAATGAGATTTTTCTCACTTATTCTGTTGGTGGCTGGTAGAGTTTTGCAGGGAAGGAGAAATCAAAATTATCCTGCTTGGAAAGAGGGGTAGGTTTTTAAATTCCAGGCTGTCGTCCTCATTATAAAAGTCCTTTTCACAGGCAGTTCTCATCTTACGACCAAAATCGGGACGAAGAAGCTCCGTCACTAACGCGATGCCGTTCTTGAGTCACACCCTGTTTTAGAAAAATTTTTGCTGAGGTCATAAGTACATGACAGTTGCAAAGCCTCCGAATTTTGATCACGTGACGGGGGGAATACTGCAACGGTCGTAAGAGTGAGAAACAGCCAGGAGTCACTTTTTCCAGTACTGTTGTATCTTGGAACGGTCACTAAATGAACAGTTGTAAGTTGAGAGTGCCCATAAAACAAAAACTGGAGCTCGTCTTGCATCAGCGTATTCCCACCTCCAGATTCCCACACTCAAAAAAGTGCGGCCACTTTGCGGAAAGTGCCAGGCGATGCATCAAGGGGAAGTTCTGCCAACTAACAGAGCTTCTGGGCATCTTTCTGGTGTCCATCGGCGCTGATGGGTTGGCAAAAGCCAGGCTAATTAGCTCTTCTCCCCAGAACGAGACCGGGAAACTGTCCAGCATGTGTGAATCGGGGGGGAAATGCATTAAGAGACGAGGGGAGGACAAACAGAAGCATCTCTCGTATCTTCGGCCTTCTCTGTGGCCAAAGGAGCCGGGCAGCTTGGTCATCTCTGCGTTGGCAGGGGGACAATGGAGGGAGGTGAAGCACTGACCTGGATATCTCGGCTTACTAGGATGGGCATCAGGCAAGAAGATGCTTTAGGGATCTTCGGAATGCGTCTCCTTGTAGAGAGGACCAGGGTTGCTTCTTGCCTGGATGTGGATAGCTGGCATCGTCTGTGGTTTGGTTTGGCAGTCTTGGCTTGTTGGAGGGAGGGACGTGGAGGAGGTGGATAATGGGGTGGGATCTTGGCTTGTTGGAGGGAGACATGTCTCTCCTGCCATCCGTTCCATCCTTAACGGGATTTCTGGGTTGAATGTCGGACTCCTGCCCTCCCTGCCATTGTCTGCAGAGCTTCGGAGAACACGGAAATGCAAATCAAAACCCTTGTTCCCGTCTCATGAAAGCAGCCGCCTGCCACTCATTAAAGCAGCCATCTCTGCGTCTTATGAAAACAGCTGCATCGGCAGCTCATTAAAGCAGCTTCTCCCCAGGATTTTCCAGCTGCACGTCCAAATCCAAACCAGTGAATTTGAGCCAAGGTGGCAGTGAACCCAACAGATCCGTGAAGGCCTCCGTCCTTGCAACCAGGGGGACGTCTCTCCCATCATCCATTTTCATCCTGAACGGGATTTATTTGGCGTGTTCGAATCATGGGCTCCTGTCTGTCCCGGACCTTCCTCGCTCGTCCCATCCATCATCCTCTCTCGTCTCCACCGTGGCCGGCCACAGGGCCAGAGAGCCGCCTCCGACAGCAAGTCCCCGCTAATAAAAAGCGCCCGATCCATCGATCGATCCGAGCCATCCATAAATCAGTTTCTTCTGCCAGAAGCTTTTTAGCGCTAGAGACGCCGTTGAATAATTTAGCTCAGATCATCATAACCGACTTAATGGATTCCCTGCTAAATTCTCTCTGAGGCTCTCGGGAGGATTCGCAATGCCTTTTCGCAACTGGAGTGGACTTTTTTCCTCCCCCCGCCCCCCGCTTTTGCATGCACGGCCACGCCTGTGCGCCGTTTTGCACCCGTCTGAGAGAGAAAAAAAAATACCTAATAAGACGTTATCTTTTAATGAGCAGGCTCGCCAGACCCCAGGTGAGTGCGGACCTCCAGATAAGGAGGAAGCGATGGGGATCGCAGGTTTTAGATTTTGGGGAGTTTCTGAGCACCCCAACAACACCGAGCTGTAGATATTTTGCTGGCTGGGCTCGGAGAGTAGCTTTAAAAAAGCTTAATTGTCTGCCCTTTAGAGAAATTTCAGCTGCTTTTTTAGGAAGGTGGAAAGGAAACAACACTAGGAGCTTTATTCGGTGTCTCTATCCCGTACGGGAATTTGAGACCAGAGTTGCACATTTTAACTGTGGTTTATGGCACAGAACGGGGTGCCCCCACCTCTAAGTAAACCAGATTTACTTAGATAAATTAGATGTTTTTTTCTATTCCTTTCCACCCTACAAGAAACTCAAGATTCCCAAACTTGGTGGGACAAGCTCACGGCATGTCCATCAGGATTGAGTTTCTCTCTGCTTGATTTGTTTTGGGGTGGGGGAAGGATGGATGGGGTGTTTCCTGGACACACCCCATCTCTTGAAATAGAATCACCTCATTATTGCACCTCCGGTTAGCAGGAGAGCGGTGGATCTGCGTGCAAAATGGTGCATGTCTCGATATTTCTATTTATTTCTTTTTTTCCCCCCCTAACAAGCCAGGATTAATTTATCCTCATTTTTCGGTTGCAACTTTGAGCAGTCCACTTGTCTTTTTATGATTTGGCTTTAATTAATTTAATTTTTTTTTCTGGTTGACGGCTCGGTTGAAATTAGCCGCGGGTGGGCTAATTCGGGGCCTGGGACCCCTTTGCATCCAGACAGCGTCCCTTGGTGAAAAAGCCTGCAAGCTTCCCCACATCCTGGTAAAACAAAACAAAACAAAAAAACGGGCTTGGGAGTGTTGCAGAGAATTCTGGGAGTTGAAGTCCACCCATCTTCCCAGTGGCCAAGTTTGAAAAAGTGAGGTTTAGAGGCTGCTGCACCTCGCAGGGAGTCCTCGACTTAACGACCAAAATCGAAGCTGACATTTCTGTTGCTAAGTGAGATAGTTAGCTGACTTTTGCCTCATTTTACAACCTTTCTGCCACCAATAAGTGAATCGCTGCAGTTGTTAATAACAGCGGTTGAGTGAATCCGGTTCCCCTCTTGCGTTTGTGTGTCGGAAGGTAGCAAAAGGGGATCACGTGACCCCCTCTCCCAGACGCTGCGACCGTCATAAATACGAGTCGTTTGCCAAGAGTCCAAATTTTGATCCCGACCATTGGGGATCTGCGACGGTCGTAAGTGTGAGGACTGGCCCTGAGTCGCTTTGTTCAGTACCGTTGTAACTTCAAACCATCACTAAACAAACTTGTAAGCCGATTGCAAAGCATCTGGATTTTATAATCACATGATTGCAGATGCTGTGACGGTCGTAAGTGCGAGGACCAGCCCCAAGTCCCTTTTTTCAGTGCCGAACGGTCACCGTTGCAAGCCGAGGACTGCCCATAATCCTTTTCTGCTCCGGGCGAGGACACCGATCCTTGCAGTCTTGGTCACCAACCAGGTGCCGAAGGGAAGGCAGGACCGCGAGGCTGGCCGGGCCAGCAGCCGCGGCGAGAGCAATCTAAGGCGAACCCCCTCTCGTCCCCGGACCCCGTGCAGGTCCTCCGGCTGAGCGGCACCATGCTGTCCATGACGTGCAGCGGGAGCCTGCGGAGCGTGGCCAGCCGCTCCCACTCCGAATGGGGCCTGCACCAGTTGCATCAGAGCGACAACATCGAGTTGAAGAAATTTAGGGAAATCCGGGCGGCGGCCCAGACGCGGATCAGGGAAGAGTTTCTCCGGATGCACGGCTTGTCTCTGGACGAGTGCACGGCGCAGACGACGGGCATGAAGTATCGGTAAGCCGCACGCTCACGCTCGTCTTTGCAGACCTTATCCTTTGATATGTGGATTGGGGCCTGGGGAACTTTTGTTTTTTTTTTTTGAGGGGAGAGGAGGTTCAAGGAAGTTTGGTGCTTTTTCACGAGATAACTGGACTTGGCTCGTTTTAGTTTGATTCCCTTAGTTGGCCGATTTATCTAGTGGAGACGCTGAATCCTCTCGGCCCATAGTGGATTGTGTTCTTAGTTTAAGGGAAGATGGAAACCGTATAAAGAATAAAACATATTTGGATATAAAACTTCTCACGCGTCCTTTTCTCCTCCGGTCCTATTCTGCATTTTTTTTTTTTTTTTTGCAACCGAGCGCTAAGCAGAAATATCGCTCCGCGTAATTTTATTTTTTTTCCGATTGTGGGGTGAAAAGATCCGGCTTCTGATGTTACTTTCAGAGAAGAGAATTTGAGGGACATTCGCAAGGCGCGTTGTTCTTGCACTTGGGAGTCGTGAGAGGGCCGGTGTGCGTGTGTGTGCAAATTTCCTGTAGAAACCGTTCAATTTGCTGGATGGATGGACAGGTAGATGGATTGATAGATGACAGATGGAAGGATGGAGGGACAGGTAGATAGATGATAATGATAGATGGATTGACAGATAGATGGATAGATAGATAGATGATAGAGATTGGATGGATAGATGGGTAGATAGATGGATGGATGACTAGATAGATAGATAGATAGATAGATAGATAGATAGATAGATAGATAGATAGATAGATAGATAATAGACAGATGGATATAGATGGATGAGAGGGAGCAATTTATTTCTGAATTGTGTTTATGTACCTCCTTTGCTTGCCACTAGGTAGCACTGTCTGAACAGAGAAAATGTATGCTGGTTTCTTAACATTTGCAATAAATCTTGATAAATCCTCAGTTTACCACCACAGTTCAGCACGGTATTTCCATGCTAAGCAAGATGGTCTTTAAGTGTGTTTTGCCAACCCTGCAGAGACAGGGTTTATGGCAGCTTCTAGGCAGATCCAATCCTATCCCATCCTCTGTTCTGTTCTGTATTCTATTATTTTATTTTACTTCCATCCAAGAAACCGGCTCTTCCTTCGTTCTTACCCCTTCTATTTCCCTTCTCCTAAACTCCCAGCCACCAGCAAGGCTGTCAAACTGTCCATTTTTCCTTGGAGGGGAAGAAAAAAAAGGGATTTCCAAATCTTTAGGTGCCATTTTTGGACACTGTGTCCAGATGGCCCAGTAGGGGATGTCTCTTAAGTCTCACACCCACACAAACACACATGGAGACACAAACACACACACACAAACCTTTTTTTGCAAGAAGCACCGGGGAGCCGAAATCCCCTGCCGGGCGCCTGCTTTGACTGGGAGGGCAGACCCGGGCGGCGCGCCATAAATATTGTATTTCCTTCCCTGACTTGCCAATGAATATTGCAGAGGTCTCTGTTTATGACTCTGGGTGCATGGAAGGACATTTGGAAAAGTGTTGGCTTACAGGCTTTCTAATAAGGGCTGATATATTATTCATCTCTTGCAAATAAATAAATTAAAAACAAAACACAAAGCAGAAAAGGCCTTAGCAAGGCAGCGAAGGGGGCCTCTGCTTGCCGCTGAGAAATTCAAAATAAAAATTGGCAAAGCCTCACTGGGCTTAGAGAGAGAATTGTTTTGGGGTGGGGGAAGATGGGGGGGGCGTCCTGTGCGATCTGCCTGTTGTTATAAATTATCTGAAGTAAAATAACAATAAGAGAGTCAGGAGGGACCTCGGAGGCCCTCTACTCTGACCCCCTGCTCAAGCAAGACACCACGGAGACTATTTCAGGCCAGTCCCTTCCTAGAAGCCTCCAGTGACGGAGCACCCACCACAATCAACATCCAGCCGCTGGGCAACTGACTTGTATTTGTGATGGTAACAGAGGAGGAGGAGAGGAAGAGGAAAAGAGGAGAGGAGAAGAAAGGAAGAGGAGGAGGAGGAGAGAAAAAGGAGAAAACTTGGGGGGGGGGGACGGAGGCTGCCCCCTCCCTCCGGAGAACCTGCTGATGACCTGCAGCTTTCCTTCCTCCGTGGAGGGGAGGAGCAGCAGGAAGATGAAACAGCCCAGCCCGGAGTGAAAGGACAGCTTGTGTCTCTCCAGGGGTGTGTGTCTTTCTGTGTGTGTGTGTGTGTGTGTGCGTGCGTGCACCAGGCTTGCGGTCTCTCTGGGGCCAAGGAGCAGAAGCAGCCGTGCGTGGCAGACTCGGAGAAGCCTCCCTGCTCCAGCTGCCTCTCCAGCTACAAGCCGGACAGATCCGGCATTTGCACCACCCTCCTTTTTCCAGAGCTGCCCCCCCACCCCGGCTGGGACTCACTCGGGGCAAGGCCTCTGAGGAGCAGCCCCCTCCCCCCCTTTGACCGGACCCATCTCCTGCTGCTCGTCCCATCCGAGAAAAGGATTTTTTTTTTTGCCCCCTGCCATTCCGTCTCCAAAAGGGCACCGGCTCGGTGGCCGGCATGCAAGTCTCCTTCGCCTGCTCGGAGCACACCGTCAAGAGCCGGAGCACGGAGGAGCGGCTCAGCCGGCAGAATGCGGGGAGCCCTGGGCCCCGGGGCCGCTTTCGGGCGGTGACCATGGTGGCCCAAAGCCTCGGCCAGCTGTCCACCCAGAGCGTGGCCCCCTCCGGCCCAGCAGCCACCAAGCAGCCCGGCATGAAGCACAGGTAGGGGGCAGAGCAGGCAGGGCGGTTTTCCCCGGCAGGCGGTCCTCGACTTAACGACCGCAACGGAGCCCCGGAGGCAGTTTGCTCTGTTTTATGACCTTTCCAGTTGACTCTGCTGCGGTTGTTAAAGGGGCTCTCCTTGCCCAGCGCACCCTGGGTGTGTTTGTGTGTTTCCTCGCAAGCCAGCATCAGAGCACAGTCGCCAGCAAACACCCGTCTTTTTCACATGCTTGTTTGTGTGTACGTGTGTGTGTTTTTCAGAAACCTCGGGAAGTCTGGACTGCGGGTTTCCTGCCTCGGCTTAGGTGAGTGAACGTGGGTGTGAGGGAGTTTTTGTGGGTCTCCTGTTTATCCCCTTAAATCCAATTCTATCCGTTCCTGGGGTACTAAAATAATAATCATAATTAACTGATCTAATTATTAAATAAAATGTTGATTTTTATTCCTCGGGTCTGCTATAGGAACATGGGTGACTTTTGGAGGACAGATAACAGATGAGGTGAGGATTTTTTTACCACTTAAGTTTTTTAGCATTTTCTTTTTGTATGTTTGCTAGCTTATTTTATTGTTTATGGTTTTTTTTTTAATATTTTAGAGTTGAATTTATTTTTTTATAGTATTTAGAGCTTTGTATTTTATTTTATTTTATTTTATTATTTTTAGATTTTATTTTGCTTTAAGTTTAAGGGGAGGGAGCCGGGGCCCTCCAAACCTCACATCCCAGGGGACGAGACTAGCCATCGTGCCTTGTTCGGCTGGGATCCCATCCGTCTCTGTCTTGCAGGTGGCTGAGCAGCTGATGACCCTCGCCTATGAGAACGGCATCAACCTTTTCGACACGGCCGAAGTCTACGCCGCAGGGAAGTAAGTCTGGCACGCTCCTGGCTTGCGTTCCTCGCGACAACCCTGCACGGTAGGCCCGTGGGAAAAGGTGGAAGAGAAGCATTGGACATACGGGTAGTCCTCAACTTAACAACCTCGCTAAACAAAGCGTTGTAAGTGGATAACTATCTATTGCTCTGGTGTTTCTCTTCCACCCCTTCCCACGGGCCTGCCGCACAGGGCTATCGTAAAGAAGCTCAGCCTCGGCCGAATAGACTCTGGGCAGCTTATAAAATGGCGGGGGGGGGGGAGAAGAACAGCATAAAAATATTTTGTGATTCTTCTCACCCATCCGGGTTTTTGCAATTGATCATCCTGCAAGGAGTCTGTTCGGTCAACTGATGTGTCGCTGCATGAGTCTGCATTCTCTTCCTAAATGAAGAAGAGGACGCAACTTTGGGGCAGCTCCTGATGCCAAGTCACAAATATTTACCCAGATCTTAAAATCCCTCGGCCCTCTTTTTTTCTGAGCCAAAAAGCCTGACTTGCTTTGTGCGGAGTTCCTCCACAGTGCTTTTTGCGAGTTCCTGTTCATTTCTCTCTCTCTCTCTCTCTCTCTTTTTTTTTTCTATTCCGTAGAGCTGAAGTCGTCCTAGGCAACATTATCAAAAAAAAAGGATGGAGGTAACCGTTTTTCCTGCAACCAAATTCCCCTTTTGCTTGAGCGTTCTTGAGTCTGCCGCCTTTCACGGCCTCATGTGGACTAGAATCTTGATAAAGGAAACTTAATCCGTGGAACAACCTGCCTCCAGAAGTTGTGAATGCTCCAACGCTGGAAGTTTTAAAGGAGAGACTGGACAAGCCATTTGTCTGAAATGGTATAGGGCTCTCCTGCCTGAGCAGGGGGTTAGACTAGATGACCTCCAAGGTCCCTTCCAACTTTTTGTTGTTGTTTTGTTTTCCTCAATGGGTGGACTTTATTTCCCAGAATTCCCCAGCCAGCTGGGAGTTGAAATCCGCTCGGGTTAAATGGGAACTGACATTGGCTATAGAGGTGGTGAAAACAGCCCTGCAGGGTGGGCCTGTCTCAAATCAAACCAAAGCAAAATTGGAGCATTGAGCGCTGTTTAATCTGTGTTCCTCTCTTGTTTTTTCCCTTCTAGACGGTCCAGTTTAGTGATCACAACCAAAATCTTTTGGGGAGGGAAGTACGTATTATTTTATTTACTATTTTATTCCACTTATTTAAGGGCAATCATTCGACCAACGGCTGGGGCACTGTCAGAATTTCGGACCCAAGCCGTAACTGTCCTTTTTTCAGGCAGGTTGTAAATTGGAACCGTTGCTAAGTGGACGGTCATAAAATGAGGACCGCCTGCTTTATCGCTTCGTCCTTCTCTTTGTTTCTCTTCCCAGAGCCGAGACAGAAAGAGGCCTGTCCAGAAAGCACATTATAGAAGGTAAATGCTGCCTCCTTTCGTTCTTCATCCCCAAAATGTAATTTCTGATCCAGAAATGGGTCCGAATGTTGATCACGTGACCAAGGGACGTTGCGACGGTCGTAAGTATGAAAAAACAGTCCGTGGTGGCTGTTTTCAGTGCTGTCATAATTCTGAATGGTCACTAAATGAACAGTTGTAAGCTGAGGACTTACACTTAACCGCTGTGGCAAGATAGGTCATAAAACGGGGCAAAAACCTGCTTAACAACTCTCTCTTAGCGATGGAAATTTTGGGCTGAGCTGCGGTCGTAAGTCGAGGACTTCCTGTATTTCCTGAGCAAGCGAGGAGCTGTTCGTCTTGTTTTATGTTTAATCATTTTATTGCAAGGGGGGGGGTGACGCTTTTCTCTTTCCCCCCCCCCAGGTTTAAAGGGCTCCCTAGAACGGCTGCAGCTGAATTACGTGGATGTGGTGTTTGCCAATCGGCCGGATCCCAACACCCCGATGGAAGGTAAGATCTAATTTAGACCTATTTTAAGATAAGATTAAATCTATTTTAAGATGAAGATTAAATGTATTTTAAGATAAAGAGAACAGAAGAGTTTTGATTCCCCAGTTGACCTAGGAGAGGTCTTTAAAAAATTAAATACACACCACCTTTTTAAAGGTTCACTGGCCATACGGGCAGTCCTCGCTTTACGACCGCTTATTTTGCAACTTGGTCCAGGTAAAAGTGACTTACAACGAGTCCCTGCCCTTAAACAACCGTCGCAGCATCCCCTGATCCTGATTGGATGGTTGCCAACTGTCCCATTTAGGATAGTTGAAGCACTGGGGAAGCCAAGTGGGAAATCACCAGTCACCCTGTGATCCCGGGATGCTGCAAACATAGGCACCCAAATCGCAATTGTGTGACCTCGGGGAACACTGCGACAGTCATAAGCGCGAGGACCGGTTTTTTTTAATGGCGCTGCGATAAGTTGGAAGTCACTGAATGAAGAGCTGCTCGAATTCTTTGGCCAAGAACGCTAGCGGGGCCGTTACCCTTCACGGTATTGTGTTGCACATCGGCAACCTTCTACTCACAAGACCCAAGGGACGGATTCACACCTGAGGCGTAGTGGAGCCAGCCTCTCTCTCTCTCCTGGAGGAGCAGGGTCCGAATTAGGGGAGGGGGCTGTTGCTCTCCCACTCCCTGGAGGACGAGCAGGCTTCCCGCTCTAAATTCTCCCCTCTCTCTAATCTGTTTTCTATCACCAGGGACCCCCTTTAGTTCCAAGTCGCGAATATTCGTCATCGAAGGTAGCCATCCTTTGATTTCACTGCATCCCAGCGGCATTTTATGGGACAGAAATCCCCAGCTTTTCCTTCCTTCTTTCCTTTTCATTTTTCCTTTCTTTTTTTTAACTCATCCCCCTTTTTCGCTTTGGAGACTTTTCATTCTGATTGGTGGAAGCTCCCTTTCCTCCGAGGACGAGCGGTTCGCCATAAAATGCCAAAGGACGCAAAGAATGAAAAAGGAGTAGCAAAATAATAACCATTGCCCCTTTAGTTGACATCTTGCAAGTAACGACGAAAGCACAAAACACTTGAGAGAGAGAGAGAGAGAGAGAGAGAGAGAGAGAGAGAGCGCCATCCCGACTCGGTTTTCTCGTGGAAAGGCCTCCCGTTTTCTCCGATTTTCTGAGACCTCGATTGGCATTGCTTGCAAGATGTCGCCCGATCTCCTGCCCCCCCCCCTCCTCTCCTGTCTCCCGTTTGATGTTGTGGCCTTGATTTCAGTTGGACAGCCGGTTTGTTTTGCCGCTCTTCGGATTAACCACTCTTTTTTTCCTTCCCCTCCTCTTTTTCTGTCGTCTCGTTCCTTTTTTTCCCCCCAGAGACCGTACGAGCCATGACCCATGTCATCAACCAAGGGATGGCGATGTACTGGGGGACGTCGCGATGGAGTTCCATGGAGATTATGGTACGCTCTTCCTAACAGCTCGTGCCCATAATTAAACGCTTGCCAATCCAATCGATTAAGGGAAAAAAAGTCATCTTTCTCGTTTAATTTGGTTTTGTCCAATGGAGAACAAGCCAGGTTATAGGGACTGAAAGTAGCGAAATGAGTCGTGGAATCGCAGACAAAAATGAAAAATTTGCTCGTCTTCCCCAATGGTTTTTCTTTGTCCACGTACCACATTCGTCCTGCTTCTCTTCCTCCGATAGGCATTTTTTTCCCCCGCTCCCTTTATCTCGGCGTTGTTTTTGTGCAAAGCCCCCCTTTAAAATCCAGGCAGTCCCCGACTTAACAACAGTTCATTTAGTGACCATTCAAAGTTACAACGGCATTGGGGGAAGTGACGACCGTGACTTACAACCGTTGAAGAGGTTTCACTTCTCATCTAACAAGCTTCCTTCAGTTCTTCAGAACGGTTCGGTTCTCCAGAAGCTGAAGAAGATTCTGGGATGAGAGGCGACATGTCTTCAAAGAAAAACAAACAAAAAAAGTCTAGCGCCTTTTGGGACAACCAGGACCTGGATGATGGAGAATCTCCATGGACACTTGTCCTCCATACCTAATCTAGTTTGAGGTTCTCCTTAGTGACGGATTCCTTCTCCTCCGTCTTTCCCGTGTTCTGAGTTGCTCTCATCCCTTGCAGGAAGCGTATTCGGTAGCTCGGCAGTTCAACCTGATCCCTCCGATTTGTGAGCAAGCTGAATATCACATGTTCCAGCGGGAGAAGGTCGAAGTTCAACTTCCGGAACTTTTCCACAAGATCGGTGAGCCCCCCTCCCCATCCGTGGCAGGCTGCCGTTCCGCCACCCAAGCAAAAAACAGAGTTAGAAGGGCCCTTGGAGGTCTTCTAGTCCACCCCCCTGCTCAAGCAGGAAATCCCATTCTTTAGCTTCCCTCTATTCAGGCTGTATGGACCTAGTTGATAAAATTTAGTTACTCAGCCGTGCAACCTCTCCATCTTTTTTTCCTTCCTCTCCCAGGCGTGGGAGCCATGACGTGGTCCCCGCTGGCGTGTGGCATCGTTTCGGGAAAGTACGATGGTGGGATCCCACCCTACTCACGAGCGTCGCTCAAAGTAAGCTTCCTCCTCCTCTTCTCCACTTTTGACTCCCGGGAGGGGGAAGCGTCAATCATGGCCGCTCCGTCTTCTCCCTCCCGTCTTAGGGTTACCAGTGGCTGAAGGACAAGATTTTAAGCGAGGAAGGCCGACGGCAGCAAGCGAAGCTGAAGGAGCTGCAAGCGATCGCCGAGCGGCTGGGCTGTACCCTCCCGCAGCTCGCCATTGGTAAGTGGGGGCTGGCCTTCTCGTTCAACTTCGGATCTTGTGGTGGGGAGTTCTGCAGGGAACGGGGGGGGGGCTTGCCTTCTTGTCCAGTTTTGGTTCTTGTGGCAGGAAGTTCCGCAGGCACTGAGCCATTATACGGGCATTGTATGTCACAATCCTGCAGATTGGTGGAACCACACCTTTGCCGTTGTATGTTAGAAGTCCCGGTTTGGTATTTCTGCTAGCCCGTCAAGGTATATCAGTTCAATGCAGGAAGTCTTGGATTTAACAGCAGTTCATGTAGTGAAATTTCTCACCAGCATGGTGTTTACGCAACGAGAGCGTCAGTTCCGTCTTGCTAGGAGCATCCAACGCAGATCAGTTGATGGAGAATATTGGAGCAATACAGGTGAGGAAAAAAGAGGGGGGTCTTTTAAGGCAGGGGGTGGAAATTAAAAGTAATATTAAAATTACTTATATATAAAGTGTATATATATAAATTTAAGAAAGGCTAAAATGCCTGCATATTTTACAGATCGCCATGTCTTTGGGAACCAAGCCACTCTACCTACCTACCGATCCATCCATCTGGATAGATGATAGATCAGTGTTTCTCAACCTTGACCGTTTTAAGGCATGTGGACTTCAACTCCCAGAATTCCACAGCCAGCATTGCTGGCTGTGGAATTCTGGGAGTTGAAGTCCACATGCCTTAAAATGGTCAAGGTTGAGAAACACTGTGATAGATAGATAGATAGACAGACAGACAGATAGATAGATGGATGGATTTAAGAATGTTTTTTCCTAAATAGATACCGGCAAGGATAAAGAGGCGAGAATACAACTTTATGCTACCTTTAATTTTATCCTTGTTTTTTAACAGGTTCTTTCCAAACTCTCCTCTTCCATTATCCATGAAATCGATAGCATTTTGGGCAATAAACCTTACAGCAAAAAGGACTACCGCTCTTAATAACGGGGGGCATTGGAGGGCCCCCAGTCAATCTGGGACTGATCCGCCCGCCTGCCTCTCTCTCCCGTTTGCTTGCTTTAAAGCTTATTCCGAAGAAGCCGAGCGAGCACGGCCGAGTTTGCATCCGAGAATTCAACCCACCGCGCCTGGAGACATTCCCAGAAAAAACCTTGTTTTCCAACGTGACCAGAACACGTGAAGGACTTTTTGCTTTTTTTAAAAAAACAAAAATTCTCTTTTTCTCCCCCACTTCACCCGAATGCAAGAAAGAAGACATGGGGAAAATGTTGCGTGGATAATCTGGACTTCCAACGCTTCCTTTTTTGCAACGGGAAAGCAAATTTTTCGCAGTGGGGTTTTTTTTTCTTCCCCGTTCCAAAAAATAACTCGTAGGCACAAGTGTCAGTGTTTTTAAATGTTATCTGGACCTCAAACAACCCCCCCCCCCCAGGATTGTAGTCCAAAATGTTTGGATGAGACCCTGGTAAGGTTGTCTGAATATGTCAAACGTCACGGAAATACTTTTTTCTTGAGCTTTACCCTAAATGGCCTGTATGAATGGAATTGAGGCCAGTTGGAGGGGAGCCTTGAGGTCCTCTAGTCCAACCCCCTGCTCGGTCCCAGAATTCAAATTCAACCTTTAGCATTCTCACTGTTCAAAATAGGTTTCCTGTAACTTTGAAATCCAGTATTTCGATTCCCCTGCATCTGAAATTTTTCTTCACTGGGCCTGCTTTGTTGTTGGGCAACATCGCTGCAGCCGCCGAAAAAGGCCAAGGCAATCCTTGGCTGCATTTTCAAGATCATGTGAAGTGTGTTAGTACCGCTTTACAAAAGCTTAGTAAGACCACACTTGAAATATGGCATGCAGTTTTGGGCGCCACGATATAAAAAAGATGTTGAGTCTCTACAAAGAGTACAAAGAAGAGCAGCAAAGATGATCAGGGGACTGGAGGCTAAAACATATAAGGAACGGTTGCTGGAATTGGGTCTGTCTAGTTTAATAAAGAGAAGGACGAGGGGGGACAGGATAGCTGTGTTCCAGTATCTCAGGGGCTGCCCCAAAGAAGAGGGAGTCAACCTGATCTCCAAAGCACCTGAGGGCAGGACAAGAAGCAACGGATGGAAACTAACCAAAGAGAGAAGCAACCTAGAACGAAGGAGAAATTCCCTGACAGAACAATTAATCAGTGGAACGACTTGCCTCCAGATGTGGGTGATCCATCACTGGAGGTCTTCAAGAAGAGACTGGACAGCCATTTGAGCAGGGAGTTGGACTAGAAGACCTCCAAAGTCCCTTCCAACTGTTATCCTGAATTAACCTGTTTGAAGGATTGGCACAAAACTAACCCAGACATGATCCTAGTTAAGCATCTTACGCAAACAGGCAAGCTGAGGGGCGCAGGGTGAGGCTTTTGAAGCCCCCCGGGGTGTCATCTTGAGACCCATCTGCAAGTGGGAAGGACTTCCAGGTTTTGTACGTTGCCTTTGTGTAAGTAAAAATCCGTCTTTTATTTGTTCCTCTCCAAATTTGTTAAGTCCCGCCCCCCCTTACAAATGACAAACCACAAGTCTCTAACACACAGCATATATGATTGTAATTATTCCCAAGCTCAATTGCGTAACCTAAGTGTCTCCGTCCTGCTTGTTAACAAAAAATCTGGACCATTAAGACAACCAACTATATTTACGGAATGAATGAACAACTAGCTAAATAAAATCAGGCCTTATTTGAGTGATGGTGTTCCGGCAAACTTTTGTGGTGTTTTTGCGTCTTTTTGGGGGGTGGGGGGGGATTCTTGAGAGTGGGAGTTAAGAAACGGAGAGCCTGGCTACTGCTTTGGATGGGGCACCACCAAGAAATCCTCTGAGGCAAATCCTCTGTAACCTTTTGGAAGGAAACAAATAGGAAATCAAATCTGTATTGTGGTTAAGTGGGGGGGAATGTTGTCATTAGGGACCAGTGCAGCCTATAAAGGCCAACATATGCTGCCCTCTGGTGGATAATTTGGGGTATTTCAGCTGCCGAGTGGATGCTGACCTCTGGTGGACATGTTTAGCCCCTGCAGCCAATAGAAGTGAACGCGATATTCTCAATGTGTACAACTCTATTCAAGGGTTGTCTAATGCTGCCCCTGGTGGCCAATATGGGTACTGCAGCACACAGGAAGACTGATCAGACTTTCTTGGGGAGAAAGAAGGAAATTTATGGGGGGGGGAGAGGGGTTGGTTACAAACGCCCACAATGTCATTGTATTTAGCATCTTGAAAGAGCCTCCCCAGTCAGAGGCAGTCCACCTTAGCCAGCCGGGAACAAAGCACGCTCTCCCTTTGGGCAACTCTGCCAAAATGGGAAAACCCAGTTTCCCATTGGAAAGGGTCTCCTCTTTGAGACAGGAGTGAGCCCCCCTGCCTCAGTGGAGCCTCCCCATGCAGAGGCAATCTACCTCAACACGGCAGGACACAAAGGACCTTTGCACAAGACCCCAGTCTCCTCTTTGGGCAGCTCTCCAGCTTAGGAAGGGTCGAACCTTGGGGGGGGGGGCAAGAGGAGCCAGCCTCTCGCCTCAGTGGAACCTCCAGGCACAGAGGCACTCTACCTGCACCCATGGGGTCCCCTCAACATCCCTTCCTTAGCATCCCTGCTGCGCCTACCTCCTCCGCTGTCCACAGCCTAATGTGTACACTGGAAAAAAAAATGAAATTGCAAGCAGACTTGAAAGATGTAGTAAGGGAAGCCACCTTAGCAGGAGCACCTGTCTGGGAAGGGCCTGTGCAGCTAGTCCTCAACTTACCAACACTTAAGGGGCCATAGTTACAACAGTACTCAGAAAAGTGACTTAGGACCATTTTTCACCCTTAACGACTGTCGCAGAACCCCTCTCCGCATGGTCACATGATCAAAATTCAGACATTTGGCAACTGACTTGTCTTTATGACGGTTCCAGTGTCCCAGGGTCACGTCAAGTCCCTTTTGCCACCCTCTGACCGGCAAAGTCAACGATTCACTTTCTAACTTAGCAACTGCAGTGCTTCAACTTAACTACTGTGGCCAGGTAGGTCACAAAACAGGGCAAAAAGGTAACAACCGTCTCGCTTAGCAAGAGAAATGGGGGGGGGGGAGAGCTGAGTTGCGGCCGTTAAGACGAGGACTGCCGGTAAGAGTTGCAAGGAGCAGGGGGAGCCCCCCAAGCACAGCAACACCTGCGGGGGGAAAAGGGTGCGTATTCAGAACGCCGAGGCGTTCAAGAACACCCCAAAGTGGGACAATGAGAACAATTTCTACCACAATTTTATTCTGGGAAAAACGAATGTACAAAACCGTTCCAGATCCGTTTTAATCTTCCTCTTCCTCCTCCTCCTCGTCCTGGTTGATCTGGAAATACCGCAACTCGTAGCTCTCCTTCGTGTTGGCGACAACACGCAGCCCGTCGCGCAAGTTGTTCTTCTTCAGGTATTTTTTGGTCAAGTACTTGAGATACCTCAGGAGGAGGAAAAAAGAGGAGAGGCGTAAAAACAGAGAAAAGCGATGCTGGAGGAAGAGCCAGACAGCCCCTCGCATCGGCCCTTTTGAGTCCAAGTCTGAATTTATCCTCTGAGCTTTTTTTGTTATCTTTTTGCATGGAGAGTTTTTTTGTTGCTGTTATTTTTGAATTTATTCTTTTTGTTTTCTCTCTTTTGAGTATTTTGTGTTCTTTCGAATTTGTGTACGTGTTTTGTTTTCTTTCAAATTTATTTCTTTGACAGGTTTGTTTCGTTTCGAATTTATTTGTGGGATTTTTTTTCCTTTGAATTTATTTTTAATTTTGTCCAATTATGAACCTGTATCCCAAGTTAGGTTTAAACTCAGTTACTGGCGACTGACCCTCACCAAAGTATTACCCCCAGCCCTGAAGAGCCAAACACCCAGCTGTGTTTATTCAGTCCCCAATCCATCGGCAGAAGACCCTGGGGTCAACACCTATGCCCCCTCCCCTACTTACCTCTTGGAAAACGGGACCTCGGAGGTCACCGTGATCTTACTTTTACTCCTCTCAATTGTCACCGCTCCTCCGCCGAGGTTGCCGGCTTTCCCGTTGACTTTGATCCGTTCTTGCAAGAATTGTTCCTGGGGGGGGGGAGGTAAATATCAGAGGAGGGAGGGTTAACCAGACACAGCCAGCCCAACGATTATTTTTTTACTCTTTCCCTCCAGGCTTCAAAGAGTCTCCAGCTGAAGGAGTCCTAGTCAGAGCTCTGAAGTTGTTCAGATCTCAATGAGATCTTTCAACTTGATTAACCCCGAACAGCATAGGGAGTTGAAGCTCCCGGGAATGAGGGGAGCTGAAAACATCGGGATAGTTGCTTTAAGTAGCAAACAGGCCTCAATCTCTCTCAATTACTTTTATTTTAACAACTGTTTTGTGTCTGTGCCTTCAAGTTATCACAGGTAGTCCCGACTTACGCCCGTTCGTTTAGTGGCCCAAGTTATGACGGCGGTGAAAATTTGGGCTTTCTTGGAATCGTAAGTCGAGGACTGCCTGTGTTCTATCCCCAGCTCAGACGCAGCTTTTGAATCACGCACCCGTTACCACAGGAGCGGCATTGGGGCTACTCCGGCATGCAGGCATTTGCAACTTACAAAGTTGGCAGCATCCATGATGCCATCTTCTACCGGATGGGTACAATCCAAAGTGAACTTCAGGACTTGTTTCTTTTTTTTGCTGCCTTTGGTTGCGAGTTTCTTCTGCGGGAGATTGATCGGGGCAGGGGGTGGGGGACAAGGAGAAAGGAGAGAGAAAAATGGCTCCGTTCAGGTATTTGGGAGGAGCAGAAAGGAGGAATCCGGCTTCCTTTGCCCAACCTTAAACACTGCAATCCTTCACAGCCAGAGGTGGATTAAATTAACTAGGTACATGACAACAAATATGCTCAGAGAGCCACAACTTCTGGAGGCAGGTGGTTCCCCTGGTTAATTGTTTTCACTGTTAGGAAATTTCTCCTTCGTTCTAGGCTGGGTCTCTAGACAGATTGGATGGATGGATGGGGAAGGAAGGAAGGGGGAGGAAAGGAAGGAAGAAGAGGGAGAGAGGGAAGGAAAACGGAAGGAAGGAGAAAAGGAAGAAGGGAGGAAGATGAGAAAGGAAGGAGAGGGAAAGAGGGAAGGAAGGAAAGGAGGGATGGAGGGAAAGGGCTGCCTGGGCTCCCCCCTCTCAGGGGGTCCCCAAGGCGGGCAATCCCGGCGTGGACGCCAAAGACCCCTAGGCCGACTCTCTGCCCGCGTCCCCACGACACCCGTGTCACGACAGAGCCGCCCACGTGCTCAGAGGGCCCCCTCCCCCACCTCCCGGGGGGCGGGGCCTGGCGCGGGAGGGGGCGCCGAGGCCTCCTCGGGAGGGTGAGGGAGAACCATGAGTTTCCCCCCCCCGACGGGCGCTGCTTCGCTCTTGCGACGGCCCTCCGTCCCCCTCCCGCACGCGGCCTCCTCGGGCGCCCCGCCCGGCACGGCCTCGCCGCTTTCCCGGCCGGCCCGCCTGAGAGACTCACCGCGGGCGCCATGGCGGCAGCGACGACCGGAGGAAGAAAGGCAGGGAGGCCGGAGCGCATGCGCCGCCCGGGGGCCCGCCCACCTCACTTCCGTCCAGGCGGGCCAGGCCCCCACGCGACGCACGTGCGCCAGGCGGAAGCAGCCGCAGAGGCTCCGCTCCGACTCTTCGAGCCTGCCGAGCGCCGAGAGCATCGATCGGCCGCGCTGGGATCGGATCGGCGGAGGGAGGGGAAGCGAAGGGCCTGCCGGGAGTTGTAGTTTTTTTGGGTGGGAACCCAGAAAGCACCTAGGGCTGGAAGGGACCTTTGAGATCATTTAGTCCAACCCACTGCCCAGTGCAGGAACCCCCCAAAGAGCGGAAAACCCTAAACACTTGAAGTGGACCTCCGAGGTCATCTAGTCCAGCCCCCGACTTCCCATTGTGAGAGTCCTTAAACAAGCAGATCCTAAACTGGGATGTTTGAAAGGGCGGTGGAAAATTGCCGCCCTCCTCCGCTGGCCGGGAGGTTGGACTACTAGAAGACCTCCGAGGTCCCTTCCAGCTGTTATTCTATAATCCTAAAGCCCCCAATATTGGCAGCCCCGCTGGATTTTTGCCCAGCCTTGGGACTCCTGTTCCCATCACCCACAGCCAGGGGAACCCTGCTCTTCCCCCCCCCCAAGTCCCAATTGCACAAGGAAGCATGCAAAGGCGGGGAGGGGGATGATAATGGAGGGGGGGGTCCTACTGCTTGGAAAGCGCAATCCACTCTCGCTGCTTTCCACCCCTCTACAAAAAAAAATCGCCCCAGGGCCTGGATGGGCCGCTCTAGCCCTGCGTCTCTTCTCTCTGGTCGCCACCGGGGCCGCTCTGCCCTCCCCACTCGGTGTTTGAGAGTGACGTAGCGGCGGAGCTGTTGGCGTCACGTGGCCAGAAACCCCCCCCGCCTAGGCCGACCAATGGGGAGGGGGCCGGCGCGGAGGGCGGGACTTAGGCGAGAAGCCGCGCCCCGTCACCTTACCCCGCCCTCTTGTCAGGTCGCCGGCCGGCCGGTCGGTCTCTCCGCTCCGGTTGGACTCCCGCCGCCGCCTTCCTCTTCCTCCTCCTCCTCTTATTCATGCAGCCGTCCCGGGCCCCCGAGGCGGGCGAAACCGCCCCTGCGCCGGCCGCCATCCAGATTAGCAGGTGCCGCTTCCCTCTGGGCATCATGATCTAGCCTCTGGGCACGTGCAGAGCGCCGGGCCGCCCTGACTGGACTGGAGGCTCCTGCTGGGCAACCTGGGGCCCTGGGTGGGAGAGGGTGTCTCTGGGCATGGGCAGAGTGCTGTGTGATCAACTGATTAATCCCAGCTTGGGGGGGGGGGAGACAATAGATGGATGGATGGATAAGGGAGAGAGAGAGAGAGAGAGAGAGAGAGAGAGGCATAATGATACATGGACAATACATACAATTTTAAATTTAAGATACAGCCATAATGATAATAACAACAGGCAGCAGGATCCTGACAGTTTCATCAATTCAGGCTGAAGGGCAATATTTCATTGACTTAATTTATTTATCGGATTTAGAAACTGCCAGTTCCCCCCCCCCCAGGGACTCTGGACTGTGTACCAGTAAGATATTAAAACCTAAAAACAGCCTCGGTATAAATTTTAGATAAGAGGCAAAGGCGTTTTCGTTTTGTTCCCTCTCCGTGTCACAGTAAGGACGGGTCTTTGCAGGGCACCCTTCCCTTCTTCCTGGGGGATCCAAGATGTGAAAACCAGGTTAATCCTGGAGATCACCATGGATCTGATCCCTGGACAAATTCAGCAGGCTGCTTTTGATCCATAAATCTGCAAAAGCAGAAATCAGGCTGAATCACACCCAGGCCTTGGACCTGGACATTTTGTTTCATTTTTTATTAATGTATTATTTCAATTCCACTTCGCAGTAGCTAAGTGACAACCAAATACCATTTTATTCTCATTTGTTTTTATAAAACTGGGATTTTATCAGCTGGACAGACTTCCCCAAAGCTTCTCCTGGCCTGCCAAATCCATCCAGGATGCAATAAGGTCTCCTGCCTTGCATAGGGGGTTGGACTAGAAGACCTCTGAGGCCCCTTCCAGGCCTACAATTCTAGTTTTCTTTTCAAAAAATTGATCCTCTGCTCAATTTCTTCTCTCCCTTTCTTTCTTTCTTTCTTTCTTTCTTTCTTTCCTTCCTTCCTTCCTTCCTTCCTTCCTTCCTTCCTTCCTTTCTTTTTTACGTTTCCTAGGCAACTGGGCAAGGCTATTTGCTTTTCAAACACCTTGCATGCAATTCTGTCTCCTTTGCACTATTTTTCATCCTGAATCGTGTACTTTGATCCTTGGGATCGACCAGGCAAGGCGCAACTCCATCAAACAACATTAATTTTTTTGCAGGGCTTGGCCAAATTCAAACAGGAAATTCAACTGTGGTTTTATGACACCAGCAGCTAGTGATTTATGCCGGTTGCAGCTACAAAAATCCTTGCCCTTCTCCACTCCCTCCTCTGCCTTCTCCAACAAATGCTGGCTTTTAAGAATGATTCAATCAGGATTTAAGAAGGAGCTTCCCAGGCCTGCAAGGTCACCCTTAGGAGAAGGAGGATCCCCATGCGGGCATCTTCCACGCATGGCGCATGGCTGTGGGGCGAAGCCTCCCTCGGTGCCTCGTTAGCAGGAGGCAGATGAGAATAATTACAGCATCCACCAACTTGCCTTTTCCCTGCAGGAATTTTAATCGGCTTATTCTCCAGGCTGAGATTTATCCCAAAAGAGCCCGGCTGCTCTTTTCTTTTGCCGACAATTCTTGTGCTTTTCTTGTGGTGAATCACTGGCTCGCGTGCAGCGCATTAAAAAAAACCTGCCTTTGAGAATTGCAAGCCTTATTTGTGATTTGCGATGCTCCGTTCTGGAGGTGAAGCCTTTTGTGGGTCAGCTGGTTGTTCAAATGCAGTTTGGGGGTGGTGCTTTTGAAGTTGTGGCTTTTGTTGTCAGATGTGTCCTTGTCTCGGTTTTCTCGAGGCCTCTGAGCTGCTGTGCGCCGGAAATCGGTGATGTGAATCAAGTTGTGTGTATGCAGTGTATCAACCTGTCTACCCAACTCCCTATGGAGACTATAAGAATAAGATCTTACTCTCTGCTTAACTAGGTTAATTGAAGCCCCGGCAGCTACATTCACACATTCTAAGCTGGATTAAGTTTAAACTCGGTTAGTACTTTGTCCCTGAATGTCCTTAGGCTTTTATTTTAAAATTACTCTCATTTTTGTTATTCCTTGAGAAGCAAAATAAAAATTAGATTTTTTTCCCCCATTTATACAGTGAGAACGGTATATGAACCCCTTGAAAAATGTTGCATTTGTCTCCTGACCGACAAACGGTAAAGCTGTTTTAATCTGCAGAGTTTCATAGCTTCTCCTTTTGCAGATTAACTCTGAGCCACAAATATTAAAATCAAATCAGTGAAGTTATCCAAACCGGAAACAACTTCTGGGGCTTATTATCTTGGAAAATATTTTTGGCAAAGCTGAGTTGCGTTGCTCAATCCTGGCCAGTGGAAGGTGGGTGGACTTCAACTCCCAGAATTCCTCAGCAAGCCAGCCATCTCCCTCCCTTCTCTAGCCCATCCATCCATCTTTTCTTCCCTTCTCTATCCCTTTCTTCCACCCTCCCTCCTCCTCCTTTCCTTCCTCCCTCCCTTCATCTCTGTCCTCAATCTATCTTCCTTCCCCTCCCCTTGGGAATTCTGGGAATCAAAATCCCACCCATCTCCAGGCTGCCATGGGGCGAGAGCAGAAGACTAGGTATTACACTCAGCAAGGAAATCCATCCATCGGGATATATTTACAGACCAAAATAAAGGACAAGGCAGTCTAAATGCAGTGCGGGGCATATTTTATTCTGATTTTTTTTCTCTTTTTCTCCCTTCAAAATCTTTCTCCCGAATTTTAAAGTAAAATTCCGTCAATTCAATTTATGGCCGTCGTAGACCAGCACAGATTTACAGTGGTTGCCAAGGGCTCAAAGTGGGCAAAATGACTGCTGTGATTGTACGTGCGAGGAAGGGCGGTTAAAATCCTTCCCGCACCGTCGTAAGTCAAGGCCTAGCTGTTGTTCAGCTCTTCTGTTTTTCTCTCTAGGATTATGCGCCCGGACGATGCTAACATCGCCGGCAACGTGCACGGAGGGACCATATTAAAAATGATTGAGGAGGCCGGAGCCATAATCAGCACCCGCCATTGCAACTTACAATCCAGGGTATGTGGTCTCTGTTCACATAACCACTCTCGGAACACTGATTTGCTATTAAAAGACCTCCTTTTTTTACAGCCCTAGTTAAAAAAATATCTGCCTGTTGCCACTGTGATTTGAGGAATTTCAGCTCTCAAGTTCCATTTTTTACACGTTCAAGGTATCTCTTCCTGGTTTGGATTTTACAACAGGCCCAGATTTATATGTGACTTATATGTAGGGGAGTCGGTCTATACATGTGTTGTACATAGTATGCTTAAATGTGTGTTGCGTATGGGTACACTTTGAGAGCAAGCGACTAAATTTCATTTTTAATGTGTGCTGTTGTGCCCACAGTAAAAAATGACAATAAAGGTTATCGTCACCATCAGATAACCTCGACTCTTATAAAACAAAATCTAGAGATGTATTTTTCAATCTCCTGCATTTCTAAATAGCTTCTAGTTAAAGCAGATGCAGAAGAATTTTTTGAAAAGTCAGAGTTAAACGTGGCCGGCTATCATCAAATATTTAATCTACACACACACACACACACACACACACACACACACACACACACACACACACTTGCCAGAGCTTCCCCAAAATGTGCCAATTCCTTTCAATTATACAAAAATGTTTTTTAAAAAAATGCCAAATCTCAGTAGCCTGATTTCCTCTAGAAAAAAAAGAAGGAAGGAAAGAAGGAAGGAAGAGCTTAAAAATGAAACTAAAATAAATAAATAAACTGCCCAGTAGGTGGTGCTGTAGGATAATTTGATGGGGGGGTGTGAAAAAATGAAAAGCAACAACTGCATTTCCTTTTAAAACAGCTGGATGGTTTCTCCGCCCCCTTCATTCCTATTTTCCCAGGTCTGAGTTCGGGTCTTCCCAACGTTGCCTGCCGTGTATATTTTTCCTCAAGGCAATCTTCACGTTCCTTTGCACCCCGTTTGGAAGCAGCAACAGGCAATCTTTGACGTAACGGCCATCCACAGTTATGACGACGTGACTGCACGTCAGGCACTGCACAGCCAGTTTGCCTTTAGACCCATTTGCAGGGTCCTTAATGACCATGCCACTTTATGACTTCCGCGTTCGTTTAATATCCCCCGCAAAAAAAAAAAAAAAGGCCATAAAGTCAGATTGGTCCCTTGAGCGACCCCATTTACAACTGTCTCCGCTTACAGCTGTGAGGGGCAAGTTCCATTATGGTCGTAAGTTGAGGACTCCCTGTATTCCACCTTTCCTTTCACCGGGTACTTTCAGCTGTGATTATGTCAGGCGCGTTGAGAAATTTCTTTTTCGTTTTTTTTTTTTCTTTTTCTCTTGGCTTTTTTTTTTCTCCTGCTTATATGTGGATCTGGATTTTCCCTTGACTGGATTTTGTCTTCACCCCCCCCCAGGAGCCCTGCGTGGCCGCCCTGGCCCGCGTGGAGCGCACGGACTTCCTGTCCCCGATGTGCATCGGCGAAGTGGCCCACGTCAGCGCCGAGATCACTTACACCTCCAAGCACTCTGTGGAAGTCCAGGTGCAGGTCGAAGCAGAAAACATCCTCACAGGTAAACACTGGGGAACGCGACCAGCGCCCTAGATTTGATGTGTATTCTGTTGTATTCCATTCTATTCTATCGCAGAACGTGGATGGAAAATTAACCACGTAGCTTTGATGTCCGGGAATTCGGTCAAGTTTTAAATGAGACCCTTGGGACAACTTAGCCCCCCTTCCCCTCCTCCCACCTATTTACAAATTCTTCCTTTCTCCTTAGGTGCCAAGAGAGTGACCAACAAGGCCACTTTGTGGTACGTCCCTCTTTCTCTCCATAATGTGAACAAGGTTTTGGAAGTGCCTCCCATCCAGGTGAGTCTTGAAAGAGAAGAATATTTGATACCTATTTTTAAAGGTGGGGGGGAAGGAATTTAGTTCTCTAAAGCCTTGTTTAGTTCTTTTGATCCCCGCGGGCACTTTTTCAATTTAATTCTGGACTTTTCGCTTATAAGCCTCCCTCTTTCATTGTTGCTGTGTGACGGCACAAGGCCAGGCCATGTGATCCTCTTTTGCCACCTTCTGACAAGCAAAGACAATGGAGAAGCTAGATTCACTTAACAACCATATTACTAGCTTAACAATTACAGTGGTACACTTAGGGACTGTGGCAAGGAAGGTCGTACAATGGGGCAAAATTCACGGAACATATATCTCGCTTGACTTCTCTGCTAGTTTACACGGAAGGACCAGGAGGAAGAAGGGAGACGGCGTTACGAGGAACAGAAGCTGGCACGTCAGGAGACCAAAGAGAGGAACGGTGATGTCATTGTGCCTGTGATCAATCCAGGTGCGGTGGGCACCCGGGTGGCACGGAGAGACCTGCCTACACATTTATTGTCTCTTGCATTTCCAACATGTGTGTTTTGGGGGAGATTTGTATTTTCGGACTTGCATGATTCTTGTGATTGGGTTGGGTTGGGTTGAGTTGACATAGTAGCCTTGGCTATGATTGGGTTGGGTTGAGTTGAGTTGAAATAGTAGTTTGGACTGTGATTGGGTTGTTTTGTACTGAGTTGATTTAATAGCTTGGGGTGTGATGAGGTTGGCTTGGGTTGGGTTGAAGTGAGTTTAGTTGAGTTGACTTAGTTTAGCTCCGATTGAGTTGGTTGGGTTGATTTAACAGCTTGGGGTGTGATGGGGCTGGGTTAGTTTGGGTTGAAGGGTGTTAAATTGAATTGACTTACTAGTTTCGGCTGTGATTGGATTGGTTGAGTTGATTTAATAGCTTGGGATGTGGTGAGGTTGGGTTGGGTTGGGTTGAAGTGAGTTGAGTTGACTTAGTAGTTTGGACTGTGATTGGGTTGGGTTGAGTTGATTTAATAGCTTGGGGTGTGATGAGGTTGGGTTGGGTTGAAGTGAGTTGAGTTGAGTTCACTTAATAGCTTGGGGGCTGTGAACAAACACAGAAATAAGAGTAACAGTATTGGATGGGACCTTGGAGGTCTTCTAGTGCAACTCGCTGCTCAAGGTGGCTGGTGAAAAAATGGGGCTTAAGCAGGACTCCCCAATCTGCTCCCCTCTTGTAGCTGATTATTTCTACATTAAATTGCACTCTGCTTATCTGCCTGTCTCTGTTTCTTTTCATTGCTTTCCAGACAGGCAAAGTAAAGGTAAGGCCATTTAGATGAAATAATTTAGTTAAGGTCTGTGAATTATGGCTTGTAAGAGCCGACAGTTCTGCCTCTGGCTTAATACCAGGGGAACTGCTTAACTAGCTTTGCACCCTGACTGAAGGATCTTGCTTCAGCACAAAGTGCTTTAAATATCTTGATAACGAAAGTGAATTCCTGTAATTTTTTCCTGCCAGCGGACTATCAGTGTATTTTATTTATTGCTCAATACATCATTAACATTTGGAAACAATTAAGCTGTTCCGCCTGGTTAGAAAAGGACAGAATTGCAAAGTCGGAGGCTAGCCATGTCGTATAGCAAGGAATTCCTTGACATGACCATGAGGAAGTCTGACTATCACGGTCAGAAGTCATAACGGTCATAAATCGAATCACCCACATGACACATCCAATTTTATCACCATTTTTGGGGGGGCGGAGGGGCGTTAAGCCAACATTGTGGTCAGAAAGCAAATTTAGAGAACATTGTGGCCATTAAGTCATTGTCCTTCAACCCAATCCTTCTTCCTCCCTCAAGTAGCAGGGAAGGGAGAGAAGACAGGGTAGAACTTCCCTTGTCAAGGGGGGTTGAAAGTAGACTAAGGGCCACTTCTGAAGGTCACCCGTCCTTTTATGAGGAGCCCAGCCTGGTTCTCCTTCCGTTCTTCCACTTCTAGGAACCTTTTGCAGACTCCAAAGGGTAGAGTTGGGTCCTTGGGTTCCATCCTCACTTGTCCTTCAACTGCTCGTTTCTCTTTCCAGAGCCCTACACCATTGGATTCAGCCAGTCAAGTCTCATCCATCTGGTGGGACCATCCGATTGCACCATGCATGGATTTGTGCATGGAGGTGAGTCCTAGGAGAACCTCTCCTGTTGGCTTCCTATGGGCCGTATTGGTGTTCCTCTGGCTTCTTCTGAAGGGTCCTACCCTTCCACTCCTACCCAACGCTCAGATTACTCTTCCCCAACTGGTGTTATGTCTTCAACCTCTCGATGTCCACTTGCGAAAGAAGGATCACCTTGTTCCTTCATCTCAGATGCTCCTTGAGGGCTTCCTCAATCTTGGAGCGTGGACCTCTTGGGCAACCAAATCTTCCACATTGTGCAGATGATAAAACACCCCAGAATTTACAATAATATGTCCAGCCCCTGGCAAGGGAGGTAGCATCCCTCCCTATCGTGCCTTGCTTTCTATTTTTACAAGTGCGCGGAAGTCACAAGGCTCAAGATAGAAGTGTGGAAAAAAGTGTGTGAGAAGCGTGCTCTTAATTTCCTCCTGAACGAGGAAGGCCCAGAAACAGATTCAGATGTGAACATGGCACTTAGAATCTTCGGATTGGAAGGGACCTCAGAGGTCCTCTAGCCCAACCCCCTTGCTCAAGGCACGGGGTCTTATACCATCCAGCTCAGATGGCTGTCCAACATTTTCTCTTGAAAACAAAAAGATTTCCAAAAAAAAATCCAGTTTTTCCATTTGGGAACATAAGACTGCATTTACACACAACCAGATCTGTTTAGGTCTCTTGCAACAACTGCGATGAGCGAAACCAGCTTGTGGTTAGCTCAACTTTGCCATTAAATGTCAGCCCAGCCCTTTGCCACTTCCGAGCTTGGAAAAAAAACTGTTTTTTTCAATCCTGGATTTTCAAAGGAAGATTAGCTAAGAGAGGCGGACGGGGGTTTTGCTTCCAGTTCTGACCCACGAAGGGGTGGGGGGCTCTAAACCCGAGCGTTGCCGAAGACCCTTTGGGTAAACTGAGGACAAGCCCTTTAATTGGAGAAAAAAAGGGGGGGGGAATTACTTTCCCCGAGACTGGATGAGCCTCAGACGTGGGAGTGGTTGCTATAGGAACTTTTCACGGTGGAGAAAGCTGGGGGAATTTAGACCCCTGTAATTAAAATATTCCTTGGGGAGGACGCGGTGGAGGTTTTATTGGTGGGGGACATTTTGAACTTACAGCGAGTCAGTGAAATTAAATAGGTTGTTTTTTTCCCCTTGCCGCAATCGTTTTGCTAACAATGCTGCAGCACCTGTTGAATTGCAAGGCATAAGGGGAGTGGGGGGGGGTGGAAGACAGGGGTCCCTCTAAAAGTTTTGGGGCCTCCTCCCGTTCTCAAGAGTGAGAGGAGCGCCAAGTTGGATGTTAAGCTAGACTCCTGTCTTTTGACTCTAATGTATATTCCACACCTTTCCTTGCTTCAGCCCTGGTTTTTCTGGCTTTGAATAATGGATCCAACCTATCTCGGTCAAGGTTGTTCGCACAAGTCTGGATTCACACACACACACACACACACACACACACACACACACACACACACACCAATGCTTGCAGGGACCCCTTGCTGAAATCTCCCCTTGGCCTGCTTTCACCTGCCTGACACTTGACCCAACCCTGGTTGTCCTTAATAAACGTAATTTAACCAAAATGATCCCTCCGGTCCCCTGGCGACTCAGCTCCCAGCTTCACAGACCCACGTAGAAAACGCCAGGCAGAGCCTCATCTAAATGGAATTAATTCTGAATTCTTTTTTCGTGGCAAGAATGGGGTTAGCACGGTAGCTGTGGAGCACAGGACCCACAAACACACAGACAAAGACCCCTCTGGGATCCCATTTGTTGTGTTAGGAAGATGTTGGGGGTTTTTTGTCTTGTTTTTCCGTCGTCGTTGCTCTTCATTTAGATCCTGCTGCTTTAATAAGACGAGGCTCCAGCGATGACAAAAGCCTTGCTGGTTGCTTGCGAGTGTGTGTGTGTGTGTGTGTGTGTGTGTGTCAGTTGTGCTATTTTTAGCCAGCGTTTCGCTTCTCGTTAGTCGGGAGTACTCGCTCGCTTGGAGCTGGGTGAAGGGTTTGAGCTCTGCAATTCGCAGGAAGCAACGAGGTTTAATTAATTGTCTTCTGCAGGGCCTGCAGCTCTTTGACAAGCTTTCCATTTTTTTTTTCCCCTCCGCCTCCCTTCAAACTTCAGTTGTGGGAACAGCAACACCCCGGAGAGGCGTCTTCGGGGTATTTTTGCAACCTACTTTCAGAAAAAAACGAGCCGTGGTTGACTCAGTTTCCTCGCTCTGTCTGTCCTCCAGCAGCTGCTGAGGGGAGACGGACGGACAGACCTGGAAATGCAAGCATGAATTCTTGAGAGACTTGCAGATTTATTGGCTTGTTCGTATCCACACCTTTGTTATTTTGATAAGCAACTTGGGGCAGTAAAGCCGGCCTGATGCTCCTTCCTCATCCTGTTTTTCCCGCACAACAACCCTGTGAGGTGGGCTGAGAGAGAGGGATTGCCTGGAAGTCATCTGGTTGGCTTTCATGCCTAAAAGCAGGACTAGAACTCACAGTCTCCTGGTGATTGACTCAAAGTCACCCAGCCAGACTTCATGCCTAAGGCAGAACTAGAACTCACATCTCCTAGTGACTGGCCCAAAGTCACCCAGCCATCTTTCATTCCTAAAACAAGACTAGAACTCAGCGTCTCCTGGTGATTGACCCAAAATCACATAGCCGGATTTCATGCCTAATGTGACACTAGAACTCTCAGTCTCCTGGTGATTGGCCCAAAGACACCCAACTGGCTCTCATGCCTAAGATGGGACTAGAACTCCCCAAGTGACTGGCAAAACAGACTGGAAGCGGTTTATAGAAGGGCCGTGAAAACGAGCAGGAAGCGGGAAAGAAATCTTGAAGCCACTTAGAAGATCCTCCTGCTACATCAACTCTCTTAGAAATGAGCAAAAAAGCAAAATGTCAGAAGGCACTCAGAGAAGTAGCTAGCACCCCTTCCTTACCAACGATCAGGGAGATGTTGAACCCCCGTCAAGTTTGCCCCTCGAGATTGCCTCCAGAATTTGTGGGTGCCCTCTTACAGGAGGTCTTCAAGATGAGACCGGACAACCACTGGTCTGGAATGGTATAGGGTCTCCTATTTAACCGGGGGTGGACTAGAAGACCTCCCAGGTCCCTTCCAGCCCTAGGATTCTACATTCTCTGTTTTTGTACATGGAGGACCACCTAATTCTCCTTCCCAGCTGGAGCTTGCTGGCCCGGGGACCTCTTCAACAGGCCTCCGTTAATCCCGTCTCTTATCCTCCTCTCCAGGCGTGACCATGAAACTCATGGACGAGGTAGCAGGTATCGTAGCCGCTCGCCACTGCAAGACCAACATCGTCACGGCTTCTGTGGATGCCATCAACTTTCACGAGAAGATCAAACAAGGTAAATGGTGGGCCCCCATACTCTTGTGGTCAGTAAGACCTGTCACCTTTTTTGATCTCATTTTTCAATTGTGGTCATAAGGGGATTAGAGCAGATGACCTCCAAAGTCGTTTCCAACTGTGTTACTCTCTTAAATCCCTTTGGATTTTCTCTGCGGCCCCGGCTGTTCAAACGTGGCCCGCGGAGAGCTGTCCAGGGTGCTGATTCACTTGGTGTCCAACGTCAAGCTTTGCTCAATCTGGAAGACTTATTTCAGAAGGTGTGTGCTCCCGTGTGTTGACTTTGTTGTTTCTTGCAACCTGGCCAATATTACGCAAGGTGCTGGCAATGTTCCTTTTAACGCAAGTGGCATTTATCAGCAAATCTCCGTTCTCCGTGGAGGAACATTTTGTTCCACATTGAGTGAAGCATAAGATGCCCGTTGGGTTGACTTGATTGTCACACCAACGTCTTCCAAAACCCTCCAGTTTCAAGTGGATCAAATTAGCATTTTAAGAGCTTCCTGGATGAGAACATGGGCCCTCGCTTGTTAATCTCGAGAGAAACGCCCTCTCCCTGGGAAAAAGCTAAATTTGATTTTTGGAAGCCTCTCTTGCTTATTTTCTTAAGCAAATGTTGAGTTTATTATAGTCTACTTTTGTTTTTTTGTTTTCAAGCCGGCTGCTCTATTTGAGTAACTTGGGAGCCATCAGGGACTCTCTGCTAAATTTTCTCGGCTGAATTTTTTTCTCCCTAGATCTACAGGTGGTCCTCGACTTAACGACCCAAAATTGAACTCAAAATTTTTGGGGCTAAGTGAGGCAGTTCAGTGAATTTTGCCTCACTTTAGGAGCCCTCTGACTCCGTTATTCTGTATTCCAAGAATGTAAAACTCAACAGCTATCAGAACACGTCCCAGATGAGTTTGGCTTGAAGCCACCATCTGCTGTTCATTACTGATGCTCGGTTGGTTTCCTCTCCTGGCTTCAGCGAATTCTCTTCCAGGATCCAGAGATGCTGGGAAGCAGATGAAGCCCAGAGGACTAGTGTCGTAGGTTCAGCTCAAGTGCTCTGCTGTAGCTCCTGGGCAAGCCCACCAACCAGGTCACCCGGCGCCCGTAGCGGTCTTTCCTTGTGGCCTCCTGTTTCGGTTAAGAATGGAACCTGAGGGGTTTCTAGCTTCGGTCAAAGACCCCCAATCGGGGATCAGAAGGAGACTGTGCAGGAGCAACCTCGCCTCGTTGAGGGAAATCTGAGCTGGCATCTGATCAGGCCAGGATGAGGGGAAGGCATCTAGTCCAACCCACTGCAGAATGCGGGAAAGCCGGTTCGACCCTCTTTGAGAGGTGTTGTTCAGTTTCTTCAAAAACCTCCAGAGATGGAGAACCCAGAACGTCCCTAGGTCCTAGGTTGAATCTTTCCCTCTCAGTCATCAAGAATTCTCCATTGGGCCTTTGTTCAGATTAAGCATCTGAATTTCCTCTGAGGATATGTCAGCTTCCTTGAGGAACATCTCAAGTTCCTCTGAGGACAAGTCAGGTTCCTTGAGGAACATCTCAAGTTCCTCAAGGAATATCTTAAGTTCCTCAAACAACATCTCACGTTCCTCTGAGGACAACTCATTCCTCAAGAGACATCTCAAGTTCCTTGAGGACCGCCTGATCTTGGTTCCTCTTCCAGAAGACCAGGCCCTTCGCAAAAGTGACTTCGCATCCTCCAGAGAAGGTTATGGCCCTCGTCCTTCAGTGTAGCCCCTTGGAGTTGCCATCAGCTGTCCTCAAACCGATCCCCCGCAAAGTCCAAACTCAGTTGTCCTTCGCGAAGACCGTCCTCGCCCCCAGAAGACCCTCGCTCACAAATGTCCTTTCCGTCCCGCAGGGAGCGTCCTCACCATTTCTGGCCGTATGACCTTCGCCAGCAACAAGTCCATGGAGATTGAGGTCTTTGTGGACGCCGACCGCTTCGTGGGGGAACCTCAGGAGCCATACCGGGCGGTCAGCGCCTTCTTCACCTACGTGTCCCTGAGCAAGGAGGGGAGACCTTTGCCCGTCCCGCAGCTGGTGGTGAGTTTGGTTTTGTGGGTCGGCCAAACAGGGAATTGTTTCAAAGCCCACACAACATCTCTGAGGTTGTTGGCGTTCCAGCTTGGTTTCCAGGGCTTGTTTCATCAAAACTGGGGGAGTGGGCTGCAGGACCCCCGAAGATGGTTGTTTTCCATGCTCAAGCGAACCATTGCGTGGCTGAAAAATCTACCCCTACAGGTGGGCCGTGGCTCGGCGAAGCCAAAGTGTAAAATATAAAATATTTTAGTTGTTTGTTTATATATATGTGTACACAAACAAACAAACAACCAAAATATTTTATATTTTATACTTTGGTTTCTTTGGTGTCTTCTGGACAATTATTGCCAAGCGGGTGAATTTTGAATTTCCTCGTTTTTGTCTTTTTTTCCCATCAGCCTCCATCTCTCTTTCCTGCCTCCCCCTTCCCCCCCCCACATACTATTGTTGGTTTGTCTTCCCATCTATTTTTAGCAATCGCAGCTTGCCAAGATAAAAACCGACAATGCAGGAGGGGGCGAAGTGCTGTTCCTCGATTTATACATTATGTCTCTTGGTCTCCCCCCCCACACACACACACTTCCGTGATCCTCCGTTGTGGCATCGAAGGCTGGGATCTGGGGCTGAGCGTGTGTGTTTGTGTGTTTTAAGCCACCCTTGATCCGTTTTTCCGTGCATCTCCAGCTTTTAAATCCCCCTTTCCCCCAAAAAACTTCTCTGTTTTTTCTTTCCTGTGATGTTATTGCCTTCCTTCCTTCCATTCTCCCTCTTCCTCCCTCCCTCCTTCCCTCTCCATCCCTCCTTGCTTTCCTTCCTTCCTTCCTTCCTTCCTTCCTTCCTTCGTTCCTTCCTTCCCATCCATCCTTTTTTCTCTCCATCTCTCCCCCTCCGTCTTTTCCTTCCCCTTCCCCCTTCTGCGGGCCCTCTGAGTCCCATTCACCCTCCCCAAAAGAAGTTATCTCCCCCCACCAAACAAACCTTTTCCCTGCCCCTCTCCATCCTGGGGGGGCAGGGCACCCCTCCAGCCTATCTGGCAGCCCCCCCCCAGCTTCCCCACTGGGATTCTCCTGATATATCTCCCCCCCCCCCCCCGCCATGGGGCTTCGGCCAGCCTCCCCCGCCAGATATCATGGGGGCTCTTGCTGCGATGCTCCCCCTCCACCCAGCGCCCCCCCTCCTGACCTTCAGCTCGGCTCCCGCCCCGTTAATGAGCGCTGATCAGCATCGGTGCCCACACGCAGCTGGCAAAGGGATCCTCGGGGTGCCAAGCGCCGGGAGGCGGGGGGGGGGGGAAGCCCAAAGATTTGTCGAGCTTGAGTGTGCCAGCAGGGGGCCCTTCCTGGTGGTCATCCTCAAAGGAAAAAAGAGAGAAAAGGGGGGAAATTAAGTTCTTGGGCCCTGAAGTCCAATTCACCCTGATCGGCAACGCCAGGAATTGGCTGGCATTGAACAGAATGGCTGAAGCACGATCCTTTGCTGGTCAGAGGGGGACCCTGGAGGTCATCTAGCCCAACCCCCTGCCCAATGCAGGAAGCCAAGCTGAAATATAGAAGCCTACAATGGAAAGGTTGGAAGGGAACACTGAGGTCTCTCTCTCTCTCTCTCTCCCCCTCCCTCCCTCCCTCCCTCTCTCTCCCCTTACGTAGTGGATCGTGGGAATGTAGCAATCGTAATATATCTTGATTTCAGAAAAGCATTTCACAAAGCCTTCCAGGACGTCCTGAGTTGGCAGCTGGCAAAGGAAGCCTGTCCAACAGCCGGACCTGCTGCTATGTGGGGACATGGGCTGCCCACCCACTCACCCACCCTTATCCTCTCCCCCCCCTTTCTCTCCCCCTGCAGTTGGAAACCGAGGACGAACGGCAACGTTTCGAAGAAGGGAAAAGCCGCTACTTGCAAACAAAAGCGAAACGTCAAGCAGAGATGCAGCCCCTCACCCAACAGTGACCTTTGGGACAGAGACCCTCTCAGCCCCTACACCCAGCTGGAAAGGGGGGGCTGTGGCAACATCCAGGAGGGCCCCCGCCCTCTCCTTTCCAGCCAAAATCCATTCCATCTTCTCCGTCACCATCGTAGCTAGCCGGGTGGGCTTTTGAGACAGTCTAGGGTGGGCCGATGGGGAGGGGACACACATCCACAGAGACGGGCCAGCCGATCCAGCAAGGTGGGTTGTTTTATTAACCACCTTAAGATAGGCATCTTCAGCTTGGGGAAGATCCATCGTTACCGTCCCAAGAAAACACACAGGCTTTGATTTCACAGCCCCTCCCTTCACGTTCAGAAGCCCCCCCTCCCTCCAGCTCTCTTCCTCCCCGTCTTTGGTGTATGTGTCGTGCAGAGGTATATGTTTGCCTAATTTATTCAGTGACGGTCACAAATAAACGTGTGCCTTTAAACGTCTGGATCAGAGACTGTTTTTTGCCTCCCGGGGGTCCCTCTCGGCCCCACCATCCAGATTCTGTCAGAATCAGATTCTCTGGTCGGTCCAGAAATAAAGAAATGAAGGAGGGAGGGAGGGAAGGAAGGAAAAAGGGAGGAAAGAAAGAAGGAAAACAAAAAGGAAGGAAGGAAGAAAAAAGAAAGGGAAGGGAAGGAGGAAAGAAGGAAAAGAAAGGAAGGAAGGAGAAAGAGAAGGAAGGAAGGAGCCCTCTGAAGGATCAGGTTGCAGACCAACAACAGCCCCCTCCTCTCTCTCCCCCCTTGCTCTATCGCCCCCTCCCCGCGGGTAGATAGAACTCCACGGCCAGCGCGGCAGCGGACGATGGGAGCCGCAATCCCGCCACCTCGCAAGCCGGCGCGCCTGCAGCAGCGGACGAATCCCCCCTCCGCTTCGTCAAGCGGGGAGGGGCCATCTGTGCCCTCCCCTCCCCCAGATTACGGAGGAAAGGGCGGGGAGGGGGGGCGGAGTTGAGCCTCCCTCCCTCTGGCCGGCGGGCGGAGGGTCTCCCAGGCGCGTCCCCGGAGGGTCCCCCATCCCGCGGGAGGGGCCGGCCTCTCGCGGGGGAGGGCAGCCGAGTCGCAAGCATGCGCTGGCCCGCCCCGGACCCGCCCAGCCCAGCCCCGGCCAGGCCACCGGGAGTGCAGGCGGCGGCGCCGGAGCCGGCGGGGCGCAGGGACAACCGGAGCCCACCTTTGCGCAAGTGAGTCCCCGCGGCCGGAGCATGGGCGCCCGCGGGCGCCTCCGCGGAGCTCTTTTCCTCCCCCCGCCCCCGCAAGGCGGCCCCACTCGCCCCTCCCTCCCCATCGGGGATCCCCCCCACGTCATCTCCCAAGCAGGCGCCGGGGAGCCCCCCCCGCCTGCCACGGGGGGGGGGGATGCCAGGCGCGCTCCGCCCCAGAAGGTTGCAAATGAAGCGCTTCCTCTGAGCTGTTCTGCAGCCCCCCTCCGCCACCCCCTGGGGGGGCTCAGCCCCCTCCCCAAAAGGCACTTAGTGGCTGCCCCGTCCCCTTCCCTGCAAGGTGGGGGGGGCAAGGCTGGTGCCCTCCCCCGGGACTTGCAAATGATTTAATGATCGCCAAAAGGAGAGGGGCGCGGAGGGGGCGGGGGGGGTTCGCATCGCGTTCTCAATTCCGCTGCGGATTCTCTTACATAAAGCTTTGGATCGGGGCTGGTGGGGGGTGGGGTCGGCTCCGCAGAAGGGGGTGTGGACAAGGCGGCCCCCCTCCCCTACAGAACGGGGGGATCCCGCCCCCTTGTAAGCCCCTCTGCCCTCCCCTCTTCCCCCATCCTATGCGTCTCTGCGGGATCGCTTTGGGAGGGTCTACTCTAACGGGCTGCCTGCATTTGGGGGGGCACGGAGGGGGGGGCGGTCGAGGGACGCTGGTGAGGCCGTGGCGCATGGGATCCCGAGTAGCGCCCGGGAGCCATTGCAACAGCTGGTGGTTTAATCCAGGCAAGGGGGAGGGTCATTTAGCACCGGAGAAAGTGCTTTGGAAAATGCCAGCCTAATTTAATCTGGATTGTCTGAAAGGACTCGGGGCGAGGTTTGGGGGACCCCCTAGCAGTCCCTGACACCCTTTCAGGGGGTCCCCCCATCTCAAACCCACCCAGCTTTTAACATTGCTCCCTTTTAATGCCCAATGCGCTCAATATGGATAGAGACCCCTCCCCATCCCACTGACCGAAGCTGGATTATTTTGGAGACGCGGAGACCCCAATTTTTCTGACAAACTCTGATCTAAGGAGGGGTTCCTCCCCCCCTCCCCATCCCTGTTTTAGCTGCATCGGTGGCTGGGCGGCCTTCAGAGCACCTGTGGGTATTCAGATAGACTGCTCCTGCTTGGGGAGGATTCACCAGAGACCTGTTAACAGAGGGGGAATCTCCCCTTGGTTCTCAGAGAGAAAAATAAGCTTTTCGGGTGAGCAAAACAAAGTTTAAGGGGAGGGGGCTGGGATTCTGCCCCCCACCCTTCCGTGCATGGCTTTTAAACCAAGTCCAAATTTGTTGTGAGATTTTTTCCCCCCACTTTTTTTCCTTTTCAAAAAGCACCTTCTGCGGTCATGGGATCAAAATTCGGACACTTGGCAACTGACTTCTTTTATGACGGTCGCAGCACCCGGGGGGGGGGTCATGTGATCACTTTTGCAACCTACCAATAAGCAAAGCTGAGAAGGAAGCCAGATCCACTTAACAACCGTTTGGGGGGGCTCAGTCCAGTCTTCTCCCAGGTGGTTTGAACCGCATCACCCCAAATTTGCAGTCAGGCTTCCGGGGAGGCTGGCCTAGATAAAGAGAAACGGTGCGAAAATTAAAAATGGCTTTATTCAGTTTTTTCCTGTGCTGAGCCTTAAAAGAAACCGACCGCCTTCCTGTATCGAAGTGTGAATCCCACAGTGTGTGTTGTGTTTTTTCATGGGCCGGTCCTCACAACGGGCTGGCGTGGGCTGAAATGAGTCCTTTGTGACTCAGCGTGTGTTGTTCGGTGAAGATTATGTCGCGGTGGGGTTTATCCTGGATTTATTCAGTGTTTGGAGCCGAATGCGGGAATTCGAAGCGGATTCCCAGAGGTCATCCAGTCCAACCCCCTGCCACGAGCTTTTGTATGGTTTAGGCAGGGCTTAGAGGCAAGGGTGTTGCGCGAACCCCCTTGGCAAGGAGAGAGGGCCCATGGCAGCACAATTCTGCAGGGCTTGTGCGACAAACCGAAGCAGTTCTTGTATTAAAAAGGAGGCTAGTCCTCAAGCATTTTCTTCAAACACAGGTGTTTGAAGATCCACTTTTGCAACCTTCTGACCAGCAAAGGCAATGGGGGGGGAGCCGGATTCACTTAATAACCATGTGACTGCCTTGATTCACTTAACGTGTTGCAAGAAAGGTCGTAAAATGGGGCAAAACAAACCACCTTGCTTAGCAACGGAAATTCTGATCATAAGTGGAGGACTCTCTGTATTGTTGTACTTAAAGTAAAAAACACAGCCCTTTTTTAAAAAAAAAAGTTATTTATTTTCCCAGCTGGTCGTGCGCTGTTTTCTCCAGCGTAACCCACCCACATCGGAGCAATTTTATTCCCGCTGTTTTTACCCAGCTGGGCTAATAGACCATGAGGAAGATCTTCACCCGTGGCTTAAAATGGCTGTGCGGACCGAAAAAACAGAGCTTGCTTAGTTGTCGCTCCCAATTAATTCTTAAACCGACTTCCGTGGTATTTTTTTGGCACTTTCTCTCCCCACGCTGGTGAAGCTGCCGGCTTTTGAGGCTGATGCTCCACAAGGCTGCCATCCGTGAGAGGGGGGGGGTAGAAATAGAGAGATGGAGAGAGAAAGGATAGATAGATGAGAGAGAGAGAGAGAGAGAGAGAGAGAGAGAGAGAGAGAGAGAGAGAGAGAGAGAGATAAACAGAAGAGGTAGAAATAGAGATGGAGACAGAGATAGATGAGAGAGAGAGGTAGAAATAGAGAGATAGAGAGAGAGGATAGATACATGAGAGAGGTAGAGCTAGAGAGAGAGAGATGGAGAGAGAGGATAAATATAGACAAATAGACTAGAGAGAGAAATAGAGATGGAGAGAGGATACATATAAAGACAGAATAGAGATGATAGATGGAATAGAGAGATACAGAGAGAGAGATAAGTGATAGATATGGAGGGATAAGAGATGATAGATGGAATAGAGAGAGATGGAGAGCAAGAGGAAAGAAAGAGATGGGGGGGGGGACAGTAGATTTATTTTAGGGAGAGGATTTGAACTGGGAGCTGGCTGCTTCCTTACAGGCCATTATTCCCAAACCAGAGATTACATCCTGGCACAGACCCCCAAATCAGTAAATGCAGCACAGCGCATAATGCTATTAATTATACAGAACGCAAATTAAAATTTAATCCAAATGGAAGTTAAACGTACTGCTGCTTTTATCTATTTGGAAATAAATCCCCGGAAAGGGTCACCTGGCTTTTAATTTACAGTGGCTTTTCAGCAGGTCAACCCAATGAAGTAATTATGGCTTGTTCAGGAAACTGGGATTAAAACCAACTGCCAGGATGTGCTAATGCTCTGGCTTGTTCTAGTTTAGTTTTTTTTTTAAAGAGCCACAGTTAAACTGGTATTTGTTTAAGGATTGAAAGCCGATTAAAAAGAAAAAAAAAATTAAAACGAAAGATGCTGATGAGAGCAAATTGGGTGGCTGAGATGCTTTTCCGTTGCTGAGAAGGAATTTTTTGTCTTTGCTTTCCAAATTAACTTTTCAAAAGTGATTGTTTTTTTTCTCCACCAGCAAGTCACTTTTTTCAGTGCCGTTGTAACTTTGAACCATTGTTAAACGAATGGTTTGTAAACCAAGGATTGTATTGTATTCCCTAAGATTATTCTTAAAATTCTCTGTCCCTGAAAAAAAAGGGCCCCCCAGAACCGGTCCTTGCGCTTATGACGTAGTGTCCCAGCAGTCACAGAATCAAAATTAGGATGCTTGGCAAATGGTGTGAATTTACGACGGTCGCAGTGTCCCGGGGTCACGTGATCACTATTTGCGACCATCCCAAAGAGGTAGGGGGGGGGGGTCCGACAAGCAAAAGGGGGGTGAACGACTGCATGGTTTCTATGGTGATTCACTTTACAACCCCAGGAGAAATGTTTGAAAAATCAGTGGTGAATCGCTTAACGGCCAGATTGCTTACTTTCGCCCCCCCCCCCACTGTGGTCGTAAATTGAGGACTATCTGCATGAAAAATTGGGGGGGGGAACGTTTTAAAAAGCCTGAGACGGTTTTCTTCCACCAAACAAAGAGAAAAAAACAGGATATTTGAGGAGAGCGAGTTCTATTTCTGGCAGTTTCTTTCTGCAAATTCCTTGGAGAATCTGCTTTGTTGTTTTGGTTCAAGCTACAGCCAAACCCAGCCAATCAAGGCATATTCCAGGCTGATTTTTTTTACCCCCATTTTTGGGAAATGCACAGTGTTTATTTAAAAAAAGAAAAGAACAATATTTTAATTTAGCCTCGGCTATAGCTGCCGGAAACGTGGCAGATTCAACATTAAATCAGGGGCAGACAAGAAATATTTCTTCTGTTGGACAAGATTTCTTTCCAGCTGAGAAGGAGAGGCGAAAATGCAGAAACCCTGAGACATGTTACGGTATTCAGTGAATAAGGGTTTAAAATAAAATTACGTGCGTGTTTGGAGAGGGGAGTAAAAATCTGGATTTGCGTCTCGAAGGTCCTAACCACGGGAGGAAGGAGCGACGAGGAGGAGAGAGGAAAACTGGAGCTTTTGGGCTTGTCCGTGCTTTTAACAAATTTAATAATAAATAAATGATAATCAATAAATAATACAAAATACTAAACACATAGGGTTTTTTTTTTCCCAGCCGAGAAGGCAAGGCAGAAATGCAGAAACAACAAATTCTTAAGGAATAAGAATTTAATAAATAAAAAAATAAAATAAAATGGGGTGTTTGGAAAGGATGAGCAAGAAAGGTGGTTTTGCAGCTTGAAGGTCACAACATGCAAGGAAGGAGCAGTGAGAAGGGACGAGGAAAACTCAAAGCTCCTTGGATTGTCTAGGTTTTTAACACACTTAGTGAATAGAATAGCATAGCATAGAATAGAATAGAATAGAATAGAATAGAATAGAATAGAATAGAATAGAATAGAATAGAATGGAACAGAATAGAATAATAAAATAAATTACAATAAATATAAAATAAAATTAAAAATTAATTAAATTAAATTAAACTGTTCTTCTCTTTCAGAAACATGGGCCACCACACGATGCCTGTCAACTCTGGCTTGTCGGTGCGCAGGTGGGGGGCGCCCCCTCCTCGGACCCACCCCTGATGGCGTGGCCTCTCCGGTAGGATGCCTCCCCTGCCCGCCTTCTTCCTGGCTCGCCATCCTCACCTGGCCTCCCCGGCTGGTCGCCCACCTTGCCATCCATCATGAACCACGAACAGAGCCTGCACAACAACGCGGTGGCCTGGCTGGTGTGCTCTGGCCTGGCGGTGCTGGCCAACGCCTGGGGCATCCTGAGCATCAGCGCCAAGCAGAAGAAGTGGAAGCCGCTGGAGTTCCTCCTCTGCACCCTGGCGGGCACCCACATCCTGAACATCGCCGTCCCCATCACCATGTACTCGGTCATCCAGCTGCGCCAGCAGCACTCGGACTACGAGTGGAACGAGGGGCTGTGCAAAGTCTTCGTCTCCACCTTCTACACCTTGACGCTGGCCACCTGCTTCTCCGTCACCTCGCTCTCCTACCACCGGATGTGGATGGTACGCTGGCCGGTGAACTACAGGTAGGACCCCGGGGTGGAAGGCAGGCCCGTTGGGGGAACGTCATTCCTGACAAGTAATTGTGCAGTCTCTTCTTGAAAGCCTCCAATGTTGGAGCACCCACAACTTCTGGAGGCAGGCTGTTCCACTGGTTGATTGCTCTCTCTGTCCAAAAATTTCTCCTTATTTCTCCTTGATCAGTTCTGATCTGTTATTCCTTGTCTGGCCTTCAGGTGCTTTGGAAAATAGGTTGACCCCCTTCCTCTTTGGGACAGCCCCTCAAATATCAGAAGACTGCTGTCACGTCCCCCCTTGTCCTTCCTTTCACTAGACTAGCCATGGCCAGTTCATTCGTTTGTCTCTCCATCTCTCCATCCATCCATCCGTCAGTACATCTGCTTATCCATCCAAGCTTAAAGACTCTGGTTTGAGCAATAAGGATAATTTGTGTGTGTGGGGGGGGGGGTCTTTCCCGTTGCTGCAGATTAAGTAACACCAAGAAGCAGGCAGTCCACACAGTGATGGGCATCTGGATGGTCTCCTTCATCCTCTCCACGCTGCCCGCCGTGGGTTGGCACGACACCACCGAGAGATTTTACGCCAGCGACTGCCGCTTCATCGTCACGGACATCGGCCTGGGCTTTGGGGTCTGCTTCCTGCTCCTCATCAGTGGCAGCGTGGCCATGGGGGTGGTCTGCGTAGCCATTGCCCTCTTCCAGACCTTCTCCATCCAAGCGGGTAACAACCTGGATAAGAACAAGTTCAACGTGCCCACCATCGTGGTGGAGGATGCCCAGGGCAAGCGCCGTTCCTCCATCGACGGGTCGGAGCCCGTCAAGACTTCGTTGCAGATCACCTACCTGATCACTGGCATCGTTTTCCTCTACGACTTCCTGATGGGATTCCCCGTCTTGGTAAAAGGGGCGGCAGACGTGGGAGGGGGGTGGATGCTGAGAGCAGTCTAACATGGGGTGGGGGTGGGGGGGTATTTGGACGCAGGTATTTGTGCCCCAAGCAGAGAGATTGCAGGAAAACACTGGCAAGAGACAAACAACAGAGAGGGGGAGAGAGATGGATACAGATGATAGATTAGATAGATAGATAGATAGATAGATAGATAGATAGATAGATAGATAGATAGATAGATAGATAGATAGATTTATATCCTCCCTTATTGATTAGAATTGATTCAAATGCAGTTGATTGGGGAATCAAAGCCTGCTGGGTGTCTTTGAGCCGGTTACTCTCTCAGCCCAGTCCACCCAGCAGGCTGTTGTGTGTAAAAGAGGAGGAGGAGGAAGGAAGAATACCAGTTGTATTTGCCACCTTGAAGTGTTTATAAAAATAATGGAAGGAAGGAAAGAAGGAAGAAAGGAAATAGAAGGGGAAGGGAAGGAGGGAGAAAGGAAATAAGAATTGATAATTTACACATAAATTCAGCCTGTCTTATTTATTAGAATTGATTGGAGGTTTGCTTCCTGTGGTGCTGCTTCTCTCCTTTCCAGGTGGTGAGTTTTGCCAGCCTGAAGTCGGACGTGGCCTACGACTGGATGGTGCTTTGTATCCTCTGGTGCTCCGTGGCCCAGTCCCTTCTCCTCCCGGTGTTCCTGTGGGCCTGCGACCGCTACCGGGCCGATGTCCGCTCGGTCTGGGAGAAGTGCGTGGCCATCATGTCCAATGACAGTGGGGAAGGTGAGCGTGCGGTTCCCAGTGGCGGTGTACCTCAAATACAGGTGGTTTACCTCAGATACCCCTCCGTACGGCTGCATAATGAGGGGAGAAAAAGAGACTCTCTTTCTAGTTTCTCCGGATATAATGGCGACGGCGGAAGAATTGTACTTTCAGACTTGCAAAGTTCTTGTAACAGGGAAGATGTGGCAAAGACTCACTGAATCTCCCTGTTTATATCTCCTGTCCTCCCTGTCTACCTGGGACCAAAGAGACGAGTTTGGACCGGCCGATTCCCACAGATGTAATGTGCTCGCAACCCTACCCGGACAGCATCTCCAGGGACGTTCTCACTGTGGACCAGATCACCAACTCCGATCTCTCAGCGCTGGAGAGGGGGGTTGCGAAGCCCGTCCCGGAGGACAAAATGCAGTATCTCCAGGTGAGCAGGTGTGGTTGGGCTTGAGAAGGGTGAGAAGATGCCACCAAGGTTTGACTTTCTCATTTCTGTTCTGTTTTTTAGCCATCATGCACTTCTTCCGTTTGCTTTTCTAGTTTGTATTTTTTTCAATTTCCATAAAAGGTGGAATCTTTTAAATTTTAAAAGATTAAATGAAGCGATCTTCCCATCCTCTCTCTGCTGCTCTCTGCAGGTTCCTCCGACTCGGCGTTTCTCGCACGACGAAATTGAGATTTGGACTACCAGCCAGATTTCGGCCTACTTTCAGCACTGGGTGGCGGGGGAGGACATCACTGCGGAACTGGCAAGCCTGCTCCTCCCTCAGCCTCGATACAATCGGCGGAGGAGCAGCATCCTTTCCTACCAAGAAGAACGGCGTCCGCACCGAAAGCGCAGAAAGTCCATGGAGAGCACATTATCCCTCAAGCCGTTCTCGTACGAAGACGTCCACCGGGCGGGAGGGTACAAGTGCTTTAGCAGAGAGAACGTGATGGATTTCATGGATGATCCCAGCCCCCTTCCTACCCCAAGGAGACCACCGGTGCGCTCGGCCTCTGTCTCTCTCTTGCCGGATGCCTTCCCACGCTGTTCGACTGCCGCGGTTCTCCGAGACTTCCCCTTGACCACTTTCGAACGAGAACCCCAAGTTCTGCGGAGCATCTCAGTCCAGGGACGAGGAAGTTCCCTGATGGTGCCTGTCCCTCTCCCAGCCCAGGAGGATACTCAGATCCTCTTTCCCAAAGGGAGCTTGGACATGCCTTGCCACGAACAGATTCACGTGGAACTTTGCGAGAGTCCTGGAACGGAGGATTGTCCAATGATCAGGAGTTGCTCCAAGACGGAATGTTTCCGGACAGGTCTGAGTCCTTCCTGGAGAGGCCAAGACGATCTTCGGAAAAATGGAAGCAAAGGGAGCACAAGCAGTTTCTTGAGTTCGCCTTCGGCCTCCTCCGGATACGTCACATTCCACTCAGATTCAATCAGCTCGGCCTCGTAAACACCAGATTAACAGGAATCACTTTGTACGAGAATCTTCCAGACGGCCTAGGACAATTCGCCACAACCAACTCACCATGGGGCGACCAGTTGAGGCCAAGTTGTTGCAGGACAACTCACTGTGACCAACTCACTTCAAGGGTGTATTAATCACTTCGTTCAATTACTTTTATTATCAGTGGCCACGTTTTCGTCTAAATTATTCTAACCCTTGTATTTCTGGATTGACTTTATTATTATTGGCCACAGTTCCATCGAAATTAAGTCAACTTTTGCATTTGTTGAATTATCCTGTGGCAAGTTGGCCAGGGTGAGTTGTCCCATTCAGTTTCCAGATTTGTTTCTCACGCGACAGGATTCCCTCCTGGTTGCGGTCTGGATTTGGTAACAGGAACTGGACAAAGCACCAAAGAACCATTATCTCGTCTCTCATCCTGGTCATGAAAAGCAGGAGGGAGACGTTAAGCAGGATGCTTCCGAGAGCAGCCTTGTAAGAAAAGCACTTCAAATCCAGACGGGTTATATCTCAGCTCGGGGCAAGGGAGGGTCCATTCTCCTCTCTTCCTTTTTTTATTTCAAGAACCCACACAGCTAGTCTGACTTTTTGGTGTGGTTCCTTTTTCTAATCCTCTCACGTCCTCTCAAAGAACTTTTTAGGTAGCTGTTAGTCGTGCATGTCTTTGGATACCGACCCTTCTGTCTCGGAGTGCGCACAGCCCTGGGAGAGAGCTGTTGCCAAACATGGAGGGCCGATGTTCCCTTTAAAGAACTTGGGGGGATCAAACGCCCCAAATTTCTCAGTCCTTGTTCTACATTCCAAGAGGCCCCACTTTCAAGCAGTGATGTGGTGGGTGAGACCCGCGTGTAGTCCGTCATTCCAGAATATTGTTGCTTGTACGTCATCCATTATTCCGGAATAGCGTCACATGCATGTGATCCGTTATTCCAGAATGGTCTCGTATTGTGAATCGTGTAGCATGTGTCTGTTATTCCAGAATAGTGTCACATGCATGTGGTCCATTATTCTGGAATAGTGTCACATGAATGTGGTCCATTATTCTGGAATAGTGTCGCATGCATGTGTATTATTCTGGAATAATGTCACGTGAATGTGGTCCATTATTCTGGAACAAGTCACACACATGTGGTCCATTATTCTGGAATAATGTTGCATGCATGTGGTCCGTTATTCCAGAATAGTATTGCATGCATGTGGTCTGTTATTCTGGAACAGCGTCGATGTAGGGATTGAGACAAACTCTGATTGTTTGCAAACAAGGCTAAGGGTTCCTCTCCTATCGTAAGACAGCGGGAGAGAAATTTAAGTCTGATCCAGGAAACAACCCTTTGGGTTCATTCCCCAGCCCCCTAAGCAAGACATCTCAGCATCCTACCTCCTGTTCAGTGCCAAAGCCTCGCCCCACATCCTGCACGGAGCCACAGCCCCATAACCTGAGGCTGCTCTACAAGATGCAGAAACGGGCGAGGAGGAGAAAGGTTGTACTAAAAATGGCAGCTTTCCCTTTGGAGCAATACTACAAACAGTGCAGACCCTGCAGGAGGGGTTGCCTTGACCCATAACCAGTGGGGTTGCTGCCCTGTAATGAGGTAGGCGGGAGAATGCATGGATCATGGCAGATCCAGCTTTGGGGGGAACTTTTTAGGGGGCTGTTAAGGCTCCTTGCCAATAGGGGGACACAAAATTTACTTTTCCTCCTGTGTTGCGGCAGTGTTCTCCCTGGTCTCGCGCCCACCCTGCATCTTTCTTCTCGAGGGTTCCTGCATTGGGGCATGCCGAAAACCCCATTCCCCCCCCCCCAGATGTTTAATATCTGGTCAGTTCAGCGCAGGCCAAGGGGACGGACTTTTCTGCCCAAATCCAGGTAGGTATTTGCATGTTCTTTGATTGAAAATAAATGGGATGGGGAGAAAATTAGCGCCTGGAGAGAAAGGGAGAGAAGAGAGCAACGGTTGCTAATACTGTACAAGACCTACACCTTTTGATTTCATTTTTATGCTGTCCTGCATTAATTTTTGGTCCGAAGAAAAACTGTCCTAAGGATGAAAGTGATTCATTTAGCCACAGTGACAAGAAGGTTTGTAAAATGGATCAAAACTCAATGAGTGTTTCAGCCATAGAAATTTTAGACTCAATTGCGGTCTTAAGTCAAGGACTACCTGCACAGTATACTGTCTGGTATATTATACAGACAGTACATTCATTCTGTACGCTTTGGTAGAAGAAATAAAGACAGGGTGGCGGGGTCAAATGAAGAAATCATGGGCAGTGGGGGGGGGGGGAAACAAGGAATATCTTGGAGATGCATGATAAAAGGGCCCATCTGCCAAAGCAGGGACACCGCAGTCCATGTGCTGGTCTTCTACCCCAGTATTTTTCTATCTCAGCCACTTTAAGACAAATGGACTATAACTTCCAGAATTCCACACCGCTTAGAATTATGGGAGTCGAAGTCCACCCATCTTAAAGAGGCTGAGATGGAAAAACAATGCTTGAATTCTTCACTCCCCATTTCAACTGCCATGCATTCTTTTGCACACTCGGAAAAAGGGGCTGCAGTGACCCTGTGTGCCCTCTTACTTCCGAACCTCTCTCTGGTTGGGAGCACACAACTTTTCTGGAAATTTAACCGAGCAATTCACAACAAGTGCCCTCGTCAACTGTTCAGGGATATTTCGCTATTTTGAACAAGAAGCAATCTAATTGTAAAAAGAAATTGTGCTGAGGTTGAGGTGCCCTTGGGAAGACCCCAAAAAGCCAGTTTACACAATCTTTATTTTTTGGTTCCCAGGCTTGGACACCCCAAAAGCCAGCTGAGTTTCCCAATGGGATTCTATGAAGCAATCGGCAAATTGTAGATAGTGGGAATTTACAAAAGAAAAAATCTAAATGAAGGCAATAAGAATTTTTTTTTCTATTCCAAAAACACATTTTTTAATCTTAAAGTGGGTATCCCATCCGTGCCAAATCTAGAGAAATTGTGCCGTTGTTCTTGACTTTCAAAACAAAACGAAACAAGAAGTTAAAAATTAATTTTTCAAAACTTTCATGGCAGCTGCCCTCCACACCAACGCTTCTATGCCCTCTGTCTCAAATCTCACCCCCCCCCCTGCAAAAAAAAATATCGTGCCTTTTAAAAAGGGTTTTAAAAATCACGGTGGCCATTTTGGGATTCCCAGAGGTCATCCAACCAGCCAGAGGTTTTGGGCTTCTTTTACAGAGGAGGGTGGGACGTTGGGGTGGGGGGCTGTTGAACCCTTTGTTGTACTGTATCTTTTTAACTCTTTGGGAAGACATAAGGCAATACGTTTTATTTTATTTTTTCAAATGCCATAGCTGAGAAACGGGATTCGCGACCTTTCCAAACTTTTGGAAGTATTTTAATTTTTTTCTGCAACCTCCAACTTTTAGGGTGATACTTTGTACCCCATTTTTTCCTCTGGTATCTAAGTGGGTGTTTGCTCTGTCTTCAATATAACCCCATTCCTCCCTAAACAGTTTTTCTGGGGGTGCAATATATGTATGTGTATATATATATTTCTAGAACATGTCCCTGCGGACTTTGTCTTCAACTGGAACACGTTTTCTTCACGGCGGTTTTTTGTTCCAAAACTGTTTGTACCCTGCTCTCTTTCTCTCTTTTTTAAGTTTTTGGACCTCTTGAGAATTTCTTCCTGTAAAAAGTTGAATTAAAAATTAAAAAGGAAAAAAAGCCTCTGTCACTCGTTTTCTTGGGAGTAATTTTAATTTAAACTTTTCATTGAGGTGATCATACATGCTTTTTGATGTCTATCCCTATTACTCTTTTAGTTCCTTCCTGTGCAATCCCTCTGCTCTAGGGAGTGGGAGGACATGCTTACTCTCTTTTAATCCCTTCCCCTATAATCTCTCTCCTCTAGGGAGTGGGAAAATAAACATATGCCTAGCTGGGGAATTCTGGGAGTTGAAATCCACCCATCTTAAAGATGCCAAGGTTGAAAGACACTGCTCTAAATGTTGTCTGTGTCACCTTGAAGAAAGGCAAGCAACTAGCCAGAGACACACATCTGACAATTTTTGGGGTCGCAGTGCCATCTAGTGGGCACAGCAATGCAGAGCTCCACCCTCCTTTACAACCCTCATACATAACCTCATTAGAAATTAGCCACAGAAATTCTGCTCCACTTTTTGGTTGTTAAGTGGAGGACTTACATGTGGCTTTCAAGAAAAAGCAAAGAAATGTTTTTTTAAAAAAATATTGTTAAAAAGAAATGTTTTAATCACAGAGTAAGATCCACCTGCATGAAAGCTTTAGGGAAAAAAAAAATCAAAGAGAAACAGGATATACAGGTGGCCCTCGACTTACGACAGTTCGTTTAGTGACCGAAGTTACAACAGTACCGAAAAATGTGATTTATGACCATTTTTCACACTTAACGACCGTTGCAGCATCCCATGTCGTCACATAATCAAGTGCCAATAGTTGGTGCAGCCAGTCTCCAGGCTTGCTGGAAAGCAACTCCAGACGCTTTCCATGTCCCATGTGCTCCCGGCATAGCACCATGGGGCCCAAAGCGCTGCGAGGGACTAGGAAGGTGTCTCAAAAACAGACCCTAGGGTTTCCTGCCTGAGCAGCGGGTTGGACTAGATGACCTCCAAGGTCCCTTCCAACTTTATTATTATTATTATTATTATTATTATTATTATTATTATTATTATTATTATTATTACTAGCTGTAATTTGCAACTTAAGTATGGGACGATATTCAAATTGCAATTCTGCAGTTTAGAAAATGTACTGTCCGTGGAGACGGCGGGGAAGATCCAGTCTGAAAGGACCTCTGATCCCGCTGCTAGAATTAAATTAGCCTTATGTTTTGGATTAAAGTATTAAGATTTGTAAAGGCAAGGCTGCCCCGATCGCCTTCCTCAGACAGGAAACGAGATTCTTGCTTTTAACTCCCACCCAGCATTTATTTTAACGGCTGCCATTTCTCTCCGGATCATAACCACAGCAAACAGAATAACAAAAAAAAGGTAATACATTTATCTTTGGTTTGCCACCAGAACAAAAGCCAGAACAAGGAAATGCTTGAGGAAGAAAAAGACCAACTTATGTTTGTGCAAAGGTAGAAAACACGTATGCCGCAGCCCTTTACGGAAACCAATGTTGAAATTCATGAAATTCAACCCGAAAAAGAGAAGCGGAGGTTTCGGAAACAGCAAGCAATGTTGAAATGCTCCCCTAAGGGGGGGGGGAGCCAAAGTAACACTAGAAAAAAATATTGTTTTTTAAAAAAAATAAGGAAGGAAACAAGATGTGTAAAAACCGACATGTATTTCAGATTTGTCTTCAATGTTTTGCATAAGTGATGGGGAGGGGGGGACCAGTCAGAGGGTGAAAAAAAGAGAGATTTTTTTTCTGCTGTTAAGTCGGGTTTTCCCAGCTGGATGAGAATTTTATAACTTAGAAAAGTCATTTATAATTTTCCCAAAAGATTTTTAAGATCAGGCTTCAAATGGCATTAAGCAGCTGTTAGAAGGGCAAACGAGGAAAAGAGTCAAATTGCATGATTTTGAGGGGGGGGGGAATACAGTCTGGGGGAATTTTTTTTTTCTTAGCTCTCTTTTGATCCGGGACTGGGATTTGAACTTGTAAGCGACAAATGGCAAATTTTCTCTTTAAAAAAAGAAAGAAAGAAAGATCAGACTTATGGCTCAATTGGAGAACTCTAAGCAGCCCTGTAAATCCTCTAAGAAAGGTCGGCATTTTTTTTTTTAAGGAACTTCTAAACTCTTTTGAGCCCTCTGCACGTGCTCCGAGGATTTTCCCAGGCTTGGCGAAAGCCGAGGCAGGATGTGGCCCCCCCGATGCCGGCGTTAAGATTTCAGAGTTCCATTCTGAAGCCTCGGATAAAGGGGAGCCCGCTGTGTACCTTCTCCTTATAGGCCAAATATTCCTCTCCGAAAAAGTGGATCAGGCTCCGCTCTTCTTCTTCTACCCTGTCGCGGAAAAAACGCCAGGAGACCACGGTGTAGCCCACCAGGCAGATGGGGTTGCAGAGAAGTACCTGGAAGTGGGAAAAAAAAGGGGGGGGGAAATGGGTCCCGGGCAAGGATTCTCTTCCTGGCTGTCAGCTCGAGAAAGCCAACGTGACGGAGGCAAGAGCCCTCTCGGTCCAAGGAGAGAAAAGAAATAAAAATCACAGCAACTGAATCCATTATTATTAAACATGCAACCGTTTAGTCTGGATGTCTTCAACTTCACTAGCTCCGTTTGAACCGTGCAGGGCAAAAAGATTTTTTTTCCCCTCTTCCCTCCTCCTCTATTTTTCCTTTCGTGTTATGGAATCAATTTTTATTTTATTTCTATTTTTTTTTAATTATTCAAAAGAGAACGTAGAATTTAGAGAGGAGACTTGAGAAGAGGGATTGGGCTGCTGGTTGTTAAATGGGTTTTTGCCCCGCTGTGTGACCTTAAGGGTGAAAATTCATTGTTAAGTGTGAAAATTGGTCTTAAGTCACTTTGAACGGCCACTAAACCTGCGGTCCCAATTGTTTGCAAGGTTTTCGCCCTACCTGGGTTCCGATGCTCCAGGAAAACCACCCCACATACGAAGGGTGCCGACACCAGCCATAGACGCCTCGGGTCACCAGCCTGTGGCTTTCCGACTTCTCATTCTGGACGATGTGGTTGAAATTCGAACCAGCGGTCAGCATGGCTGCCTTGCGTAAACAGTCGCCCAAGACCACCATCAGCAGCCCAGCGGAGCTCAGCCAAGTCACCTGCTTCATTTCTGCAAAACAAGGGGTGGACATTAAAATGGGCCTGCAGGGAGTCCTCAACTTACAACAGATTCGAAGTTACAATGGCAGAGAAGGGATTTTGCTTCCAGATTTTGCAAGATGGAAAAGTATTTTGTTATTTTATTGGTATAAATATAAATATCTATCTATCTATTATATATCTATATATCTATAGCTATGTATCTATCTATATCTATAGATTAGATATATACAGAGAGAGATTATATGTATGTATGTATGTATGTATGTATGTATGTATACATACATACAGAGAGAGAAAGAGACAAGCAGACAGATAAATCCAAGTATTAACCTGGGAAAATGAATTTTTCCACAGTGAACTCGATCCACGAGGAAAGAGCGGCCATGTTATATTCAAAACTGTGATTGAGCAGGAAGGAATCCAGAGACAAGCTTCGGGGATTGTTGACCGCCGTGATCAGATATTCCGAATAATGGAACAGAGACAGCGAACACATGTACCTGCAGAAAGAGAGGCAAATAAGGTGATGCACTATTGAGAAAAAAACTGTAGGTAGAAACCAGGGTTGAGTTTAGTCTGTCCTACGAAGCCCCCCAGTAGGGGAGGCAGAACAGACCCCGGAGGGGAAAAAAATGGTGGTTCTTACCAGCCAAAATGTTTCCAGGAAGACTGCCTGAAGCTGAGCAGCAAGCCGCATCCGAACGCAAAGCCCAGGAAACAGGCCCGGATCGCTATCTGCAAGAAGGAAGCCGACAGGGCTGGTTAGTTAGGGGAGGAAGGCTGCTGTGCCACCGGGAGAGCTCCTTGGTGATTTAGCTTCTTGGGTCTAGCCAACTCTGGGTGTACAGGCAGTTCTCTTCTTATAAGCGCCATGGAGGCCAAATCTCCTGCTGCTAAGTTACATAATGAAGTGGGTTTTGCCCCATTTTACGACCTTTCTGGCCGCAGTTAAGAGGATCACATGACCCAGGGACACTGCGACCGTCGTAAGTACATGCCAGTTGCTAAATATCTGAATTTTGATTCCATGACCGTGGAGATGCTACAACAGTTATTAAGTGTGAAAAAGGGTCACATTTAGAAGGGACCTATGAGGTCATCTAGTCCAACCCACTCTGCACAATGCGGGAATCCTCAAAAGATAAAGAGAATCCTAGACTAGAACATTTAGAAGGGAACTGTGAGGTCATCTAGTCCAACCCCACCCTCCCCAGCACAGGAATCCCTTTAACAAGCAGATCCTAAACTGGAATATTTGAAAGGGACCTCCGAGGTCACCTAGTCCAACCTCCTGAAGTTATCCCCGTTCAGTTCTCCCTCCGTGATAAGCCAAAATTAACACACACACACACAGAGATTTCAGTTCTGATCCCCCCTGGGACGGAATGCGAAGCCCAGAGTCGAAACAACCCTCTGTACATGCTCAGGAGCCCTTCCCATTTCCCCCCCCCCTCATTCCATCTAGGCACCAAGCAGCGGGGGGGGAAAGATGCTCGTAAGCCCCGCCCCCGGGGACGAGGGGCGTGGCCTGGCCTCACCTGGTACATCCCGCCCGGCGCTCGGCCCCAGGCCAAGAGGAGCGTCGCGTTGGCGCCGGCGACGTGGAGCGCCAGCGCGGCCCGGCCTTGGAAGCCGGCCCGGAGCAGGAGCGGCACGGCGGCCACCACGGAGCCGCCCAGTAGGAAAGCGGCCAGGCTGGTGCGAGCCTCGGCCCAGCGCAGCCGGCCCGCCCTCAGTTGCTCGCCGGCCATGGCGGACGGCCCGAGGCCCGCCTCGCTCTCGCGAGACCCGTCGCGCGAGCGGGGCGTGGCCGGCCCTCCCGTCCACGCCCCCAAGCCTCGCGAGAGTCCTCCGGGTAGAGAGAGCAAAAGGGGTGGCGGTAGCAGAGCCGTAGAGATATGAAAGGGTAGAGCCGCTCTACGCGGAGACCGTTTCAATCATCCAAGCCTGGCGAGACTCCTTTCTGGGGAGCCGGAGCGTAGAGATAGAAGAAAGGGTAGAGATATGACAAGCGTTGAACTGCCTATAGTACCATTTCGGACAAATGGCTCTCCTTGACTTACAGTACTTCATTTAGTGACCGTTCAGAATTACAACAGCCTATGACCATGTTTCACACTTCACGACGCTTGCAGCGTGATCCAAATTCGGATGCTTGGCAACCGGTTCCTATTTGTGACGGTCATAGTGTTGAGAGCCCTTTTGCGACCTCACATGCCAAACCAAGGGGGGAACCAGTTTCACTTAACAACCGAATTACTAACTGAACAACTGCGGTTAATAATTGTGGCAATAAAGGTCGTAAAGTGGGGTAAAATGCACTCAACAAATATCTCACTTAGCAACATAAAGTTTGAGCACAGTTGTCATAAGTCTTTTTTCTTTCCCGAGGCCGATTAAAAGGGGCAGTTCTCTGCTATTCTTATTTTTTTTTAATTATTATTATTTTTAAAAAGAGTAATAAAACCGATATTATTATGCCTTCCCTCTCTGCCACCTGTTGACAGTACATTCCCTATCCTCTCTCCAGTAATCACAGTAACAATAATAATAATAATAATAATAACAATAACAATAACAATATTAATACCATCAAACATCCACATCTGCCTATCCCAGGTCCTGGGTAAGGACTCGATAGGTAGACAAAATGCCAAGTCCAGTCTGAACATCTGGCTGACTGTGCGATGATCCATAATAATAATAATAATAAAACTATTGATACTTGATTGAAGAAAGAGAAACCATGGATTGGGGGGGGCGTTTATGTGGTCTGGAAGGTTTTAAGGGCCTTTTAAATGTGTTTTTGTGCACCTCTGTTTTCTTTCTCTAGATTAAATCAGCGTTTGTCCCATTCAACAGCTTTAAGAGTTGAAGTCCGTACATCTTAAAGCTGTTGAACTTGATAAACAGGAGATCCCCCTCCCAAAAAAATCTCCTTAGGCTAAAAATAATGGAATTGGGAAGCCAGGCCTAGACACAGAGGGGCAACAGGCAATGTAATGCTGATTTTTAAGTCTGGAAGAGGAAGACGTGACCATCTGCAGAATTCAGTTCAAGCTTTAAGACGTGTGGACTTCAACTCCCAGAATCCCCCAGCCAGCCCTGCCTTATCGGAGAACTTCTATCAAATCATTAATTTTTTTAATGGGCACGCTTGGATGAGGGTCGACAAAGCAGCATAAATTGGAGGCACCGTTCTGTAAAATTTGGGGTTCAAAGTTCCCGCAGGACTCTTTAATGCACAACCCAAACAAGAAACGGCACGCAATTTAGACGTTAAAACTTCCAGAATTCACGCACGAAATATGCACCAGAGCTATTATATAGATATATTGATTTAAATTGATTTAGAATATATATATATTAGAATTCACGCATGGATGGTGCATATTCCACGCGTGAATTCTAAACTATATAAAAATTCTAAAATCGAGAGAAATATATATATATTTCCAAAAGGAAGATTTTGCACCCTCAGCTCAAGAGCAGCTCCGTCTTCAGATCTCCATCCTTGGTTAGACTCGACAGGGCTCCTGTGGGGTCCAAGGGGGTCTCCGTCCGGATTTTCGGTGTGTTTTTGGAGACCTCGGTGTTTTTCGGCTGCGAGTCCTTGGCGGCTGGGCCGAGCACCTGTGTTTCTGCTTTCGGTGTCCAGTCTTTGCCACTGCTACCGAGGTGGTTCCACAAAAGGAGAAAAAAAAAATAAAAAGACACAGATAGTCCTCAACGTACGACCATTTCTTTAGTGACCGAAGTTACAACGGGGCTGAAAAAAGGGGACTTTTAAGCGTTTTTCACACTTCGCGACCGCTGCAGCCTCCCTGCGGTCATGTGCTTAGCAACTGACTCGTAAATATGACCTGTGGGGGTCACACGATCCCCCTTTTGCGACAAGCCGTGTTGGCCGTTAAGTTGAGGACTCCCGGTGGAAAAATAAGTTTCAATAAAGCATCAAGAGCAGGGGGTCTTCAAACTTGGCCCTTTGATGACTGGTGGACTTCAACTCCCAGAATTCCTCAGCCACGTGCCTGGCTGAGGAATTCTGGGAGTTGAAGTCCACCAGTCATCAAAGGGCCAAGTTTGAAGACCCCTAATCAAGAGGGTCAACCCTCGGATCGATCAATTACCTGGACTGAGGCTGGGCTGGGGGGGCTCCGTCCTCGTAGATCTTGAGCAGGCTCTCCGGCTGATCCGCTTTCTCTTTCCAGTCCTGGAGCCTGCTGGGCAGAGACCCTCCGAGTGAGTCCCAGGGGGGCTTCCCACCCAGCCGGAGAAGCCCCAGGAAGTGACTGAGGGAGGGATTGTGTGAGATTGGCGCCTGGGCTTTGCACGACACAACTGGGCTTTGCACGGCCGTGGGCAGGAGGGGTTCAGGGAGCCCCGAATTAATGGAGGAGGAGAGGGGGAATAAAAGAGGAAGGAAGGAAGGAAGGAAGGAAGGAAGGAAGGAAGGAAGGAAGGAAGGAAGGAAGGACGGGATGGAGAAAGGAAGGAAGGAGAGGGAAGGAAAGAAGGCAGAACGGAAAGTAGGGAGAAAAAAAAAAGGAAAGAGAATAGCTAAGCAAGAGGAAGGAAGGAAGGAAGCAAAGAAAAGGGAAGAAGAAAAAGATATGCAAGAGGGAGGGAGAATGGAAAGGAAAAAGAAGAGAATGTAAAAGGAAAGGGAAAAGGGAAGGAAAGGAAAGGAAAAGAGAATGAAAGCAGAAGGGAGGGGTAGAGCTGAGGCCGGCCATCAGCACAGTTGATTGACCGACTGATTATGTCTCACTCACTAGGTGACACTGCCAGTGAAGGAATCCTAGAATCCTAAGGCTGGAAGGGACCTGGGAGGTCATCTAGTCCAACCCCCAGCCCTTATACCCTCTTGGATAAATGGCTGTCCAGTCTTTTCTTGAAAGGTCACTGAGAAGGCCATCAGAAGAGCCTTGGGGTGGGCTTCCTCCCCCCCCCACAGGATATCCCAAACCAACATCTCCTGCCTTGGGCCGTGGGTTGGACTAGAAGACCTCCCAGATCCCTTCCAGTCCTGGCGTTCTCTGTTCTAATGGACACTCCAGTCCCACCCGGCCCAGCCCAGGAGGCTGGCTGGCTTCCAACAGGTTGGCCCAGGTCCTGCCTGGTAGGGTCCCCTGGGGGGGGGGCCTTGGGGGTCCCCACCTGGGTTCCAGCCGCTCCTTGACCCTGGCGATCGAGCGGATGTAGGGGGCGATCTGCTTGGTGATGGTGGTCAGGTAGTTATTCTCCTGTCTCAGCTGCAGCAGGTCGTGGAGCTGGGCTAGCGAGAGAGGAGCCCTGGCCAGGTCATCTTCCTTCAATCCAACCTTCCTTTTCCCCCCAAACATGCCTCAACTCTGCACACGCTCAGAGGCCCAAAGACCCCACCTTCATAAATCTCCTGTTCGTTGGCCACCCGTTGGTAAGTTTCCTCCCAGGTCTGCAAGACAAAGAGGAGGAGAAGAAGAAGAAGAAGGAGAAGGAGGAGAAGAAGAAGAAGGAAGAAAAATCCGGATGAGGTAACGAGTTCGAGAGTTGCCGCTAAGAAAGAGGAGAGGTGGGATTGGTAGGTCTGCCAAAGACTGGGGAAATTTTGACCCAGGGGCAGGCGGGATGGAAGTAGGAAAAATAAATTGGAGCGAGGAGGTGTGAATCAACTGAAAAACGAAGCCACGAAAGACCTCATGAGGACTATCGGCTTGTTTTTTTTCCTCCATTAAAAGAGAAAGACACCCAAGGCTGATTTAGTTGCAAGCGGTTCTGTAGTCAGCAACGAAAAACCCGGCCTTGCGAGGAAGGGCTCACCTCTTCGAACTCGGTCCGTTTCATTTCCACGGAGGAATATTCGGAGGCGATTTGAACGTCCATCTGGAGGGATTTCTGCAGGACTTCGCCCATGATCTCCGTCCTGATCAGGGAGTGGTGCTTGGTGAGGTCCCGGTGGAGTTCCTGCACGTGGTCTTTTAAGCTCTGAATCTCGGTCTGTAGCTCCTGTAGAGAACGCGGAGCAAGGAAGGGACGGGGAAAGGGGGGGGGGAATCTACGCAGCTTCACCAAGCTTTTAATTCATTTCAATTTTATTTAATTTAAAATTCAGGTGCAGTGCTCCATCGCTGGATTGTTTTGAGAAGAGAACCTTTTGAGCGGGACGGGATAAGATCTCTTGTCCTAAGCGGGGGGGGGTTGGACTAGATGACCTCCGAGGCCCCTTCCAGTTTTCTTGCAGTGCTCGTTCAGTGAAGGAGGCAAGGAAGTGGGGTCCCCGGTTCCCCGTCCCGCCATCCTTACCCGATACATGTTCTCGTAGTTGCGACAGTGGTCGGTAAACAGGGTCTCCTTCCCCTCAGCCAAAAGGACTTTGGTGCTGATGTATCGGTGCATGGTGGCCTTCCTTACCGGCGACCCCGCCAGGGGCATTGTCTCGTGGGAAGACGGACAGCTGGCCACCAAGAGGGTCTTGGAGCCGGGACCCCCAGACATCCTAGGAGTCAGAATTTATTTATTTTTTTTAAAAAAAGAAGTTCGTCACTCAGTCTTGCAAAGTCAGGAAGCAAGTGGGAAGACAGGAAGCAAGGTCAGGGCAAGCCACGGGATGCTGCAACCGTCATAAGTACATGTCAGTTGCCAAGCCTCTGGATTTTGATCATGTGACCGTGGGGTGGGTTCTGCTACGGTTCTAAGTGTGAAAAACGGTCCTGAGTGACTTGAGTCGACTGCCTTGCTAGTCAATGAGGAAGCTGAGACAATGCAGTCAGGCCCAGCTGTTGAAATGGGCTAAGTGACCTCTAGGGTGCCCACTGAATAGGAGACGTACATGTTGCTGTTGCTCATGCCGGGTCCCATGGTTCCTGTGGTCCCCACTACTGACCGGCGTGGAGATAAGGGCAGCAGGGGCTCCAGGCAGTGGGCAAACTCAGCCCGGTATTCGCTGTTGATCTGGAAGAAAGGAAGGAAGGAAGGAAGGAAGGAAGGAAGGAAGGAAGGAAGGAAGGAAGGGAGGGAGGGAGGGAGAGAGGGAGGATCACTAGGCAAATAGTCATAAGTCAGGTTTACCCTGACCACTTTTGGGGATGTTTATCAATTTCTCTTGTCAGATTTAAAAGTTGTGGATTTCCTTGTGGTCTTCTTTCCAAATATAATTGAATCTTTTGTCTTTCTACTGATTTTTTTTTTAAATTGGGGGGGCAGCAAATCTTCCTTTCCAAATCAGCTAAAGGTTTCACAGTTGCCTTTGGTAAAGCTTGGTGGTTTTCCAGGGCTGTTCCGACGTTTCAGAGGCACCAGCTGTGAACTCTGTTTTGCTTTCCAAAGCATGCTGCTAGACCTCATGAAGGAAGCTGCTTTTGGTTCTGGCAGGGACCTTCCCCCCCCCCTCCCCATGTGGAAAAAGGGAAGCAGAAATGAATCCTGATTGCTCCGATTTGTTTGCTCAGCTCCTCTCTCGACAAACCCACATTTTATCTGGGGTAACCAGGTTTCTCTCACCTTGCTAGTTTGCGACGGCCTCAAGCGGTGGGGTTGTTTGACGATCCTTTGCAAGCGCTCCATGAGTTGCTGCAATCGAAAGCAGATTAGCCTTGATCAGCCGGGTTTGATCATTGGCTTTGGGTTGTGAGAATGAAATCATAGAATTGTAATCGTAGAATTGTCACTAGCTCTAATGAAGGAAATCATATCTGTATCTGTCTTTTTTCTTTTTCTGTCTTACATTCTTCTTATTTTTTTTCTTTCTCTTCTCTTTTTCCTTCCCTTTTTTCTCTTCTTTTCTGCACCTTCTAATTTTTCTCTTTATTTTTTTAGTTTGCTTTATTTAGTTTTCTTTCTTAAATCTCTACGCTGCAACAAGGCGGCGATGGATGGCCTATGGCTTTTCCTTTTCATTGGCACTTTCAGTAAAATTATTATAAAAACTAAAAAGACAGAGAGAGAAACGAGGAAAGGTAGGAGAAGCCCCCCCCTTTCTGTCTGTCCTGTTTAGTGACCTTTTCTAAAGCTGTCAATCCAAACGGAAATCCAGTTCCTGCTTGGACTAAGTCTACCTCCATCCACTGGTGCTTCTGAGAGCGTGCAGAGTGCATTTGGCCACTCGAGAGTCTCAAAGCCCTGGGTTCAACTCTCCTCCCTTTCTCCCAGGAAGGGGAAATTCAGTTGGGGTCCCCAACTTACGTAGCCCAAATCCAGAAATTCAGCTTTGTTGGCCGAACTTAGAAATGCCGAGCAAGTCACAAGGTGCACCTGAAACGGAAAAACAGGCGCCGTTTTGCACAAAAATTGGATTTAAAGGGGTTGCAAAAGGGCAAGATGCAGGGGGGGGCTTCATTCCTGGAATATCTCAGGCTGGGGGGGGGACAAAATTGGCTAAATCTGTCCTTACCTGCAGGGTGGGCAGCAATGAAGCCAGGTGAGCAAGCTGTCCTTTAAAAGCTTTTCCCTTTTCTTCGTACTGGCTAGAAATGATGTAAAAAAGCCATTTTCTGACTGTTTTCGGTTTCAAGCAAATCCCTGCGGCTGTTAACTTAGCCCCACGGTCGTTAAGCGAATCCCCGGCTTCCCCATTGCTCATTGGAAGATGGCAAGAGGGGACCATGTGAGGCCTGTGGGACGCTGCGACCATCATAATTATGAGTCGGTTGCCCAGCATCTGACTTTTGATCACGGCACCCCCGGGGGTGCTGTGACGGTCGTGTGAAAAACAGCCGTAACTTGCTTTTTTCACTGTCACTTTGAACGGTCACTAAACAGACCGTCATATGTCCAGGACTGCCTGTATGCAGGTCGCTGTCCGGTTCTCCCTGGGTGCAAACCTTTACCTCTGCACAACTTTCAGGAGTGTCTTCTTCCTTTCGGCCAGTTTCTCCTAGGAAGACGGGAAGGGAAAGAGGGAGTTGGGCAGAACTGCCAGCCCTGCAGGGTTGGCCACAGGTGGGCCCGGTCCGGTCCGGCTCACCTGCATGCTGCCGAAGAGAGCGTGGATGGCCGTCTCCTCCTCGTCCGCGCTGTTCCGGACCTCCTCGATCATGGCCTTGAGGAGGACGATGGCCTCCCGGGTGGACGTCTGCAGCTCCTTCACCGCCTGCCACGGACAAGCAGTCGGGTAGGACACGGCTGCCTTCAAGAGCCCTCGGATCTTTGTGGGCAGCCAGGCTCTGCCGGCCTTGGCCAGCCGCCTCTTGAACCCGAGTCTTCTGGGGCCTGGCACCCAGAGCCGGCCCTGTGGAGGGGTCAGTTTGCCAAAGGGCTGAGTTTTGAAAAGTTTGCCTCGTAAGGGAGGGAAGCCCTGGTGATGGCGGAGGGGGGGGGGGAGAAGGCTCACGTTGGGAGGGAGGAAGGGAGGGAGGGAGGGAGGAAGGAAGGAAGGAAGGAAGGAAGGAAGGAAGGAAGGAAGGAAGGAAGGAAGGAAGGAAGGAAGGAAAAGGAGGGAGGAAGGAAAAGGGACAGGAGGGAGAAGAGAACAACTAGAAAAGGACAGGAGGGAGGGAGGAAAGAAAGGAAGAAAAGAAGAAAAAAATGAAGGAGATAAGGGGGAAGAAAGGAAAAGGGAGAGAAGAAGGAAAGGGAGGGAGGGAGGAAGTAATGAGAGAGAAAGGGAGGGAAAATGGAAAGGGGGGAAGGAAGGAAGGAAGGAAGGGGAGGGAAGGAGGGGAAGGAAAGAAGAAAAAGGGAGAAGGAGGGGAGGGAAGGAGGGAAAGGCAGTAAGGAGGGAGGGAAAGAGAAGGAGAAGGAAGGGAGGGAGCGGGGAGGAAAGAAGGAAGGAAAGCAGAAGGAAGGGAGGAAGGAAGGAAGGAAGGACCTTCCATCGCTTTTCCAAGCGTGGTCCCAGCGTGGGCTAATCCCCGTTGTGTCACACCCTAGCCAGAGGCTGGACTAGATGCTCTCCAAAGCCACCTCTCAGCACTGACTCTAAAACTTCCGGAATCCAGGCAGGACCTTGGCGAATAAAAGCCATTTTCGCCCCCGGAGACCTTCCCTCTCCTTCCCATTTACCATCACAGCCTGGTCCAGTTTCTCGCACCCTCGCATGTAGGCCGTCTCGATGTCGATGCAATGAGCTCGGCTTTCCCTGGAGAGCAGAACATTAAACTAATAGCATAGCATAGCATAGCATAGTAAATAAATTCAAATTAAATTCAAATTAAAAGCCCTTAAAAAAGTGCCTTTGACGGAGGTTGATTCTGAACAATCGCCAACTCACACAGGCATGTCCCGGAAACAGTTAATGCAAAGCATGGATTTTTTCTCCGTGGAGAACATGATGTACAATTCCTCGTGGAGGGCTGGAAAAGGAGGGAAAATAAACCGCGTGATTTATAATTCAGGGTTGCGGCCTCAAAAAAAAGTTGTACTGAAAAACGGGAGCCTTGGAAAAGAAGAAGAATTTCATGCTTTCAAACAGAGCCTCCAATGAATTCTCACTGGAGGTTGTGAATTCAAGTCAGAACTCTGATTTTGCAGATCGCAGACGGAGGACGTGGCCGGCAAAATGTGAAAAACAAATGAACAAAATAAGAATGAATTATAAGTTGTAACAATTCCTGCCTTGGGCAGGCAGGGGGCTGGACTAGAAGACCTCCAAAGGTCCCTTCCAGACCTATTTAGCTATGATTTTACGATTCAGATTCTACAATTCTACGATATTATAATTCTGTGACTCTTTTCTGCTGTATGTTTGCTGCAAAGAAGTCGGGCGTGGCCGGTTTGGTGGGGAGGGTCAAGGAACCTGCATGAGAACCCATAGCCTCTGAGCACGTACGGCATTTCTTATGGACCTCCTTCGCCCGTTTGCTCAGCGAGACGATCTCGTGGCGGGAGAACATCCTGGCCTTGTGGGTCTCTTCCCGGCACTTGGCACACAGCGGCTGGCTGCAGGTGTTGCAGAAGTACATGGCGTCCAGCTCCTTCGGAAACAGCAACGGGAGGGGATGATGGGTCACTGCTCTGGCCCAGGGATGCTCTGTTGCTGTGTCTCTCAAGTTTAGCAATTGGAAGATGGGTGGACTTCAATTTCCAGAATTCCTCAGCCAGTATGCCTAGAGGGTTGGCCTAGATGACACTCAGAGGACCCTCCTCACCCACCGCTCTGTGATCCTGTTAGCCGGTGGGCGAAAACCCTTTATTCCCGCAAATGCTTCTGGATGAGACTTGCCCAAACCTGGTTCAGAGGCCAGATGGCATCTCGGCTTACCTGCTTTGTGCTTTGCAGGTCACAATTCGCACATAGGACATCTTCTTCGTAGTCTCCAGAGCTGTCCACCAGGAATTTGAGCAGCTGGTCTTCGGGAGGGAGCCCGTTTCCCTTCACGACAGACTGGTGGCTGCAAGGAAGACTAACTTGGCCTGTCCTTTCTCAAAAGTAAGGTCTTTTTGGCTCAAGGCGGCTTATTTGCTGCTAACCATGATTAAAACCACAACGAACCATGATTGAATCCAGAGGTTGTGGGCGCTCCATCACCGGAGAGACTTCAAGAAGAGACTGGACAATCAGAGCTCTCTAATATTGAGTTTGGAGCAACCCTCCCTCTCTCCCTGCCTTTGTTTCCTCTACGGAAACCATGAGGGCTAGAAACTTTGCCAAAATGTAGAAGGCGGGATCCTAAAGCGGGAAGGGGTCCCTGGAGGTCATCTAGTCCAACCCCCTCGGCCTGGTAAGGCCGCCACAAAGCCAGGGAGGCCGTCCTTACCCGCAGAGGGGACAGGCCAGGCGGCCGTCGATGGCTCTTCCCCGCAGGCAGCTGGCGCAGAAGTTGTGGTAGCAATCCAGCAGGCAGGGGTGCTCGTACTGCTCCTGGCACAGGAAGCACACCAGCGGGTGGCAGTTGGCGTTGTCGAGCTCACACAGGTTTTCCAGCGGGGCGAAGATCCCACCGGACATCTGGAGATCAAGAGGAGATGGGCAGAGAGGCTGAATGGCTGCCCTGGCTGGCCGCGGAGAGCTGTGTCAGCCTGAAGTCTGCAGGTTTATTCTGTTTTATTTATTTTATTTTATTTGGTTCATCGCACAGTCATCAGGATGTTCAGAGTTTATTTTATCACTTCTAGTTCAGTTTAGTTTATAGTTTAGTTTGGTTTATAGTTTATATTTTATTTTATAGTTTAGTTTATTATTTTATTATTATTTATTATATTATTTTATTTTCGGGTTGAACTGTTTTTAGATCAATAAGGGGGGATTCATCAATCAATCTGCCTGACTCTGAGACCCCCCCCCCAGCTGGGAAGGTCGAAGGACTCCCGGGCGTGTCTCTGAACAGTGTAGAAAAAGCCGTCCCAGAACAGCGACTCGCGCAGAGAGAAATGTCGGACTCACAAAAGTTTTCTGTTGTTTCCTTTGTGTCTTTTGTGCCTTGGCGCCTAAGGATTATCTCTGCATTTTGGCATCTCCCAGACAGACAAACATAACCCAGGTTTATTTATAGCTTGTTCCCAAGCACAGGGGTATTTATGGACTGTTTATGTCTGTGAGTTCCAGTTTATTCTTATTTGTCCCGGTTGCTATCGGTGAACTTCCTGTCCCCCTGTAAAAGGGGCTTCATTTGTTGCCCCCTCCCCCCTTTCTACTTATGGAAGATACGGGAACTGTGACACACACAAAACTCTTCTTTCAATATTTTCTGAAGAGCTGCTTTGCAAAAAGTTCAAAAGGAAAGTTTGCTCGCTTCCTAGCGCCAGAATTCAGAAATACAGCTTTACCTCTGTGATACATGAGAATCTACAACTTTATACACAAGTACAGGTAATCCTCGACTCACAATGGTTCATTTAGGGACTGTTTTGGGGCTCCATTGTGGTCGCCAGTTAAGGACTAGCTGTAAAAGGAAGGAAGGAAGGAAGGAAGGAAGGAAGGAAGGAAGGAAGGAAGGAAGGAAGGAAGGAAGGAGAGTGTAGAAGTGGGAGAAGGAGGAAGGGAGGAAAAAAGAAAAGAGATAGAAGTGGGAGGGAAGGAATGAAAGGAGAGGAGGAAGGGAGGGAGAAAGAAAGGAAGGAAGGAAGATAGTGAAGGGAGGGAGGGGAGGGGATAGAAGGAGAAGGAGGAAGGAAGAAAGAAAAGAGGGATAGAAGAAGGGAGGGAAGGAAGGAGAGGAGGGAGGGAGAAAGAAAGGAAGGAAGACAAAATGAAGGGAGGGAGGGGAGGGGATAGAAGGAGAAGGAGAAAGGGAGGAAGAAAGAAAAAGGATAGGAGGAGGGAGGGAGGAAGGAAGGAAAAAAGGGAGGCAAAATGAAGGGAGGGAGGGGAGAGGATAGAAGGGGGAGAAGAAAGAAGAAAGAAAAGAGGGATAGAAAGAGGGAGGGAAGGAAGGAAGGATCCTATTATGTTTGCAATTTTAGCTTTGCAAAGATTCACAAATCTTTTTCCCCCTCCCCGGCCACCATCCCCTTCTTTTCTCCCCTCTTGGCCTCGACCCAACCCATTCGCAGCCGCCTGGAGCTATTTATAAAAATAAGCAGGAAGGCAGGGTAAAAATGCCCTGATCTAATCTCAGCCCAGCGCCCACCGAGGCCTGCCTGCGTCACCATCGCTTACTTTTAATTTCTGCTTTCGGCTTCCTCCTTGGGTTCAGAGGATTCCCCACTTCTGCTCAAAAGCTCTGCTTCTTGCAGCTGGCCAGCTCAGGACTCAAATGACGAATAAACATCTCTTCAAGGAGTTAGGGGTTAAAAAAGAAAAAGAAAAAAACACCAAATAAGTTCTACTGGCTAAATCCTTGTGGGTCAACGTGAATTTCCTCCCTAGAACAAGAGACAGTTCCCCCCCCCCCGCCGAATCTAAAAGTTAAAAACAAGGCAGTTGAGAAAGGGTCTTGCAAAGGGCCCGAAGGCAGCCTCCCAAATGGATTCAGAAGGGGGGGGTCCTTCCCCCGCTCGGAGGAGCTCCCAAACCGTGATCGGCTCTCGTCCTCTGCTGTCACCAAAAGGAAAGCCAAAGCGTTTGGGGGCCGGCCAGCTTCCCGGGTCAAGGACCATCCAAGGTCAGATCCCACGTCTGATCCCGGAGAGGAATTAGATGCCCTCCCGTGTTTGAGAAGCCCTGCAGGGGAGGCAGCTGAAGGACACAAGACCACCCAGTTCTTCCGTTCGTTTTGAGGAAGATGCAGGGACCCCGGAGGTCATCTAGACCAACCCCAAAGTGCACACCTCGTATGTGATATTTCCTTTGATTGAAGCTTCTGAGCCAAGACTTCTGTCCTCTGTCTGCCTGCCTATCATCTCTCCTGTCTGTCTGTCTCTCTGATTTCTATATCTATCTATCTATCTATCTATCTATCTATCTATCTATCTATCTATCTACCTACCTACCTACCTACCTATCTATCTATCTACCTACCTACCTACCTAATTTCTATTTAATATCTATCTTCTCTCTCTAATTCATATCTATTTAATATCTATCTATACCTATACCTATATCTATATTCTTCTGCGTATCTCTCTCTCTCTCTCTTGTATCTATCTATCTATCTATCTATCTATCTATCTATCTATCTATCTATCTATCTATCTATCTATCTATCTATCTATCTATCTATCATCTTTTATTTATTTGAGACGAAAGACTCCCTCAAGGGCCATCCGTGGGCTTGATTGGAACCCAGGGCTTGCTGAACCCCAAATAAGCTAACTTTATCCAGCTGAGATTTCCCTTTTAGCTTGGTGGAGTTTTTCAGTGGCTTCCGTTTTTCCACTTTATTCTCCCTACTGAGGTTGAGGATTTCTTTGGACTTTCGGTTGAAGGATGAGTGTCAATCAGTCAAGGGGGCTACTGTCAGCCTGGGGGGGGAGGCAAGGACACAGTGCCTTCCATCCTGCACCCTGAGCCCCCCAATTGTTTGCAAAAGGACACCCCATGGGAAGACTGAACTGGCAAAAGGGACGTTTGGTTTTGCACAATCAAGGATTGCGCGGGGATGCAATTCCTCCCAACGTCCCGGGAGAACTAGGGGCAGCTTCCCCAAAACTGCAGGATGGCTTTTCTCCTCCTCCTCCTCCTCCTCCTCCTCCTCCTCCTCCTCCTCCTCCCCCAGGCGTCCTCCTCTATTCTCTACCCCCTCGAACCCGAGCAAAGCACACTGCCAAGCCACAGCCGTGAGCCTGGCCGCCTTTGCTAATTCCCACGTCTCTCGCCTCTTTGGCAACCAGCCCAGTGGGAGTTGCCACACTGCCCCGAGACGGGTGGGGAAGCTGGAGGAAGCCCGGGTGACTCACAGCACCTGCTGGGCTGCAGCCAGATCGAAACTGGGAGCCTGCCCTTGCCCGCCGGGCTGGGGAGACGTTCTCAGGCTGCAGGGCGCATACCTCCCCCGGGGAACCAGCTGGCGCCCAGGGCAGCCACGGGCGGGGGGGGGAGCCCTGGATCCAGCTTGGGATGGACAGAGGTTCTTTGGGGGGGCAGGAGGGAAAGAGGCAGAAGGAGGGCCCCCCTTCCTGTGTTGCTGCAAAAAACCCTGGTTTGTTTGTCTTGCTTTGTGGTGCTTGCAAATCTCTTCGTTTCAGTTTTCCCTTTCAGTCATTTGGGGATGTCAATTCTCTTTCTTCATTCCATTCTTTTTTACATTCCTTCATTCTGCACTCCCGCCCTTCTCTCCCTCTTTTCCTTCCTGCCTTCCACTTTCCCTTCCTTCCTCTTCCTCTCTCCCCCTTCCTTCCTCTCTTTCTTCTGTTGCTCTTTTCCCTCTTTCCTTTCTTCAGGCTTTGAAGAATCGGCGAAACCCCTTCAAACCAGCCTGTGGATTTTCCTTCCGCCCTCTCCAGCTGGACAATCAGAACCGGAAATCCCAAAACAGGCGAAACCAAACTCTCTGGCAGGATGTTTTGGGGGGCTAATTTCAGGAGAGATAATTAACCAGGGCAAAGAGGCGGCTGAGTTCGAGTGCCAATCTTCCCTTTTTTTAAATTCTCATTTTCCACTCACCCACCACCCCAGGGGCCTGCAAAAACAAAACAAAACAAAACAAAACAAAAAAACACCAAGAAACAGAGAAACTGTGCAAACAATTGCATGGATTGCTCAGCTCCCCCCCCCCCTCAGTTGTCGGTAAATCCCTTTCCCAAGCGGGGTGCCCGAGGCCCTGGACAGGAGTCCCATCACTCTCTCCCAGGAATGCCAAGCACACCGCTTGCCCGGGGCCACCGCAGCGAGGCCTCCGCCCAGCCCCAGGGAGGACAAAAAGGGCCGTTTTCCCACGCTTTTTCGGCAGCAGCACTCGGCTGTCGGGTGCCAAGTTGCCCAAGGCGCAGACGAGGCCTCGCCCGCTCTCTGTAACCACTCAGCGAAACTGCTTATTCACCCCGCCGCGAGCCGTGTGGGTGGCTGAACCGAGCATGGGGTTTGTGTGGAACAAGTCCGGGCGGCTGGCTGGCTTGCGTGCTGCGGCTTGGGCACGTGACTCAGTTTCCCCAAGGTCAGGGAAAAAAGCAAAACCACAAGGAGATGCTACCATCTTGGCTGGGTTGATGTGCGAGCATAGAAGCATGGAAGGGACCTTGGAGGTCTCTAGTCCAGCCCCCCCGTTCTCGACTTGCAACGTCCTCATTTAGTGACTGTTCAAACTTGGAACGATGTTTGTAAAGCCGACTTTATCGCTGTGGGTCTTTTAAATGCCCATGAATTGGATTAGTGCAATTTCTCTGGATTTAAAAATTGCATTTAATTGTATCGGGTGGACGTCAACTCTGCTGGGAGGGAATTCTGGGAGTTGAAGTCCACCCCCTCCACTCCCCTGCAAAGTGGCCAAGTTTGAGAATGGCTGCTGTGCAATTTGCTGGGTGAAAGATTTGCTTAGTTTTTGAAAGTTTACTCTTCCTGAACCCTTTTTAAAAAAAATCTTTTAAGACTTTTTTAAAAAAACTGTAAAACACTTTTTTAAAAACTTGAAACCTTTTTAAAGTCTTTAGAACTTTTGAAAAAAAAAATAAAACTTTTGAAAACTTTTAAAACTTCTTCAAAACTCTAACTTTAAAGCTCCAACTTTAAAACTCTAAAACACTTTCTTTGGAATTTTAAATTTTTTAAAGAAACTTTCCAAAACTTTTTAAAAACTTTCCAAAAACTTTCTAAAAGCTTTTTAAACACTTTTTAAAGAAGGTTTTAAAAACCTTACAGGATGATTCCCTGGGGAAGTTCATGAAAATGCCAGCCTTAAAAAAAAAAGTCACCGGTTTTTTTTTTTTCCTTTGCTGAAGGAAGAAACTCTCCGCAGCCTGAAAAAAAGGCTCAGGTATTTTCCAGGCGCTGAGGTGAAGAAAGAGAGAGGCGTCAACCAGAGGCCAGCGAGATTCTTCTCCCTGCCCTGAGGGGGTATCTAAGGCACTTTCCACTTGACAGTCTGGCAGGTTCTCAGCAGCTGAAGAAGAGAAGCTGCCATCCGATTGTCTGCCTTGCCAGGCGGATCAGATAAGAAGCCTGAGCCAGGAGTGGAAACCTGATTTTTATTGGAAGGCTCCGTGGACAGAAAGTCTCAGAGTGCCTCTTCCCCCCCCCCCATGGCCCCCAAAAAACTAGGGAGGGTCCCTTCTGAGACCCTCTCTGTCTGTCTGTCTGTTTGTCTATCTATCTCTCTCTCTCTCTCTTTCTCTCTGTCTTTCATTCTCTCTCTCTGTTTGTCTACCTATCTATCCATCCATCATCTGTCCTATCTGTTTATCTATCATCTGTATGTATGTATGCATGTATGCATCTATCTATCTATCTATCTATCTATCTATCTATCTATCTATCTATCTATCTCTATCTATCTATCTATCTATCTATCTATTTCTCTCTTTCATTCTCTCTCTGTTTGTCTTCCTATCTATCCATCCATCATCTGTCCTATCTGTTTATCTATCATCTGTCTATGTATCTATGTATATATGCATGTATGCATCTATCTATCTATCTATCTATCTATCTATCCATCATCTATCTATCTATCTATCATCTATCTATCTATCTATCTATCATCTATCTATCATCTATCTATCTATCTATCTATCTATCATCTATCTATCTATCTATCTATCTATCATCTATCTATCTATCATCTATCTATCTCTCTTTCATTCTCTCTCTGTTTGTCTTCCTATCTATCCATCCATCACCTGTTTATCTGTCTATGTATCTATGTATTTATGTATCTATATATGCCTGTTCTATCTATCTGTCTGTCTGTCTCTGTCCATCCATCTAGCCAACTATCCACCTACTTACCCACCTCTCTCTATCTCTATTGTCTTTTGTCTATCTACCTATCTATCCATCCATCTTCTATCCATCTCTCTTTCTCTCCATATCTATCTATCCATAATCTCTTTATTTGTCTATTATCTATCTATCTATCTATCTATCTATCTATCTATCTATCTACCTCACTCATCTACCTATATCGATATATCATCTATCATCTTTATCCATCCATCCATCTACCTATCCATCTCTCCCATTCTCTCTCTCTTCTCTCTCTAAGCATCCTGAGCCACGTCACCAAAACCTCCTCTGGCCTCTAAACTCAGACGTGGCAAATTCCACAAATCAAAAATTGCCGCAGCCGAAAGGGCTTTGCTCAAATCCGTACCGAGTATCGCTGCTTAAGCCAACGACCCTTCGGGGTTAAGAGAGGCGCCTTTTAAGTTTTAATTTTCAAATCCTTTTCAACAGGTTCGGCTCCCTCACTGCTGCCTTTCTGGATTTGGGAAATGTGTTTGAGTCAGCCCAGAGTTGCCAGCCAGTAATTAGACAATTGCGACTGTCTTCCTTACTGCCAAACCCGGCGACGAATTTACATGGGAGAAAAATATATATATATATGTATATTCCGGGTGTTTTAATCGCACCTGTCATTTGGCTGCCGTCATCCCTTGGTGTCCCAATTAACAGGAACCAGGTTTGCAACTTGTTTGAAACGTCCCCTGGCTGAGTCCACCAGGTTTTCTGAAAAGGTACTTAAAATGTGCTGGGTCAGCCCCGAAATTCACCCAGGAAACTTTTTCTGGCTGCAAGGAGTCCCGTTGAGAGGATGGGAAAATTCCCCCCAGAATCAGATTTGCACCTGAAGTGCAAAGTGGAGTTCAAATGGAATCCCTGCATGGAAAAGATGATCCAATTTGGTTTTTTTTTTAATGTAGATATAGATAGATGTGTGTGTGTGTGTGAGAGAGAGAGAGAGAGAGAGAAAGAGAGAGAGATGAAGACAGAATAGATAGATATAGATAGACAAAAGACTAGAGAGAGAAATAGAGAGAGAGGGAGGGAGAGGAAGAGAGCTAGAGATGAAGAGAGGATAGATATAGATAGATGTGTGAGAGAGGAAGAGAGTGATAGAGAGGAAGACAGGATAGATATAAACAAATAGAGAGAGAGAGGAAGAGAGAGAGGGGGAGAGAGAACTAGAGATGAAGACAGAAAATAGATATAGATAGACAAATAGACTAGAGAGAGAAATAGAGAGAGGGAGAGAGAGAGAGAGAGAGAAGGAGGGAGGGAGAGAGGGAGGGTGTGGTTCTTTGCCGGAGGCAATTCATTACCTGTCTGCCTTTGAAACCTCCCAAGTGAGCCATCAAAATGCAATTACAGACTGTTGCTGGAAAGAGGTGACGGGCGCACGGTATGCAGAAGGAGGGCGGCGTCCGAAAATTCAGAGAGCGCCTGCGGAACTGCCCGACACATGCCTTGACAACTGGCTGTCAGAAGTCCTGGCGGCAGGGAAGGTGTGGAGAGGGAGAGACGAACGCCTTTGCTCTGAAAAATAGGTTGGGATTTCCACTAAATCAATCTGCTGTGCTTTTTCAAACTTGTAAGATTTCAAACTTTTGCCGAAGAAACGGTCGTAAGTTGGCCATTTTAAATCAGGAGAGCTACACAGAGCCTCCAGCTTCAGGGGCAGTTCATCTGACAAAAACCCATCCTTGCCATGCAAACAATTAAACTCTTGAAATCTTGCTAGGTTGATCTCCTTAAGGTAGAGAGACGAAAGCAGAGAGACCCCCTTTGCTTCTACTTTCCCTCTTTTTTTAAAATAAAATATTTATCAAATTTATCTGTGCCTTCAATTTTTAATAAACATTTCCTTAAGTCGCTCCTTCCCCCACTCCAGCAAAAAATCTCTAGATTAATTCAGTTCAATTCTGATTTACTGGCTTAGAGAAAACAAAGCAGAAAACCAACCACAGAATTCCTTCTACCTTTCATTTATCCTTTTAACACTTTTTAAAAATAACTATTCTGACGTGAAATCTGGCTAAATTCCAGCTAATTTCTCCCTTCCTCTCAACTTTTCAAAAGTTTTTTTTTCTTCTTCTAAAGAATAATTCTGGGTGGATCATAAAAGCTTTTTGTGCCCCGGGAATAAGCGACACCTGACACAAAAATACACTCAGATGTTAAAAAAAAATCCCATTAAAATCGTATGTTTAGATAGCCAAAAACTAACGGGAACCACCAATATTTTTAAATGTAATGTTCTCAACACCTTTGTCTTCCTGGAAAAAAAAATCAGATTTAAAGCAGTAAATAATTGACACGGGCTTTAAAACCAATTCAGACATTTTTATTGAGTATCAAAATGGACTCATATGTATATATAGGATTAAAGTGCTGTTTGATCTTTGGCACACGCACGTGCCAATTGTGCAAGTTACAAGCTAGGGAGAACGATACGGGGCAATCCTCGAATTATAACCGCAACTGGGATCAAAATTTTATTTGCTAAGCAAGGCTGTTAAGTGTGTCGCTCGATGTCATGACCTTTTTGCCACGTTTCTTAAGCGAATCACACAGTCGTTAAGCAAAACCAGCTTTTCCCATCAACTTTGCTCATCGGAAGCCAGCTGGGAAGATTGCAAATGGTGGCCACGCAATCCCGGGATGCTGGGACCGTCGTAAGTACACACTGGTTGACAAGCGCTTGAAATTCGATCACGTGACTGTGGGAATGTTGCAATGGTCACAGCTGTGAGGACTGGCTATCAGTCAGCGCCAATGTCACTTTGGTCACTAAACAAAAGGTTACAAGTCAAGGATTTCCTGTAAGGCAGCTCCCAGGGAGGTTTACTGGCCTGTAGTCCTCTTGTGTGGTAACCACAAACGAAGTTTTGGGGTTAAGATGAGAGAGAGGGAGAGAGAAAGAAAAAAAGAGGCAGAAAGAGAGAGACAGAAAGAGGGGAAAAGAAAGAAAGAAAAGAGAGAGAAAGAAAAAAGATATGAGACAGAGAGAGAAGAGAGAGACAGAGAAAGAGATTAAGAGAAAGAGAGGGGGCAGAGAAAGAAAGAAAAGAGAGAGAAAGAGAAAGAAAAAAGATAAGAGACAGAGAAAGAGAGAGAGAAAGGAAAGAAAGGAGAGAGAGAGAGGTTTCTGGCCCCAAAGCAGTGAAGGAGGTCAAAAGTGCCTGGATGTAAAATTACTCTCTCCCAAATTCCAATCAGCAAATCTAAATTAAACAAAACACCAGATTTCCATTCTGAATTTACTTAACCGCAAGATTAACTGACCCACAAATTTTCGCTTTTTTAAAAAAAGGACAAAATAAATTGAGTGCCCTAAAAAGAATGAAAGATAGAGAGGGGTCGAGGCCGGACAGGCACTCAGAACAGGCACTCAGGCAGAGACACACCATGCCATCTTCCACACTCTTGGCACCTAGAAATTTTATCGGGGGGAGGGGGGGAATTATAAATAAGTCCCAAACTGGGCTGGGCAAAATTTTCCTTCCTTTACCAGGGTCTCCACAAGGGGGGAGGCTGGGTGGGCTGGGAGCCCCCCCAGAAGTTTCCTGGGTCCCGCCTGGCCGGGCACAGGGGTGTCTCCTCCTGCTGCGTGGCGGCCAAGTCTTTTGCCGAGTGTGTGCAGTTGTGATGCCAAGGGCAATCCCTGAAGTTCTGCTGGAGCCGTGCCAAGAGTTGGTGGCACGCATCTGGACTCAGCAGGTTGTACTTGGGGATCAGCGTCGCAAAGTGGGACAGGCAAGCATGGTAACCTTCGCCGTAGCCGTCCACCGAGCCTGTGGGAAACAGAAACTCAAATTTATTCCCTGAATCCCCCATACTGCTAGTCCTCAACTGAACAGTTCATTTAGTGACCGAAGTCACAACAGCACTGGGAAAAAGAGGGATTTAGGGCTTTGTTAAAGGAATCGTTGCCCTGATGAAGTTAGTACGGCTAATGCTTGACTCACAACATTTTGTTTAGTGACCGTTCAAAGTCACAACGGCACTGATTCGTGGCCATATTCCCTGTTGGTCACATGATCCAACTCCAGACGCTTAGCAACTGACACGTACTTATGACGGTTGCAGCGTCCCAGAGAAGGTTGTAAAATGGGGCAAAACTCACTTGACAAATGTCTGTACAAGAGCACACACAAGCCTTGTCACACTCACCGGGAAGCGTGCCACAAGACGTTGGAAGGTCCTTGAGAAACTGAACGGTCATCTCCAAAATATCTGCCTTTTCCAGCTTGGAATAGCAGGAACTCTGGAATGGAAGGGGGGGGGGAATGGTTGAGAAACAAAAACAATGTACAACAACACACCCCACAAGCACGTTGCAGCAAAGTAGCCCATACGGAGAATAGAAAGTTCAGGGACACACCTTCGCGTGACACAAAAATCCCAGCGATCCACAGCAAATCTGTAGAGCCTCCGTGCTCCGGAGCACTCAACCCCTAAATATGGAATTAGTGCTTCCGAGCATCCCTGTCAAATCGTTATACTTTATAATACACGCGTGTAGGGTGTCTGCACATGGAGGCAAAGAAAAACCCACATTCTGATGCGTAAGTATAAGTGCAGACGTTAAAAACATAAAACTTGAAATATATAAAAAGCCTTATTTGGGCTCAAATCTAATAATCTACTAAGCTTAAGTGTCATCTAATTTTAGTAGAGGGGACCTTGGTGGTCTCTGAGCTTAGAGTTTTTCTTGCAGACATTTCAATAACTAACTAGGTAACATCATCAATACTAGACAGGAGTGAGGTTTGCAGGGGGGAGGGGGAGGAGGAGGAGAAGGAGGAGGAGGACTGTGGGATCCTGGGTGATCTCTGAGCTGGGTGGCTTCCTTGCAGACGTTTCATGACCCAACTAGGGAACCTCATCAGTGCTGGAAGGGCTATTTATATGCAGCTCCCTTCTAGCCCTGATGATGTTCCCTAATTGGGTCATGAAACGTCTGCAAGGAAGCCACCAAGCTCAGAGAGCGCCAGGACTCTTCTTCCTCCTCCACCTTTCCACTGATGATGTTACCTAGCTGGGTCATGAAACGTCTGCCAAAAAAACCCCCCAAACCCCACCAAGCCCAGGGAACTCCAAGGATGCCTCCATCCAACCCTTGGTTGGTCCTCTTAGTAGAGTCGCGCACTCTGCCCTCCCGGATGACACTGACCCTCAAGCCTTCCCCGCCAGCCGGGGGGAGGGGGGGCTCCTGGGGGGCCTGGCGTGGGAAGGGGGCGTCGCCACTCACGTCTTTGCCCACCAGGGGCAGGATGAGCGTCTTGAGCTGGCCGAGGCTGCAGTTGATGCGCGCCCGGCGGCGCTTCTCCATCAGCGGCTTCAGGCTCTGCGAGGGGGGAGAGAGGGAGACGGGGGGGGGGGTCAGTCCGACGGCCGGGCCAGGGGAAGGGGAAGGGGCGCGGCTGGGCCTCCCCCGCTCGGACTCACCTTCCGCAGGTCGGAAGTCTCCCCGGTTTGTCTCCCCGGACTCATCCCGCCTGCGACGCGCAACGGCCCAGCGGCAGGAGCGAGAGCTGGCTCTGCCCCGCCCGGCGGGGCCTTTTATACCCTCCCGGCCCCGCCCACTTGGACTGCCGGGGACGCCCCGCCCCGCCCCTTCAGAGCCAGCGCCGCCTGGCCCGCGGAACTCGCCGCCACTTTGCGAGTGGTGGCCGCCGTTTGGCTGCCAGCGGAGTCCCGGGCCAGATGGGGGCTCTGGAGGAGAAACCTGAAATGAAAGGGAGTGAGAGGAAAGAAAAGAAAATGCGAAGAAAAAGAAAGGCAGAAGAAAAAGGGAAAGAGAGGAGAGGAGAGGAGAGGAGAGGAGAGGAGAGGAGAGGAGAGGAAAGGAAAGGAGAAAGGGGTGATTTTTTTATCTTCGCTACAATAGTTCCAACCAAACAAGATTACCTGATTTGAGCAGGAGGTTGGACTACAAGACCTCAAAGGTCCCTTCCAGAGAGATGATAGATATAGATATTTATATATAGATCTGGCTCCTGGGTGCATCAGCAGAGTAACCGTTCCACGTGTCGGCCCCCACCACAACATCTTGGCCTGCGATGCTGCTTTGGGTCTCGGAGGGGCCATTAATGTAACCCGCCCCCCTCCGCCGCCCCCCCCCCCAGCCAGGCTTCCCCCCAGCGGCTTAGGGCGGCCCTCCAGCTGTCTCTGCCGCGCGTCTTCAGCACCCTGGAGAGCGACCGGGAAAGGCGCCAGGCGGCGGGGCGGACGCCCCCAAGCGCCCCCCTTTTCTCCCCCTTCCCTCCTCCTCCTCCCCCCCCCGGAAAAAAAAATCTGTTGTGTATGTTGTTGACAAGATGTGGCGGATGCCATAACGGCCCACTCAGCTGGACGAAAAGCACCATTTCTCCAAAGCAGACTCGCTTTGGATAGAGACAGGCTGCATGTACATTTAAGACATATTGCATAAATAAAGGCAACAGGAATCGGCCTGGGCTAGGAGACCACAGGGAAAGCACAGAAGACTAGACGGGGCCGGGGAAGGACTGATAATCAGCTGCACGTCTGGCTGGGGCCAGTTCTGGGTTCAAATGCTGTTCCACAACGGGGTAGTGCAGACCAAGAAAGCAAAGCTGAGCTCAGGGTCTTTGCTTCCCCCTCCCATAATTGAGCTGACAGGGTGGTCTGGAGGTCGAGAATGTCCCCTGGGATTGGAATAGTTGAGGGAGGGTCTTTTGTGCTGTAGAGACCCCTTCAACCACCAAGCTCAAAAGAGACTCCTCAGTGCCCCATGCTACAGCAAGGCCTTTTGTTCCTCTAACGGCCGTTTGCACAAAGGGACGGTGGGCACAGGGGTGGGCACAGCTGCCGGAGGGGAGGGGATAAGGAAAAATGCAGATGACTGCCAGCCTCTATCGACAAAGAGGGTTAGGGGTATGGAGGCCAAACCGTATGAAGAACGGTTGCAGGAATTGGGTATGTTTAGACAAGGACTAGGGTGACATGGTGGCATCTGCCAATATTTGAGGGGCTGCCACAGAAAAGAGGGGGGGTCCACCTCCAAAGCACCCGAGGACAGGTTAAAAAACAACAGGTGGAAACTTATTAAGGAGAGAAGCAACCTAGAACTATGGAGAAATTTCCAGACAGTAAGAAAAATTAATCGGTTGCCTCCAGAAGTTGTGGGTGGAGGTTTTTAAGAAGAGACTGGACACTCCAGAATGATTGAAGGTCTCTTGCTTGAGCAGGGGGTTGGACTAGAAGACCTCCAAGGTGCCTTCCACTTTAATGAGTCTATGAACTATGGTTGGGAACTGTCTTGGGGGCAGCCTCTAATTTGGGCGTCTTAAGAGGTGGGCGCAGATATTTAACTGTTCTTTGGGTTTATTTCCTAGGCCCTACCTGATTTTTGCACACCCCCTCCCCCGCTTCTTAACAGCTCCCACCCACCCAATTTGGAAGGAGGGGGGGGCGTATCTCTCAAACGTTTTAGAATTGCAAAATAACGGAAGAAGCAGAACTTCTGCTGAGCGTGGCTGCTTTTAGCGCCACCGTGTGGCCCAAACGGAGTATTGAAGCTTCCCTAATAGATCACCTTACCGGATCTTCTGCAGAAATTTCAGTCTGGATCTTGTACCCTTTGGGGAGACCTCGCTCCAGTTGCGGGTTTCCCAAACTTGGCAAACTCGGAGAAGGGTGGACTTCAACCCCCTGAATTCCCCAGCCAGAAGGAGGGATGACTAGATAGCAGCAGCTTTTAAGCCCGCGAGGGACAGACAGCCTGTGTCATATTAGATAAAATGGATAAAGTATTAACAAGATAAAATAATGGCATGAAATGAAATAATAAAAGAAGATATAAAATATAAAACTATATAAAAGATAAAATAATACAAGATTTTAGATTTAAAATTAAATTAAATTAAGCACTCTGTACATGCTCAGAGGTTGGGCCACCCAGGTGCTGAAGGTCAGCTCCCGGAGGTTGCGCAAGTCGGAGAAGGCATAAAGGAGGAGGAGGGGGGCGGGGTGGGAGAACCCCCCTCCCGCGACCAAGGAGGGGCGTGGCCTCCCTCTAGGGGGCGGGGCCATAGCCCCCCTCCCCTCCCTCCGCCCGAGCCTCCGGCAGAGCCGGCCGGGCGCCAGGAGAGCGCTATGGCCGGGGAGCGCGCCCTGCTAGCGGCTCGCCAGGGCGACCTGGAGGCGCTGAGGGCGCTGCTGCCTCCTCCCGCCGATCGGGGGGTCCCGCTGCTGCCCCCCGACGCCCTCCGGGACCCTCTGGGCGCCTCGCCGGTGCACCACGCCGCCCGCGCCGGGAAGCTGCGCTGCTTGCGCTACCTGGTGGAGGATGCCGCGCTAGGCGCGCAGGACCGGGCGCGCAACGGGGCCACCCCGGCCCACGATGCCGCCGCCACGGGCCACCTGGCCTGCCTGCAGTGGCTGCTCGGCCCCGGCGGCTGCCGCGTCCAGGTGAGCCTCTGAGCATGGGCAGAGGGCGGGCGAGGAGGCAGGATCGCGGGGGCGGGGGAGAAGGCGGCGCGGGCGCTTCAGGCTGTTGGGGACCCCAAGAGAGGAAGTGGGGTGTCTGTTTCTCGGTTCCCCCTCTGGCCACCTGCGGTGCCTGCGGGAGCTGATCAGCCCTGCTCAGGTGAGCCTCTGAGGTCGTGCAGAGGGCAGGCAGTGAGGTGAAGAGGCAGGATCGCAGGGGATCACGCCTCGGGCTCTTGAGTCTGTTGGGGACCCAAAGAGGGGGTTTCTTCATGGCTTCCCCCCTCTGTCCAGCTAACACTAACCATTAGAGGTCATCTAGTGCAGCCTCTCCATTGGGCCCTTTGTAGTCCAGCTTGTGGTGAAATCTAGCCATGGCTTCACCGTGGTGCAAACCGAGCTTTTTTGCCTGCGTGTCGATAGAGAAGAGACAAGTTTGTTTCAATTGCTTCCATTCACACAACACTCTGTGTGAGGTTGAATAATTGGGTGCAAATTGGTAGGGACAACCCAGCCAGTCCCGTTTTGTATGACTCACAAAACGGTGTGAAGCTGTTTGCTGTGAACCCGGGGCTTGCTTCTTGCTAACCTGGGTTTAGCGCCTTGTGTGAACACAACCTTCCAACGGACAAAGCGGCAATCTATAAAAAAAACCACAAATGATCACTTGCAAATAGCACTAATGGATAAACGTTTAAGCATTCCACAGAGCGTTTGATGGCGAAAACAACCAAGTCTGCTGCAAAAAAGAAGTATTTTTTATGACCACAAAATTTCTGTGGCAAATCGAGACATTTGTTAAGCAAGTTTGGCCCCATTTTACGACCTTCCTTTCCACCGTTAAGTGAATCACTGCGATTGTTAAATTAGTCACACGGTTGTTAAGTAAATCCGGCTTCCCCATTTTGACTTTGCTGATCAGGAGGTGGCAAAAAGGGATCACGTGACCTCAAGCCACTGCAACCGTCATCGGTCCATGTCAGTTTCCAAGCATTTGAATTTGGATCACATGACCCGCAATGCTCCTAAGTGTGAAAAAAACTGCCCTGAGTCCCTGTTGTAAATTGAGGACTACCCCTATTGGGTTTACGGGCCGAAATATCCTTCCTTGGCTCTTTTGGATGCCCTCTGTGACACCCACTTTGCCAAACCGCCTCCTTTGAAGTGCCAGCATTTTGCATTGCGTTTTTGACACTCAGGATGTGTGTTTTTGCAGGACATGGATAATTCGGGCGCCACCGTCTTGCACCTAGCCGCCCGCTTCGGCCACCGTGATGTCACCGAGTGGCTCCTGCATTTCGGGGGCTGCGACCCCCTGGTGCCCACCGAGACGGGCGCCTTGCCCATCCACTATGCTGCCACAAAAGGAGATTTCCCTTCTCTGCACCTGATCCTCGGACACTCTCCCGGGTAAGAGACAACCTCGCTGTGTCGGTGTTATTTTTCCCAATGCAGCATCGAGCGTGCGTGCGTGTGTGTGTGTTTTTCAACAACAGTTGTTAAGAAGTAAATCATTACGGGTAGACCTCAACTTACGAGCACAGCTGAGCCCATCAGTTAATAAGCAAGGAAACCATGAAAGATGGTCCTTGACATATGACTGCTGTGGATTCCAACATTTCCGTCATTAAGTGAGCTTGGCACCATTTTGCGACCTTTCTTGTGATGGTTGTTAAGCGAATCGCTGCTGTTATTAAGCGAGTGACATGGTTGTTTAGGTGAATCTGGCTTCCCTACGGATTATGCTTGTTGGAAGGTCGGAAAAGGGGATGCCAGGACACTGTGACCGTCGTAAGTACGAGTCAGTTGCCAAGCGTCTGAATTTTGGTCACGTGATGCTGCGATGGTCGTTAAGTGTGAAAAACTTTTTTGCAGTGCCCTTGTAACTTTGAACGGTCACTAAAGGAACTGTTGCAAGTGGAGACTATCTATATTTATTTACTTATTTTTATTTTGTTTTATATTTTGTTTTACTCATCTCCTATCAGTGATGGTTTTTGCCTTGGTTTCCTAACACTGATGGGCTTGTTCAAATCTGTCAAATCACTGGTGAGAAAAGTTTTTTACACTTAGGCAGGAAAAACCAAATGCACAGGTATGGGATAGGTGGTACCTGGCTCAATAGTAGCAACTGTGAGATGGATCTTGGAGTCCTGGTAGACAATCCCTTAAATAGGAGCCAGTCGTGTGCAGCAGCAGCCAAAAAGGCCAACACAGTGTTGGACTGCATGAACAGAAGGACATAATCAAGATCAGGTGAAGTGTTAATACCGCTTTACAAGGCCTTGGTGAGGCCACACTTAGAATATGGCATCCCGTTTTGGTCACCACAATGTCAAAAAGGTGTTGAGACTCTAGAAAAGTTGCAGAGAAGAGCAACCAAGATGGTTTGGCCAGCATCCTGGTTTGTCTGTTGCTAGAATTGGCTCCCGTTTGTCCAGCTTGTTTTCTGCTTCTGTGACAGCTTTATGGCAGGGGAGGGGGGGCTTTGGAGTGGAAATATAGCCCATGTGGCTTTGCAAAAAGCTGATAACACAGCGGCCTTTGTCTCCCCCGAGGTTGTATAAAGGGATTGGGCGCCAGGCAGGGCTGAAAGGCTTTTGGGATGGGGAGAGCAGCCAAAATTTGGGTGGCAGGGAAGGAAGGAGGGGGAGGGCAGTTGGGGAGGGGGAGGCCAGGAGGGGGAGTGGGTGGAGATTGATGCCTTTTCTCCGTGGGTGGAGAGTGACAAATCTGAGCACCTGTTTTCCTGATAGGGTGGAGGTGTGTTCACTGGCCCTTTAGCCATGTTGGAAGGATGTGCAAGCTGGCCCATAAACAGCCATGTGGGTGGCTTAAGAGAGGCAGGTTGATAACCCTTCCTTCCTTCCTTCCTTCTTTCTTATCCATCCTTCTTTCCCCTCTCTCTGCTTTCCTTCATTCCCCTCCTTCTTTCTTTCTTTCTTTCTTTCTTTCTTTCTTTCTTTCTTTCTTTCTTTCTTTCTTTTTTCCTTCCCTCCCTCCCTCCCTCTTGCCTGCCGTCTGCCTTCATGTTTACATATGTGAGTTAAAAGAGAGGGAATGCCTTTACAACCCTTTGCCACACCTTTGAAAACCCCAAATCCAAGCCCACCCTCTGTTCAGCCACCCAACTCAAAGCGGAATGCAAGCGCGGGAAGGGACCTTAGAGGTCACCTAGCCCAACCCCCTGCCCAGGAAAAAAAAAAAAGAACACCACCATAGCTTTTCCAGCCTCTGCTGAAGTGCCTTACTTAGAGTTAAACTCCAGCCAAAGGAGCTGCTAATATGAAATCACCCCGCCTGTCAAAATAGGTCAGCGGGATGCTTTGGAACTGTACAGTACAGGACGTGGGAGATTAAAGGGTTTTTAATCTCATTTCCCACGCCAAGTAAGTGTGGCTCAACCACAAATAGCCTTTGGAAAGGCTTGGAGGGGTAATTAAAAATCTGCCAGTTACGTTATTACTGCCAGCCAGAAACCAGCTTAGAAAGGGGGGGGGGTCTTTCAAGCCTTTACAACGTGGAAAGTCCAGTTAGCCCCAAATGGACACGTACTATTTAAGCGAGGCCTCAATTTGCAGAATTGTTTTCAAGACGATGGTCTGTTTTTCGCTCTTTACGGATAGGTGGGAAGCCAAGTCTCTAAAAAAAAAAAAAAAAATTAAAAAAAAATCAGAATTTTGGCCTGGCTTTTAAAACTAGCTTCCCCTCCCCAACCCACCCCTGAAAAAAAAAAAAATGCTAAGCAGCTTTTCTGGAAATGTTTTGTCATTTTTCGCTAACTAAAAGCAAAAGGTTTTTAAGAAGAGACTGGACAGTCATTTGTCTGAAATGGTACAAGGTTTCCTGCCGGAGCAGGGGGTTGGACTAGATGACCTCCATGGTCATAAGTCATAATGAATAGAGATGATAACAATAATAATAATAACAATAATAAAAATAGAATAGAATAGAAAATAGAATAGAATAGAAAATAGAAATAGAAATAATAGACTAGACTAGAACAGAATAGTTGAAAGGGACCTTGTAGGTCATCTAGTCCAACCTCCTGCCCAACAGGTCTTTGAGTTTATTGCAAGATTTCTAAGGACATTAAGCAGCAAAAAAAGTTTCTCCTCTTTCATCGAAATATCCTCTCTCTCTCTCTCTCTCTCTCTTGTAGAGATCTGAGAATTACGTCCAGCGCCATTCAAAGTCCAGCAGGAATTTGTAAGACCTTGATAGGATTAGCGAAGTTATTTGCACGCCATTCTCTCCCTGTTTAAAACTACCTCGGTTTTGATATTGGCCAGTTTGGGAGAGAGATCAAGGCTACGTTGGTTCGCTTATCCCGTGTTCGTACCTCAAAGAAATACTATTTCACAAATAAATAAATAAATAGGTAGCCCTTGACTTAACGACCGTTTACGAAAGGCCGTAAAATGGGGCAGAACGCCTTTTAACAAGTGTTAAACAGCAGACACAAATTTGGGGCTCAACTGTGCTGGTAATTTGAGGACTACCTTTACCGCTATCACGTTCCCCTTCGTCCTTCTTTTCATTAAACTAGACATCCCCAATTCCTGCAACCGTTTTCGTGTATTTTATGCTCCAGAACCCCTTAATCCTCTTTGTTGCTCTTCTCTGCACCCTTTCCAGAGTCTCAGCACCCCCATCCCGACAACCCCATTTATGCAGAGGCTTCAAGCCTTGAATAAATCAGGCTGGGAGTTTGAATTTCTGAATTGCTCAGTTTGCTTTTCATGACGATAAACCAGCAAGACTCCGTCCTTCTGATGTTTGCCTGTCTTAGTTAAGAAACAACATGAATTATTTACAGCCAGGCAGGAACGATCTTTCATCGTACACGCCCCCCCCCCCGCGACAACTTGATCCCAGTCTCCGTTACCGGTTGTTGCAACCGGATCCCCCGAGGTTGCCAAGAAACATGGATGATGGTTTACACAAGGAGGGTTTAGCTAACTCAGCCTTCGCTTATTGGTTTATTCTATTAATTTAAAGAGAGGTCTTTCAACTCTCTCCAATAGAATAGAATAGAATAGAATAGCAGGGCTTTATTTTGGTTCTCTATATAAAGCAGGGGGCTAGGCTGGATGACCTTCACGATCCCTTCCTAGCCTCACATCATCCTGCGCTTTAGCGTGCCCTGGGTTTGGGGTTGGACTAGATGACCTCCGAGACGCCCCTTACCACTCTCAGCATTCTGGACCACAACACCTGGCCTGGTGGCTACATCCTTCACTTAATCTTTTATTTTGGGGCTAAAATTCACAAAATTCGGCCAGGCAGGACCAGTCAGGGAGGTGGAGGCGGGGGAAGAGAGACCACCAGGTGTTCCATTGTCCCTGCCTGTTTTTTTATCACTGGTCTTTTTTGTGCCTTCCCTGTAGCTAATCTGCAGCCTGGCACAATAGAAGCTGCCTTGAGCGGTCTGATTTACGACCACGCCCGCCTCTCTACGCTATGCCCGGCTGTCTGTCCCTGCAGCACAGATAGGCCTTATCAGTGTCTTTGCAGCTTCCTGGGCTGGGGTGGGGTCTCTCCCCCAAAGCTGGAACGCCCACCCCTTTGGCCTGGACAGCGAAGGGCAAAATCACCTTGAAGAAGCTTTGCATTCCGCGAGTTATGCCCAAACTTTTCATTTTTTAAGCGGGACAACTGCTAAGTCAGTTTTTCCCCATTTTATGACCTTTCACGCAGGCACCGAACGCTGCAACCGTCATAAATACAAGTCAGTTGCCAAGCATCTGACCACGGGGGATGCTGTGACGGTCATAAGGGTGAAAAACGGTCCCAAGTTGCTTTTTAAAGTGCTGTTGTAAATACGAATGCTCACTAAATGAATAGTTGTAAGTTGAGGTCTATACATAAGCCAAGAGTTGCTTCAAAACAAGGTGGGCCACTGATAAATTTAATTAATAATAATTATTAACAATAATAATAATAGCAACCCAGATACAGACCCTTTCTGGGGTCTGTATCTGGGTTGCTATCCTCCTGATCGCCACTAGGGGGCAACAGGTCTTGATATTTTCCCATGCGCTTTGTCGCCCCCCTAGTGGCTTTCTGCAGGATAGCAGTCCCTATAGGGCAATTAAATGAGCTGATTTGAAAAATGGCACGATCTCACGGTTTGGATTGCTCCAGAATTAAATGTTTTTTTTAAAAAAAACCACGTTGAATGAGTTCGTATTTATGACATTCGCGTGTCTCAGGAGAGTTTGCACTGCTTAAGACACAAACAATTGTCGGTCCAGGGTTTGTGAGTTTGTTTACAGAGAAGAAAAAACAAACTCACATTCAGAAGTGGATGGAAAGAGAATAGGGTTGCAAAAAAAACCCCCGGCATCTCCAAGACATGTCAATCAATTATTAAACAGCCCAGCTGAGTTTTTCTTACGTTGCCTTTTTGAAATATTAAACAGGTTTTTAATTGGGCGTTTCTGAACAAGAGAATCGAAATTTGCAGAGGTGCAAATGTGGATTTTCAGGGTTAAAAAAATACCCACTCTGTTATTCTATTCTATTCTATTCTATTCTATTCTATTCTATTCTATTCTATTCTATTCTATTCTATTCTATATTCTACTCTTTTCTTTTCTATTTATCAATGATCAATGATCAATTACCAATCAGAAAAGAGCTGGAATTTGATCGCTTTTAAAAAGAGCAAACTTGATGGTTTGATCTTTGAAAAATCTGTGTGTGTTTTTTATTTTATTTTTCTTCCAGTTCGGTCAACGCCCAAACCAAGAACGGTGCCACCCCCCTTTATTTAGCCTGCCAAGAGGGTCACTTGGAGATTGTCCAGTACCTGGTCAAGGAGGGCGGGGCTGACCCTCACCTACGCGCCAACGACGGGATGACGCCCCTCCACGCCGCGGCTCAGATGGGCCACAACACTGTCATTGTGTGGCTGGTGAGGAAGGGGACGTCGGCTGGGCCTGGCTACGTAGAATTCACATACACATAGAGGTGGTCCTCGGCTCATTTAGTGACCGTTATAACGGCACTGATTATTGATTTTTTTTTCCTGCTCGGCGCTTAGATGAGCTTCACAGATGTCAACCTGTCGGAGCAAGATGAGGAGGGGGCCACGCCGATGCATTTCGCGGCCAGCCGGGGCCATGCCAAAGTCCTGAGTTGGCTGCTCTTACACGGAGGGGAGATTGCGGTGGACAAGTGGGGAAGCACCCCCCTGCACGACGCCGCAGAGAACGGGGAGCTGGAGGTGAGAGAATCGGCTGGGGAAAGGGTCACCTCTTGGTGCACTTTCCCTCCGAGGGAGAATTGGAGGCCGCTGCGGGGCTGGGAAGGGTTTGGTTTAGCTCAGGGGAGATGGCTCTGGCGAGTCGCTCTTTTTTCTACCTGGCCTCGGGTGTGGGAGAAATAGAGACGGGTCAGGAAGGATTCCCCAGAGGCCATCTAGTCCAGCCCACTGCCCAGCAGAGGGATCCAAATTGAAATTTAGGAGGCTAGAAGGATTGAATGGGATCATAGAGGTCATCTAGTCCAATCCCCAGTCGCCCCTGTGCTCACCCTTGTCTTCTTCTCCTCCCCTCCCCCACACACAGTGCTGTCAGATCCTCGTGGTGAACGGCGTCGACCTCAGCCAGCGTGACCAGGACGGCTATACGGCCGCAGATCTTGCTGATTACAACGGCCACTTGCAGTGCGCCAAGTACCTGCGGACAGTGGAAAACATGGTACAGATTCGTGGGGGGAGGAGGGTGGGGGGAGGGGAAAGGGGCTGGGAGGAACACAGGTCTGTCTATCTATCTATCTATCTATCTATCTATCTATCTATCTATCTATCTCTATCATTTATCTATATCTATCTATTATCTATCTCTATCATCTATCTATCTCTATCGATTGATCGATCAATCAATCTATATCTATCTATCTATCTATCTATCTATCTATCAGAGAGATAGACAAACGGATAGATAGATTGATGCTATTTATATTATTGTATTATTTTTTCTGTTTTCATTTTGGTTTGATTGCATTGCTTTTTAATCTTTTTGTTTTTTTTTATTTCTTTTTAACTATCTTCCATTTCTTTGTTGGCACCGATTGTTAACATTTCTGTTCTTTCATTTCTTCCCTTTCTTTTCTTTCCCCCTCTTTTTTGTTTTCCATTTGTGTTCTGTCCTGGCTCTTTGTTTTTTCTCCTCTTTTGTTTATTCCGTTCCCTGTTGTTTTTTTTTTTAAAAAAACTTCTTTCTTATCTCCATCATTTATTTACTTTCTCCTCTTATTACCCTATTTTTCCCCTTCTTTTTGCTATTCTTTTCCACTCCCTCCTTTTGCTCATGCCCATTTTATTTCAATTCTATTTTTTCATGTTTTGGTTATTTTTTTTTATTTTTTTATTCCCATTTATTTTCCGTTGCTGCTGTTATTATTTTTTCCTTTGCTTTCGTTTTGGCTTTTTCCTCCTCTCCTCTCGCCTTAAACAACTCCAGAAAAATAATTATCGCCACAATTTAAAAAAAACACCGGTCTTCCGCAGAAGCTGGGCGAAAGCCACCGATGCGCTGGTCACGTACAATGACCTCGTGGTACGTGCCACGTCCATCACCCCGTTGCTTCCTTCCGTGCAACCCCTAAACACAGGCAGTCCTTGACTTATGACTTTGTTTAGTGACTGTTCAGAGTTACAGCATCGTTCCTAAACTGTCTCACCTGTAGAACTGATGAAGCTCCTTGGATAAGATACGAAACGTCTTCCTTTTCTTCCTCATACTGTCCTTTTAAAAGAAAAAGAAAAGGAAAAAATACCCCACTTTTGAGATCATTTCTGCACGGGATTAATTTGGTTTTCTCTGGCCAATTCCCAGGGCGGCTGGCAATCCGAATCCTCCCATTTTTCACTTGTTTCCAGCATGTTTGTTCAGAATGGGGAGAAAAAAAAGTTGGCTTTTTCAAAAGCTCCCCAATGCCAGGGGGAATTCACCAGCTGCCGGTTACCCAGGGCACCGGGTGTAAATCCTGCCAGGGCGGCTGTGATGTCGCGCAGCCCCCAGGGAACAAAAGAAGCCTGTTATTTTATGCTGGATGCTGGTTTGAGCTTTGGCTGCGACGGAAGGAGAGAACCCCCCCTTTTTCCCCCCCAGCATCATGGGCAACGTAAGAGGGGTCCCTGGATAGGTGGGTGGGTGGGTAAGGGGGTGCACTTTTAAGGGGGAGCCATCTAAAGCTACAGCTGGGGGACTGAGGTGGCACTTTCATAGGCACCTGTCTCCCCTCTGTGCTTTAAACCCGGAAGTGAACCTGGCTTCCCTCCAGAAGTTGTGGGCGCTTCATCCCTGGAGGTCTTCAAGAAGAGACTGGACAGCCAATTGTCTGGAATGGTCTAGGGCTGGACTAGAAGACCTCTAAGGTCCCTTCCAACTCTCATTCTGATTGATTGATTCATGGATTGATTGATTGATTGAAATGGTCTAGGATCTGCTGCTTGAGCAGGGGGTTGGACTAGAAAACCTCCAGGGTCCCTTCCAGCTCTATTCTGATTGATTGATTGATTGATTGAAATGCTCTAGGTCTCCAGCCTGAGCAGGAAAAATTTATTGGAAAAGATTCTTTGAAGGAAAATCCTGATTTCTCCAACCGAAGGCAGGTCTGCCTATCCCAACAATTTTGGGGTGGAAAATCCAGATTGAGTTAAAAATCCTTTCCTTGGGGGTTCTGGGTTCGAGTGAAGCCACATCCTGCTTCCTGATGGGTCCCTGAACGCTTTGTTTCCCGTAGAGCGTGGAGCACCGGGTGCTGTCCCGAGACCCCTCAGCCGACACGGAACTCAAACAGCCGGATTCTGGCCTCTCCTCACCCCACACCACCGTCTCGGCCCCCCAGACCCACTTCGACATGGGGTCCCCGAGCAGCATCTTCTCCAACTACGATTCCTCGCACTCGAGTCAGTCCAGCACAGGAGAGAAGAGGAATTACACAGGGCCACGTAAGCAATCATCAGGGAGCCCCTTCATTTGCTCAGCCCTCAAGATCTGATGGCTGACACAACCGATGTCACTTGCAGAGCATACCGTGATGATTCACTGGGACATAAATCGATTTTGCAAAGTATCTTGGAAAATTACAAGCAGGAAGAGCTTTTTAGGACCAGTCTGCATTACTGACAGTCCATTCTCGGTACACATGAAGGTTCCCTGACCCCTGGTGCTCTCCTAGTGCAGGCTGGGAATGAGGGGTGTTGTAGTGCAGCTAGAGGCTCCTGTCTGGGAAAAAATTGGCCTGGTTTTATGAGTCATGGCCCAGCGACTCTTAAAGCAACATTCATTAAACCGAAAAGCAACGTGCCTCATTCTGTGAAGTCAGCCAAATAAGTTGCGCTTCTTCTCAAGCCCAGCTCTCAGAAACATGTGCAAAGTGCCTTTTAGAAATGAGATCTTAAAAAAACAAAATCCAAGTTTTTACAAAACCTGGTGGGGTTTCCCCAAAGAAGGAGATGGGGCTTTTGAGACTGGCCAGAGCAGCCCTTCGCCCTTCGAAACAACAGCCTGTCATCCAACCGGTAGGCTTCATTTGCAAGCTGCTCTACCAGTTGGATATCAATCAAATCTTTTTTTTTTTTTTTTTTTTACTTTTTCGCTTCAGGGATCCCCGAAACGGCACTCACCGATATGCAGACCTATATGGACATGCTAAATCCAGAGCTGGCCCCGGGTCCCGCAAAGACGGGGGGGCAAACCTCTCTACCCCCACCTCCAAATTTCCCGGCCCCTTCTCCCCCCTCCCACCCCAAGACTCTCCCCCCACCCCCTGGCTACCCGGCCCCAAACCCCCCCGAAAGGCCTCACACCGCCGAGATTTACGTACAAGCGAAAAATAACCTTCGGCACGTGGACAGTGAAACCCTCAAAGAACAGGTAAGAAATTTACGGGGAGGCTGGGAGGGGCTTAGATGCTCCAGGGGCATTCTGGGACTTGAGGTTCCCCCCTGTTTTTTTTCAAGTGGCCATGTTTGAGAAAGATTGCTCCAAAATGATTTGCATGTCGTTGGGGGTTGTCCAACCGAGTTGCATGAAAGTGAACAGACTGGACAGCCATTTGTCTGGAATGATATATATAGGATCTCCTGCTTGAGCAGAGGGTTGGACTAGATGACCGCCGAGGTACCTTCCAACTCTGTGATTCTGTCAAACTAGGAAAATTCCTCTGTTTGTTTGTTTTTTAAAAGAAATCAGCCCTGCGTCTCTCTGTCTGTCCAGCCCTGTTGGCAACTTTGCCAAGCTTCATACTTTACGCCGGGCTTAAAGAAGCCGCTGCGGACTTTGCCTTTCGATTTTCTCACGCAAGGCTGTCTCCGTGCCTGGCGCCGGAGTTGTGAAGCTGGACTTTGCTTGGGCGTGTAAGCCAGACTCGTCCAGGCTCTGGACCTAGATTTCTTATGGGCAAATAGGGGAGGGGTGTGTGTGTGTCCAAAATTCCCCTCTTGCAAACAAATCCTTTGGGATTTTTCCCACGGTTTGATGAAGACAAACAGGCAGACAGAGAGACAGGCGCACGCGAGGCATCCCGGGGGGCTGCCATCAGTCCTTCCGTCCCGGTGATGTCACAATGGGGGGGGGGAAATGGAGGGTGTTGCTAATGGACTCGAAGGTCCCAGTAACCGGAGACGCCAGCTCACCTATCTCAGGTGTGCAATAGACAGGAGTCAGATGTCTTGCGGCTTTCAAGGCAGCTGAAAAAGCAACCAGCCGGGCACGTAGCTCAGTTGCCCAGGTAGGAGAACCTGCAACAGCAGAATTATTATTATTATTATTATTAAGAAGAAAAATAGGAGGGAGATGGGAATGAGGGGGGAGGGAGGAAGGGGTAAGGAAGGAAGGAGAAAAAGAAAGAAAGAAAGAAAGAAAGAAAGAAAGAGAAAGAGAAAGAAAGAAAAAGAAAAAGAAAGAAAGAAAAAGAAAGAGAAAGAAAGAAAGAAAGAAAGAAAGAAAGAAAGAAAGAAAGAACTGTCAAATGCCTAAATTGCAGTCACATGACTGCAGTTGAGGAAGGGGGCAGCCATCAGAATTTTGAATCCACGTTGTAAGTTCCCTCCAGGTAGGTCATAATTCGTTCCATGGCAGTCAGTAAAATGGGTCCAAAAGAAAATGTCGTTTCATGCAAATCTTGGCAACCGGCCATGGTTGGGTTCCCTCTCGGCATCCAGGATCCAATTTAACACCCTGATCCTTCCAGCTCACCTGCCAGCAGCAGCTGCAACGGACCGACTCCAGCAGGCGATCCAGAAGATTCAGCAAGCAGCCGAGCACGGGGGATTACTACAAGCGTCTGGAGAGCGGAGGAGGCACAGAGCAAAGCAGGAGAACATCCAGGATGGCCCACAGCGAGGAGGTGAGAATGCAGGGATCCGTTTTGAGCGCTGCATGGAAAGATGGGGCTAAGGGTGGGCAGACAGGAGGAAGAGACACAGACTAGACCAGAGTCAGATAAGAGGCAGAGGAGCGCCCAGGAGGAAAAGGGGGGTGGGAAGCATCTCAGGAGGGACCCTCCCTAGTTTGCTGGGGTGTAAAGAGGAGGGGGCAGAAATACTGTAATGGCCTGTAGGAATGGCCTTGGGAGACAGGAGGAAGAGACACAGAGAAGACCACGGTCTGATAAGAGGCAGCTGAACCACCCAGGAGTAAAAGGGGGGTGGGAAGCATCCCAGCAGGGACCCTCCCTAGTTTCCTGGGCTGTAAAGAGGGGAGGGGAGAGAGAGGGACTTTTCAGACTTCTTTCAGTCCAACCTCACCATAAAATTAGAATTAGTACTTCCGAGCCTGCTTCTGCTCAGGACTACCTTGCAAGGCTGATAGCGGGATATAATTTAAAACAAAACAAAAAGCAGACGGCTTGAAATCCCAGCTTTGGGAAAGGGCCGGGCTTTTGCCCAGGACTGAGATGGGACTTAGAGTTGCAGGCACTTGGGGTGGGGGGGTGTCTTTTTTTGATCTTTTCTATTCATTGCCCCCTTACCCTCCCAAGGCTTCGCTTCTCTCCAGCGAGAAAGTGCAAAACGGAAGCGGGGCGGAGAAGACCCCAAGCGGAGGGGCCCCTCCCCCACCTCCCCCACTGCCTGAGGGGGGCTGCTCCCCGCCTCCCCCTCCTCCCCTGCCTGCGGAGTACACCCCCCCCTCAACCGGCCAGCGAATGTCCTCCTCTTCCACTGGAAGTAAGTCTTTTCCCCTTCGGACCCTCACTCCAAATTTGCCTTCCCGTCACGCTGTCTTAGAGGCGGTCCTGGGTGCAAATTCGGCCATGAAAAATACAGGTAGTCTTTCGACTCACAGCTATTGGGAAAAAAAAGTGACTATGGCAGCAGCACCTCTGGGTCAAATTCTGCCCAGTGCCCAGCCTCTTTCTGCAGGTCAGGTAGACTGCTCCTAAGAATGAGGCTCGATTTTGTGTGCTGATTTTGGGCCGGCCATAGGTTTGGTTTTTCTGTCATTTTGTTTTTTCGGGGCGGCTGGTTTCCAGGAACGGAGAGATGAGAAAATGTCTGTGGTTTTTTTAGACTAGTTGAGTCATCTTTCTGGGTTTTTTTTTCTCTTTCTCTCTTTCTCTGTCTCTCTCCTTTTTTTTTGGCCAAACTGTCTTGATATGCAAAAATCAGAGAGATTGATGATGAAGGAAATTATAAGTTTCATTTTCAAAAAAACCCCAGCCTGTTGGCCAAACCAGAAAAATTACATTTATTTGAGATCCCTGGTCAAAACGTCACATGAAAAATTGTTTTTCTTTCTTTTTCTTTCTTTCTTTTTTTCAAATTTCTTCTTTTTCTTTCTTTCTTTCTTTCTTTCTTTCTTTCTTCTTTCTTTCAAAATCACTCAGCTGGCTTTCATGTCTAAGGCAGAACTAGAACTCGCCGTCTCCTGGTGTGTAAGGAAAGTGCTATTTTGCAGAATGGAAATTGCCTTGAAGTTTGCATTCCCTGCGGCTGATTTTTCCACATTCACTGCCCATCCTGAATCAGCCCCATGCAGACCACGGTTTCTGATTTGCATGTATGCAGATCCCAGGTTTAAAATTTGCCTTGTTCCGCAGCCGGACCGCTCAGACCTTCCTTACTTTTACATTCCGGGTTATTGTTTTAGGAAAACACGTCTTTGGGGCTGCTGAAAAAGCAGATTTTGAAAATGTTGTCAAGGGGACATAGAGACAGTCCTCAAATTATAACCGTTTGTTTAGTAACTGTTTGACGTTACGACGGTCTTGAAGAGAGTGACTGTTTTTTCCACCCACAGGCACCAAATCTTTTAACATGATGTCCCCAACGGGCGATAATTTGGAGCTGCTGGCTGAAATCAAGGCTGGGAAGAGTCTGAAGCCCACCCCCCAAAGCAAGGGGTTCACCACCGTCTTCTCTGGCTGTGGCCAAGCTGGAGGCAGCGTAAGTCAGGCCCGGGAAACGGGTCCCTCTCCATCCAGTCTATTTTTATTTTTCTTCCTTGAGTCTGGAGTGCAAGTAGTCCTCGCCTTACGATGGATTATTTAGTGACCGTTCAAAGTTACACCAGCGCTAAAAAAAGAGACTTATGACTGCAGTTGAGGAAGGGGGCAACCATCAGAATTTCGAATCCATAAGTTCCCCCTCGGTGGGTCCATCCTAATTTCAGTCACTAAGCAAGTCATTGTAAGTCAAGGACTTGTCAAGATAAAAACTAAAAAGCTCCGTCTTTTGGAGACATCTCCCACCCTCATCTCTTTTGTTTTCAAAAGGTGGACTTCCCTACGACTTCCTCATCCCCTGCGGGGACGCCAACACCCCCGTCTACTCCCGAGGAAGCCTCCGGATCCAGAGCTTCCGGCTCACCCAAGCCGGAGATCAATGGTTCCATGACACTCTTCGGGACCTCAACCGGCCACACGGACCTGGAGGGTCTGATCCCCACGCATGACGAGCAGGGGAGACCCATCCCAGAGTGGAAACGACAGGTGATGTTGCGCAAGCTGCAGATGAAGGTTCAGGAAGAAGAAGAGCAGAGACGCAAGGTAAATGCCCGGACACGGGGCGGTCGGTCAGCATGGTGTGGTGGTATGCCGTGAGCTCGCATCTGATTCATTCTGTGTGGTGTGAGGGGAACCTCAGTCTGGACCCCCAAGAAAAACATAAACCTTGATCTCATCTTAAAAGGCAAGCAGATTGTCCAGCAGGAGCACATGGAGTCAAGATCCTCTAGTGCACAGTTGTCTCTGGTTCTGTGGAGTCCTTGGTGCTCTCTGAGCTTGGTGGTTTTCTTGCAGATGTTTTGTGACCTAACTAGTGCTAGAAGGGAGTCGGGGGTGTGGAGAGAAGGAGAAGGAGAAAGACTGTGGGGTCCTTGGTGTTTTCTGAGCTTGGTGGTTTTACTGCAGATGTTTCATGACCCAACTAGGTAACATCATCAGTGCTAGAAGAGAGTGTGGCCTTCCAGCATGCCCTCTGCATGGCTGTGTGAATTGACCTGGTGTGTGACCAACTCTGAAACTCATTTAACCTGCATTATGGGCCGAGTGAGGGAGCAGCTCTCTGCACAACGCTTGTTGTGGCGAAAATGTCCGCCACGGAACCCCAACGATTCAAAAAACTTTCCTACCAGATTACCGATTTGACCTGTGCATCTAAAACAATAAAAAGCTCCTTTTGACACCTTTGCTGCCGGATACTGCAGGAATTAAATGCCTTACATGACCGCTTCATGGTGTAACGTGTGAATGCTTCTCGCGGCACCTGCCATTAGGCCATTAATGACGTGGTGTCCTTGCACAATTCTCTTGCACGCCTCTCGCATGGGCAGAAAAGTATCGGTCTTTCTCTCCCAATACAGCCTTCCCGTTTTCCACCCACCTTCTCCTGGCAGGCTTGTCTTATTACACGGAGGTTTTAGCCAACCCCTCCGTTCTCATTACACCACGAAGTGACATATAAGGTGAAGGGTGTGCAGAACGCGGATGACGATGTAGTGGCCCGTCCTGAGGGACCTCCTTGCCCTCTGGGTTGTGTTTTCTTTTTGTCTTGCATAGCTACGATCTGGGAATTGCTACCCCCAGGAAGGCTGGCGGTACTCCCATGCCCACAATGCCATTTTGGGACCTTTCGGGGAACTGATGACCGAAGATGACATCCTTTGTATCGAGAAGCAGATCCAGAACCTTCAAGTCGTGCACAAGGTGCAAAAAGTCGAGACCGAACTGGAACAGCTGGAACAGGAACTGCAGCAGCTGTTGCCCGTCTCGGCTGCCTTGGCGAAGGAACACTTCACCGTCAACCCCAAGTGCATGCACGGCCAGGCGGAGGACCTCCCTGGTTGGTGCAACAAGATCTCCATTCTCCTGAAAAGCATGTCCATCCTACTGGCCACGCTGGGTGGCAAAGCCACCAGTCTGGCTGAAATGGTAACCTCCGAAGCATTGGCGCAGAAGGGCAAGGAGGGCCAGGTGCTCCCTTCAGCAGCACCCGTGTTCAAAGATGGCCCAAGCCACGTAGCCCGTTCTCAGTCCTTCAGCTGCACCAGGGAGGAGGTGGAGAAGGAGATCATGCAGTGGGGGGTGTCGGTGAAGAATCTGAAGGCCAACTATGAGGTCCACCTGCAGGCGCAGCTGATCAGCGAAGCGACCAACCGGGTGTATAGAAGGAAGCGTTCCCTGCCAGTGGGAACAACCCAGTTCACTCTTGGCCGCGAGCCCATTTTGGAAGAAGACTACATCGTGGACCTTCAGCCGTTCACTCTCCTAGAAGACGAGGAGGCCTCTGTCGATGGTCTGGAACCCCCTATTCAGCTGTCGCATGCACCTCTCCTGTATGAGAAGGGACCCAGCCCGTTCTCCACAGGGGACTCTTTCGCAGACACCATGTTCAGCCCAGACCACATGACGAGGAGCCTCCCGGTGCAGACGGAGCTGAGTTGCATCCAAGACTACATCGACCTGAGAAAGGAGCGGATTGTCTACCTTTTCCTGGAGCACTGGAAGAGGTGGACCTTCACCGATTCAGGCAGGCAGGTTCAGCCAAGGAGAAGGGTGGAAATGTCAGGTCCCAACTTGGAGGAAGACCACCAAGTATACAACAGGCCTGTGTTGACGGTCACAGGGCCAAAACCCAGCGAGGACCACCAGCTCTTGTACTTCATGAAGCAGCGTCAAGTGGTGGGCAAACTGCTCACCCACTGGAGAAGCATCATCAGCCAGGTTCCCACCAGACAAATACGCCGCCTGAGCCATATTAACATTTTCTACTGGCCCGAACATTTTTTGCCACACGTCGATGGCTCACCGGTGGACTACAATAGCCTCACCTTGGACCTCTTCATGCTGGGTTACTTCCAGCTGCTGGAGATGGACATGAGCCACGAGGAGCGCAAGTTTCGCCATCTGCTCTGCTACGAGATGTTTGACCATCTGGGCAGCCACAGCTGGGACCTCATCCGCCACTTTCACCAAGTGGTGATGGAGGAAGTGGAGACCGGGAAGCGGGATTGGCTGGATGGCTTTGAGGACCTCAAGCAGAGGTTCTTCAGAGATAATCTGGTGGTGGACCATGGGACCACACCCAGTGTGGATGGCCCGGCCGAAACTCTACATTCTCCCCCTATTCTCTCCCACCAGGAATCCTCTCAGTCTTTGATCAGTAGCAGCCAAGAGCCCATATCCGTTGAAGACGAGCTAGCTGTTGTCCCAGCTCTAAAGAGTCGGAAGAACTCGATCCAGCTCGTTTCAGAACTCGGAGAATTTAGCAACGATGACATTTGCCGCTATATAGACCGCAGCTTCTCATTTTGGAAAGAGAAGGAGGCTGAGATGTTTGACATCTGAGGGTCCAGCTTCCTGGGTGGTTGGAGAAGATCTTTGCAGAAGATAGCTTCTCAAACACGGATCTGTTCAATATAGAACCGATCTTTCACCAATCCAGAAGGTGACATTGATTACACTCTCAAGTAACATGGATAAGATGGTGAGGTGCTCCTAGCTGGGACTCTTGATGGACCAAATGAATGGATCACAGTTGAGTTCCTTCAAGAGCTGCTGCCCCTGATTCTGAGGTCAACAAGGAACACTGCTACAGTTCCGAGGTTCAGACAGAGTTACAGCTCTGTCTGAACACCCTATTCACCTTTGTGATGTGCTCCTTGCTTACAAAGTGTCCACGACAGCTACACATCCAGGTGGAACTCGTGGGGGACCTCTGTGCAAGTGGGGAAAAAAACTAATCCACTTTGCTACCCAACTTTTGAGTAGAAGAAAAAACAAATAGAAGTTGTACTGTACAAGGACACATAGTCATTTATAGGGTGTATGATTTGGGGAATCAAGAAAGTTTGATGCACATAAAGGCACAGCCAGATGGGAAGGGGGTTTAGGAGCAGACCAAATCCCATATCTGCCTTATTTTTTTTTAAAAAAAATCCATTTATGCCAGATGTGCAACACACTCAGTCCACAACAAAGGAGTGCCCATCATAGCTTAGCATGTTGTGCAGATTCAAGACATTGTAATTAATTTATACTCCTTACAGTGTATATAGACAAATGTCCACAGGGTAGGAAAGTAAAACCTTGTGCATTGTGACACCAAATGACATCGGTGCCTCATCCGTGTTGTTTGCATGACGAAGTGCTACATGCAATGTCATTCAGTTGTCAACGTAGTATCTACCAAGTGATTTTGCATCGAATAGAGCGGACTTAAGAGTTGATGGTCTGCAAATATAATTAATTTCAGAAATACTGATTATATTTCCCAGAATTAATTCATCAGTTCTCCCCCCTACCCCCCAGAGAAGGGTGATAGGATTCTAAAACAATTTACTTTGGGACAATTTGAATGCAAAAAGACAAATTAACAACTTTTTGTCCTTGAGTGTGATTAGTTGGTGTGATCTATCCTGGCAGAGATGTGATGGTTTCTTTTTTGTGTGTTGTGATGCTAATTATTTTGTTCTTGTTCTCATCACTTACTGCTAAACGTAGGGGCAACCACCTCAATTAGATTGGAGAGCTTGCTTCATTTTGATCGAAAGTTGCTTGTTTCCCCCACCCCCCAGGTTTGTCAGAAGAAATAAAATCTGTTGTGTATAAAGAATTGGGCATCTTTTGTCATTGCAGAGAGAGAGAGACATACAGAGAACTAAAATGAGTCAGGATGTTCTCATTTCTACTCTCTGGGTTTGTTTAGACTTTAAAAAACTTTATCCTAGCCTCCGTTCAACAATTGAAGAGCCAGACACTGTATAAAAAAAGAATCCAAATAACTAAATGACAGTGACTTTCAAAAAAGGCTGAAACAATACCAGCGAATTTTAGTGGCACCGTTTCCCAACATTTTAAAGATCTTTTTATTTAAGGATAGAAAGTGAATGAATTAAAAAAAAACATACCTTATGGCATGTGTCTAACCTTGAACCTCGGTGAAATTGTTAGCTTTATGTCCAGTGGGAATTTTAATTTAATTTACGATTGAATTGGATCGTTGCCCAACAAAAACAAGCTACCCAACATTTGAAGTTTTGTTTTGTTTTTTTAACTGAAAGAAGTCCAACTTGCTTTAAAACAGTGTTTTACAACGTTGGCGATTTTAAGAAGTCTGGATATTTATCCAGCTATGGATAAATACGACTTTAGGACCTTCTGTGTGGCTTCTTTTAACAGAAGCACACAAAAAAACATGGTTATATGTTTTGATGTATTGCTGAAAATGTTTGACCAGAGACTTGCAGGAAATTAGCTCTTGAATTTCTCTGGTGCAATAGTTTGGTATTTGCTAATTCAGCACGATTTTATACAGCATTACTACCACAAATATGGAGAATTTTCCATCCTACTGTAATGGCGTTCAATATTTCCTTTTGACATTTCCGCCGCCGCCCTTTGATCTAAAGTAAATTGCAGGTTTACAATCAGGAAGCGTAGCACAAAAGGAAAAATGGATGAGGAGGGAAGAGGAAAGGGCAGCCAGTTCTAGACGCCAGATCCTCATGCTTCAATAAACAGACCTTGTTGGTGCTGAACAATGGAGTAGTTCAGGGAGAGAAAGAGCTGTGTGCGGATAACGTGCTTCCGTTAAGTAATCTTACAGTAAGATAGAGCTTCTAGTCCTGGGTTTGCTTCCTATCTGGACTACCTCACAAGGCTGACCTCGGTCTGCAAGTACGTGTCTCCAAGGGACGGTCCCATCTGAGATGCTTCCCAGGCCCCTTTTCCTTCTGTGGGCTTGGCTGCCTCTTATCTGATTATTGTCTAGTCTGTGTCTCTTCCTCCTGTCTCCCAAGGCCATTTCCATCCTCCCTCTTTCCTCAACACCTTCCTACTTGGCAGGTGTTGATTCTTCTTCCTTTCTTCGCCTTTTCTTACAGGAAAGGGAAGAAGAGGCCCGCCTGGCTGGCATGCCAGCTTGGAGAAGGGACATATTCCGGAAAAAGATGGAAGAGGAAAGGTAAGGATCAACAGAAGGGAAGATTTATTGCTCAGGGTGGAACTGGGGGCTGCCTGGTGTTCTCTGAGCTTGGTGGTTTTCTGGCAGACGTTTCATGACCCAGCTAGGTTACATCATCAGTGCTTGAAGGGGTTTATATATGTTTATAGAGTGGAGAAGAAAGAGAATGGGAGGAGGAGGAGGTGGTGGTGGTCCTTGGTGCTCTCTGAGCTTGGTGGATTTCTTGCAGACATTTCATGACCCAATTAAGTAACATCATCAGTATTTGGTGTTCCTTCCTAAACTGGTGATAGAAAAACGAGAGGTCTGTGATTGTGGATCCCACATTTTGCGATAGCATCAAACCTATCAGTGTGCCCTGCAGGGTGTGAAACTGCAACACACTTCTACTTCTTAAGGCTAACTTGTCAGTTGTGGTTTCTTTTCTTTCTTTCTTTTTCTTTCCTTTCGCTTTCTTTCTTTCTTTCTTTCGCAGGTTGCAAAAACGGTGAGTCTTGATGGCGCAGTTAAATTATTTTCATTTGTACCCTGGCTTTCTCTGCACACGCTGTCTGAGTCCCTGGACCCATCAGGCACAGCAATGGGCTGGATCCACCTGAAGGGATGATCAAGGGTTGCAAAAAGTCTCTGATTTGGAGAATGTGGCTGACCGTCACAGGAGGGGAAGAAGATATATGAGGCCAGAGTCACCTTGGAGATGAGTGCCATAAAAATTTAATTACGTATTATATTTATAGATATATTTATATAGAAAGAGATAGTCCTTGAATTACAACCAAATCAGAAAAATTCTGCTGAACTTTGCCCCATTTTACCCCCTTTCTTCCACCGTTGCTAAATGAATCATTACAGTTTTAGTTACACGGTTGTTAAGTGAAACCGGCTTCCCCACTGACTTTGTCAGATGGTCACAAAAGAGGACCCGGGACCGTCGTAAATATGAGCCAGTTGCCCAGCGTCTGAATTTTGATCACGTGACTGCGGGAATGCTGCGACGGTCATAAGGGTGAAAAACAATCCCAAGTCCCTTTTTTTCCAGTGCTGTTGTATCTCTGAATGATCACGAAACCAGCTGTTGTAAGTCAAGGACTGTCTGCCTATAAATACGTAATTCTAAATAAAAATAAAACCACGGGGTTGGGGGCCCGCTGGGCGTGTGGCCAGCCTTTCCAGCCTCTCCTTTCTTTTCCGACAGACGAGAGGAAGAAAAACTGCGGCGGATCGAGGAGGAGAAGGAGAAGGAACAAGCGGAAAAACTCAAGACTCTCGGCTTCGACGAGAACAAACTGACGCCGTGGCAAAGGCAGCTGATCCTCAAAAAAGGAGACGTGGCGAAGTATTAACGGTTCTCCCCGCTTTTGAGGACACCTGTTTTGAACCCAGAGCCTGGGGGGTGCGGGAGAAGCAGAGATTCGTGGCTTCTGTTTTGCAGTCTCCAGATCTTTTGCGCTTGCTACCCAGATCTGCCCAGGATCTCTCCGTCTCGAGCACTCGTTTTGTTAAATGTCCATTCGTTCCACTCCAAGTCCTTTCGGGATCTGTCCCTCTCGTTTGCTCATTTTGTTAAAGGTCCATTCGTTCAGCCCAAACCCAGATCCTGGGCAAATAAAACCATTTTGCAACTCCTGACAAGAAATGCTTTGCAAACGGATTGGGCACAGCAAGATTGCACCCCCAAAACAGGGCAACCCTAAAGGAAAGAACTTTGCTAGTGGGGAAAACAATGATTTGTGCCCCCCAACTAGGCAAGGAAAGTGGGGCGCTCTTACTGAAGCACGTTAGTGTCACAGTAAGAAAAACTGCTTTCCAGAATATCGTTGCCTTGTTCCCCATGAAGAACAGATTAAAAGTTTATTTAAAAGTGACATACAATGTCTACTACCTGTTGCGGTGTCTGAACCCTTCAGAGCGAGCGAATCTCATAACCTCGTAACCTGTGAGGTAGGCATGCTTGCTTTTTGAATGTGAGCCACTGGGGTTGTGGTGGGGAGATCAGTGACTACAGATTCACATTAGAATGTTTTCAAATTGAGGACTTCTTGCATTCTGGCGTTCCAAACAGAAATACCGTAATAAAATTCAAGTAATACCTCGAGTTGGGTAGCGTTATATCGGACCGATCTGTCCAAAAAGCAATGTTGATCCTACTGTTAGACAAAACAGGATTATTGGCTTTGTCGAAAAGGTAGCGAGTTGTCCGGTGTTAGGCAAAATGATTTTGATGGCTCTGCCAAGATACGTCACGAGTCGCCCGCTGTGTGCTCATGCTTTGCCTCCACAAAATCCATGGGGTATCTTTTGCACAGAAGACGAACTAGCAAGTTACCAACGAGGTTGACGGTTATGTACAAGATGAATGGGCTGTGAACGAGGCGGAGAGCTCAAGCAACTGGGTACTGTCCATTGGAGTTCAGACCTGAGCATTTCCAGGCTGGAATCATACGTCAGCAACAATGTAACACTATGCTTGTGGGTCTAGGACACCTCACTACGGCCAACTCACCGTAGGAGAAATTCTACGCACTCAATGCGATAAATGTTATCCGCCACTGTTTCTGCAATGTAATTTCCATTTTGCCTAGTTCCACAAAAATAATGTTGAAGAAACAGTGGCGGGTAACATTTATTGTGTTGAGTTACTCTGCGTAGAATTGTCCGCGGTGAGTTCTGTGCCAAATGGACCTCAGCAAGCTATTCCACGGCGAGTTAGCCATGGCATGAAGACTGTAGCGCGTTGGCTACACCGAGATGGTTGTGGTCGTGCGAGTCTTCCCATTCTGCCACTCGTACACCGACTCAACCAAGACGTTACCTGCCCGTACAAGGACAGTCCCCATCACCGTCAGCTTTATGGGTTGCCCCACAAATGCTCCCTCTGCAGCTTCTCCCTCAGTTCCTGGGCACAGCCGCCCAACTGCATGGCCTCCAGGGTGTCCAAAATAGCCTCCAATGAGGGCCCCCGCTGCTGACACCAGCGTTTTAACATCTCGTACTGCTGCTCGCGGAACTGAGAGTGCTCCAGTTCCACCAGCTCAATTTCACTGTCCTGCAGGCCCAAGCCCCTCACAAACTCCTTCCACCGGCGGACGGGCACGGCGTTGATCACGGTGTACAGCTTCCGGCCTTGTTGCAGCGAGCGGGAAGGTGGAGGGGCTTTGTCCACCAGCATGACTGTCTCAGGAAGGGAGGCAACCGGAGAGCCTGGAAAACAGCGAGGAATCAATACCACCGGCTTACGGAACGGGGCACCCCACTTTAACATCTCCTACCTGTACCTAATAAACAACAGCATGACAATAATTTTTTGTTACCAAAATAGGGGCTGCTAATGTAGATATTCGGAGCAGGGACAGGCTTTTCCTGATGAGAAGTCATTTTTCTTTTCTTAAAATAGAGAATCAGGGCCCCCACCAGAAGGAAAATGCACCCACAGGCACCTACAGCTGAGACAAAAAAAAAAAAAAAAAAAAAAGGAAAATCAAGCAAAAATCAAAACCCCTTTGTCACATTTTCCAGGAGCTGTATGCTGAATTTGCTTTCCTGCGTAAAGGGAGAAAAGTTAAATATCAGTTTGATTATGCAAACTTCATGGATTTTGTCTTACAAGCCCTTAGAGCAAGCCTCACTTCCTCTATAAAATTAAAATAAAACCAAAATGCAGTGCAATGCAGTACAGTGCAATTAAAATCTAAAATAAAATTTAAAATAAAATTGAGACTAAAAATCCAAAGTAAGATCCGAAATAAAATAAAAAACTAAAGTGAAATAAAACAAAATCTAACCTAAAATAGAATCTAAAATGAAAATAAGTATCTAAAATAGAGCAAAAGTCTAAAATAAAAATCCAAAGTAAAATAAAATCAAGTAAAAATCTGAAATAAAATAAATGTCTAAAATTAGATGAAATAAAAATCTAAACTGAAATAAAATATCTAAAATAAAATATGTAAAATAAAGTAAAAATCTAAAATGAAATAAAATAAAAATCTGAACTAAAATAAAACAAAATCTAAATCTAAACTAAAACTAAAATCTAAACTAAACTAAAAACCTAAACTAAAATATAGTAAAAATCTAAATTAACATTTGGGAGTGTTTTTCGGCTTCGCAGTCTTACCTTCTTCTCTGGGATCTCCCAGTGGTGTCCCATCCCAACCCTATCTGTTTAGCCACCCCCAAGGCCGTAATCTCAGCTCGCTTCCCATCTCCATCCACCGTTTCTTGGCAATTCGGCATGCCATAAATAGGAAAACAAAATAATCACTGTACCGATTTTACATGCCACGTTGCACTGCTCATCTTTGGCAATCCTGCTAGGAGAGAAAATGTACATTTAGAAAATGCCCTGTAGCTTTTCAACAGGATAAAGGGGAGGGGGCTGAGGGCAGATTGGGGGAGATTGTGGGGTCTGTCCATTTACCTGGGAGTCGAGCCGATCCTACCAGGAGCCATCGTGGAGGCAAACACTGCTTTTTCTCTAAATAAAATAAATAACTATTAATAAACAAATAGATTGTTCATCAATAAATAAATACATTATTCTGAGCTTGGCGCGCCTCACTTTCTCCCCCGCCCTACCGCACCCCAAATTGGCCAAGGCAGCGGTTTCCGTTGCACACGGCACGCAGGTCTTTTTATCCTCGCAGAAGCCAGGAAGGCAGAATTTGCACTCGGCGTCCTCGTCTTGGCGGCCTTAAAGAGAAAAGGTTCTGCTTAGGAAAGCATTCAGCCTGATTTCTAGTCTTTTTCCAAGCCGCCCTCCACCCCAGGAATAATCGCTGAGCTTTCCAGGCTCCCGCCGAGCACCGTTCTGTGCTCAGGTAGGCTGCTCTTGTCCAGAGAGGCTCAGGGAAAAAGAGAGAGAGAGGGAGAGAGAGAGAGCAACAGGAGAAGAAAGTTCCAGAACTGAATTTCCCAGCAGACCATAGCCAACATCATCAAAATGCCTGATTTTACAGGTTGTCCTCGACTTACACCCGAAGCAGCGCATTAGAATTTTTTAAAAAAATTAACACCGTCCGGATTGACTTACAGGCCTGCGCCGTCTTCTTGTGCAGAGATGCGCAGTTTGTACATTTCCTGCAGTTTAAGATGTGGTGAACACCCTCGTCATTGAAATAGCCCGCCGCGCAACTACACACCGTGTCCTGGTTGTCTCGGCATTCCTGCGCCACAATTGTATTGTCGTCTGCAAGACAAAGCGTTTCCGATGGGCAAAACATTTACCCCTCCTAATAACCGCAGAGAGTGGGCGGCATTGTTTTGGGGGGGAAGGGAGGGGGGCTTTGGAGCAAGTTTCCCAGAATCCCCCTCCGCCTTGTATTGGGTTGGGTTCACGCACGCAGGCCTGTGCAACATTTTGATGCGCCTCGGATGGGTGCAAAAGTCCGAGTGTCAAATCGGCTGTTCTCTCCCTCCTGCCAATCATCTCTCCCCACCCCCCCAGCTCTTATCTCTGTTCTCACCTGTGCAACGTTTGCACTTTGAACACTTGTCCATGCGGCGGTGCGTGCCTTTCGGACAGGTGTCTGACGACCTCAAGGAGAGCCCTGCAAGGATGAAAGGTAACAAGAAGCGAGCATGAAATAGGCTCTTTTTTTTTTTTTGAACAATTGCAGTATGAGTAATGGGTACATTAAAAAGCCTGACATTTGCCCTGTCCATCCCCTTCCTTGCTTGCTTGCTTGCTTGCTTGCTTGCTTCCTTCCTTCCTTCCTTCCTTCTTTCCTTCCTTCCTTCCTTCCTTCCATCCATCCCTTCTTTCCTCTTTCTTTCATTCTTACAAATAACTCAAGTTAGTGAACCTATCTGATGTACCTTTCTTTTCCTATTTTCTCCATAACAACAACCCTGCAGGGGAAGAGAGGAACTGGCCCAAATTCACCCAGCCAGCTGTCATGCCTGAGGCGGAACTAGAATTCACCGGCTCCTGGTGATTGCCCCAAAGTCACCCAGCCAGCTTTCATAGATAAGGAAGGACTGGAACTCAGAGTCTCCCACACATACCTGACAGTCATTTTCATGGACTCTTGTTCAAACAGAACTGAGAGATCATCTAGTCCAACCCTGTTTTTTTTTTTTTAATGAGAACAAAAAATCCCATGACTTACCAGGGTTGCTCTGATTTTCTGGTCCGACCGATCTCGGGCTTTTTTTCCTCTTGAAAGCCGTTCCTTCCACTTCTCGGAATATCTTCCTGGCTTCCTTATCCTTCATTCCACCCAGGACTTGCGATCCAGCAGAGAAGATCAACAAAGTCACCAGAAAGATCTAAAAGGAAAGCAGAGGAGATGAGGAAGGTTGGATTAGATGACCTTTAGGGTTCCTTCAAACCCTCGGATTCCAGGAGATGGGAAAAGTACAGAGACAGACTGTAATTTCTGGCCAAAAAGGAGCCGATTTGAGGCTGTCTAGACCAACTTGCTAAACCTAAGATGAGAGGACTTCAACTCCAGAGTTCCCCTCTCAGCTGACTGGGGAATTCTGGGAAACTCCCCAGAATTCACACAACTTGGAGTTGCCACTGGAAGTTTTTAAGAAGAGACTGGACTTGCCTCCTTATCCATGGGTCTCCCCAAAATTGTGCACCTTCACGCTGCTTCTTCCTTCCCAAATGTCTTTTACTAAGACGCTCCTGGAGAAGAAAAACCAAAATGAAACAAACAAGGACCCTGACACACTCGACTTATAATGGTTCATTTAGCGACCGTCCTAAGTCACAACGGTACTGACAAAAGTGACTGAGGACGATTTTTTTCACGTTTACGACTGTCGCAGCATCCCCGCGGTCAGGTGGACAAAATTCAGAGGTTTGGAAACTGACTTGTACTTAGGACAGTTGCCGTGTCCCGGGGTCACGTGATCCCCTTGTGCAACCTTCTGACACGCTGCTAACTTAACAACTGCAGTGATTCACTTAATAACCGTGGCAAGCAAGGTCCTTGGAAGGCGCTGACTCCACTTCTGAGAATCTTCACCAGATCTGTTTGTATATTTTAATTTTTAAGGATTTCTGCTGAAGTGGCAAAACTATTCTGACTTTCTTTCATCTGCTTAGTTCGGTGAAGGCAGGGAAATTCCTTGAAATTACAAAACAAAATTATCTATCTATCTATCTATCTATCTATCTATCTATCTATCTATCTATCTATCTATCTATCTATCTATCTATCTATCTATCTAATTCAATGGCTTGTATAAAATTCTGAGGCTGGAAACTATTATTTTTTTTTTAAATTCTCAGAATCCACCCCTCATCTCTAATTCCAGAGGGAAATTCTGAATTTTCTGCCCAAACTGCCACCTGTTATTTTTTTCGTCATAACCGCTAACCCTGAAAAATAAGGGCAATTTTCTTTTCTTTATCATTTCAATAAATACCACGGAGATGAAGATAAATAGATGTTGCTGTCCTGAGCGGTTGTGGGAACTCAACTTTTCCTGGCACTGGCTTCAGCGTCGGAAATTCTCCATCATGGTTTATTGCTATCATGGCTCGATTCCACCACTGGATCAAGCTAACCATAGTTAAGAAGCCAAAGCACACCGTTACGATTCAAACCTAGGTTTATTTTTAGACCATCATTGATTTTATTCTTTTAGTCATTGATTAAATTTGCCTGCAGGCTCTCTCGCCACGAAACAAATTGCCCTGTTCAATGTTTCCTTTTGGTTTTATACTGGTTTAACTTTTGCCCTTGGTTCATATCCGCTTTTCTTCTAGCCACACTTTAACACCTGTCGGAATGAACTTTGTCTGTATTTTTAAAGACGTGGTAAGATGAAAACCAAACACACAATACAAAACGACAAGCTCTCTCCAGGAAAATTTGGAGTGGCTTCTTAGTAAAGTTGAAACTTTACATTGGAGTCGCTCAGAAAGAGGCTATTAACAGTGAATATCTAGATTGGCTGTTTTTGTTTTTCCTCTTCCCTCCCCGTCAGCTTTCCTTTAGTGCCAGGCCTTTGGGAGTACCAACCTGATTTTCTAGAATTATACGGAGAAGTCAGAGAAGGATGCAGTTTTTAAAGACACAAAGGGGGCCTCCTGTGTGACAATGCTGCCCCCACCCCTCATTTTTTTTCCCATTTCTGCCCCACCCATCGTTTTGAGCAACACGTGCTGGAGATACTCAACACTACATGGGTATCAAAGCTCACATCCTATTTCCAAAATAGATTATCTCATAGCATGGGCCCTCCCCTAGGCGATCCTTATCGGTGTACAGTCAGCTCCAGATTAAATCTACTTCCTTTCCCGAAACATGATCTCCTCCCCCGTTTAACACTTTCCTGCTCAGAAAGGGAGGGGGGCAGTTCGCACATGCCTCTGGTGCAGTCTTGTTTTTTGCACTAATGGCCTTAAAACGTAGGACAGTCCAGGCCTATCTCACTCTGCAAAGCAAACTTTTTAAGGGTATTCAAGTGCAAAAAACAGCCAAAAAACAGCCAACCCACGAGGACTAGCATCTTGGCCAGGATTGAAATGTGGTAGGGGGTGACGTCTCCCCGTAAGTAATCCTCGACTTACGATGGTCAATGAAGCTCAAGCATTCTGTTGCTAAGCCAGAGAGCTGTTAAGGGAGCTTTGCCCCGTTTTATGACCCGTCTTGCCACAGCTGTTAAGTGAAACATTGCAGTTGTTAAGTTAGTGACACGGTTGTTAAATAAAGCCAGTTTCCCCATTGACTTTGCTGGTCAGGTCACAAAATGGATCACGTGACCCTGGAGCACTTCAACAGTCGTTAAGTACAAGCCAGTTGCCAAGTATCCCAATTTTGATCACGTGACCCCCAGGGAGGCTGTGATGGTCGTGTGAAAAACAAGTCCTCAGTCATTTTTTTCAGCGATGTCGTCACTTCAAATGGTCACTAAATGAATTGTCGCAATTTGAGGACTACCTGTAGAGATTCTGGATTCTAATTTTAAAAAGATGCTTTTCTAACAATTTTCAACTAGTGGCCAAATATTCTTTAACCTGCTTAATATTAAATATCAATTTCAGCACTGACTTGCAGTGGAATTTGATAATCTGTGCTTTAATTTCATTCATTCTTTTAGTCCCCAGGAAAGTTCCTTTTGAACGACTGGCAGACGCTAAAACTGCCCTAAACTCTGAAATAAAAAAAATTATTCTATCTCATTTTGGACGCAAAGTTTGTCCAGTGAATTAACAGGATTATATTTTAGTTTTCCTCAGTTTCAATTTAAGCCTTGACACAACCCTCTAAAAGAAATTTAAGACTTTTAGTGAATTAAGACTTTTAAAGATTTTTAAAACATTTTTTATTTTAAGGATTAAAAACTCAAGAGTTGGGTTTTTTTTTTTTAACACTTCTATTTCAATCTGAAAGTTGGTTTGAGAATCTTTTTAGGAGATTTGTGAGAGATTTCCAAAGACTGCTAAAGTTTTTTAAAAAAAAAGTTTTTAAAAGATTTTTTAAAGGTTGTTTTTAAAGTTTAAGGCTTTTTCAAGATTTGTAAAACGTTTTTCAAGACTTTAAAAGTTTTTCAGGACTTTTTAAAAGCTTTCCAAAACATTTAGAAACTTAAAAAGTTTTAGAAACATTAAGTTTTAAAAAGACATAAAAAGTCATAAAGACTTTTTAAAAGTTCTGAAAGATCTTTTTAAAAGTTCTAAAATGTTTTTTTTTAAAATTAAAGAGATTTTTTTTTTAAAGAGGTTCGTTTGGAAGTTCTTTTTTGAAGGAGAAGAGAGACAACATCTCCCAATTAAATTCAGTCAGCTTCAGAAGGGGAAAGGAGCCCAACCTGTCACGGAGAGCCCCGTTCTCAATCTCCTGTTAGAACGAGGCAGAAAACCAGAAGCCCCTTGTAAGAATCAAAGCAAGAAGTCAAAGAAAATCCCACTAACCTTTCTGAATGAAGCTCAGCCGAGTCTCAGCTTAACGAACCGTGTCTAGTTGAGAATTAACCCGGCAGTTTTTCTCTCTGCAAAAATGAAGTTTTGCAAAATCGGATGCCCGTTTGTTAATAAGCGCTGGTACTTACCGCAGCAGCTGATGCACGAAGACACCCGCCGCGCATCGCTTTCATTAAAGAGACCACAACCCATTCAACCCCCCCAAAGGCTCAGGAAACCACCCCCCCACCCCCAAACTGTGTCACCCAGATGTATTCAAGAGAAGGAAAGTGAACAAAAAACCCGCACGGCAACTTTTTAAGTCCCCGCGGCAGGAAGGAAACGCAATTTCTTTTAAAAAAGAAAAAAAATAATAATTATAAAGTGCAGCTCTCTTTTTTTCAAGTCGGTCGATCCAATGGGAAACTTTGAAAAAAGTTGGGGAAAGAGAGCGGGTGAGAAAAAAAATTACAAAAAAAATTAAGGGGTGGTTGAGGTTTCATTTCTTTTTCATTTTTTGAACTTCTGATTTGGGCAGAAATATTCAGCCGCTTTTAAGGGTTTAGAGGAAGATGGTAAACGTTAGAGGAAGATAAAACATGCCAAAGTTTTTTTGGGGGGGGGGGGGCTTGCGAATGTGATTCGGCAAACTTTACTTAAGAGCAACCTTTTTTTTCTCAAAAAAAGAAAAAAAAATACCTTTTATGCAAATGGATCCAAACGCTCAGTTTGCAAGCGGAGCGAAAGACAAATTGGAAATTATGAGCGAAGGAGGCCGTGACTGACGCACAGAGTTTGGGGGGGTTTCCCCCTCCTTCGTAGAAAAAGAAGGGGGGCGGCACGGCGATAAACCCAGATAACTGTGGTTAAAGGGGCATCGGATGTCATCAGATGGTTTTTAAGCATCTGATAAAGGCTGTCCTCAAGTTACGATCACAACTGGAGAAGAATTTCCATGCTTCTGAGTTGTAAGTCATACCCAAACTCAGTTGATTGTGGCTTGTATCCCTATCCTGGTTTGTCGAGCAAGCCGCCGTGGGCTGGATTTCCCACCCTAACTCAGCAAGCAATGATGGTTTGCTGTCATGCCCAAACCCAGCCACAAAGCCCCATTCCCTCCCCCCCCACAATTACATCCCAGGAGAGGGAAAAAATCGTAAGATTTAATCGGCCTTTAATGGGGGACCAATTGCGCCAAGCAACCACATTTGCAAAATAAAAAGGGGGGTGCAGAATCAGGACCCCCCCTCCACTGCGCCTCTGGGGGAGGCAGCCACAAAAGCCACAGCACGTCCTGGTAGAAAAGGAACTGAACTAGTTACTCCCCCTTCTCCTGCCCCATTGAAAAATGGGGCCGGTGGGGCTGCGAGAATACAAGCTTAATAAATAGGCAGTGTTAAAAGCCAATGCAAAACACAACAGATGCAGAATTAAAAAGAGGGGGTGTGCTAGGAAAAAATGCACCACGTTGCGTGGCCGATATATTTGGGGGTGGGCTTTGCTCCACCGTCCGAGCGGGGCCCCAATTTAGTTTTTCGTCCATGGAAGGCGTCAGCCCTGGAATCAAACAAGGATAATTGTCACCCCCAACAAAAAGGGGGCAGAGAGGCATTGACGTCCCCCCAACCGTCCACAACGTCATAAGTTTTTTCACGACTCAGCAGGCTGCTGCTCCATTTTTCCTTCTTCCGACATTCCCAGCTCTCAAAACCACAAACTTCACCCTTTGTGCAACTGTCTGCTTTCCTGTTCCTCGAACACTTGTGTTATCCTTCTTCACTCGTTTCCCTTTTCCGACTTTCCAGTTCTTTCTCCCTCCTTCCAAAAACAGCCAACCTCGGCTTGAACCCGTGCTCTTTGTCTCAGGAGGCTGGGGTTGGACTAGATGACCTCTATGTTGTTCCGTACAACGCTTTTCTCGCTGTTGTGTGCACCTCCTCGGCAGGGAAAAAACACCCCAAGGGGGAGTCTTTATTTTCCTCCTTCTGGATGGGAAGACCCCGTACCACAATGGGAGCGAAACGAGGGTGGGGGTAGGTCGTACCCATTGCCCAGGCAGCGTACTCAAGGCTGGAACGTGCCCCATCCTTCTTGGGGCTCGGAGCGAGCGTTGGGCATGGAGCGATCTCGAACGAGCGAAAGTTAGAGTCCTCTGGTTAAGTGGATTTGGGGAGGGGTGACAATGGCCGGTGGGGCCCCCATTCCTGATATGGGGAGATTTGGGGTAACAAGGGAGCCATGCGTAGAGGAGGAAGAGCTGAGTGAGAAAAACAACGGACAAAACACTTGAATTCTCCTCCTCCATCCTTTGTGTCCAGCAAGGAGGGTGAACAAGGAGGAATGAACAGTGCAAAACTTGGGGATCAAAATCGAAGTTCCTGGGAAGCTGTTGCTGGGGGCTCCTACCCTCCCACCCACCCCCCACTTTCCCTTGGTCTCTCATGTCCTCGGGCCAAGGGTGCACACAGCCGCCACAAACACATCGATCGGGTGCACGCACATACACAGAATTGGCACCCGGTTGGGATGCTGTGCCCTGTCCTTGTGCCCACCCCCTCGGGGCGGCTGAGTGGTCCTGATGCCCACGGAGGGGTGGGACTCTGTCTCGCGCTCGGTTCTCTTCTTCTGACGCTTCTCATACCTCCCTGCAAGAGACGAGAAAATAAGATTCATCAGGACATGTTTCCTGCCTGGGCTACCTCACAAGGCTGACGCCACCCACAATTCACCCTCCTGTCTGCTCTGCTCCCATGACAACTCAGAGGTCCTCGCAGTCCCACTCGCCATTCTCCTGCCACCCACTCACGAGGCTGTAAGCGTGGAGTTGAGCAGCAGTGTTGTGTGGAGGCGATACAGCTGGCCCAAAGTCAACTTCCGGTGCTGAATCGCCGGTGGGTCCAAAAAAGCCTGTTGCTCCGCCGACAGCTCCTCGCTCAGATTCTTCTCGTCCAGCCAGCACGGTGATGGGGGTCCGTTCGGGACAGCAGCTGCCAGCTCCGAAGAGATGCAGATTCCCAGCAAGGACGTCTCCTCCGCTTCGGAGAACTCGGAAGCGCTGCTGTTATTGCTGCTGCTGCTAAAGACCCTGCACAGAGGCTGGCCTTGGGGCTCCTGCGTTGGAGGACCCCCGGACAGCATTACCGCAGGAGAAAGTTCGGACAAACTTTGACTCTGGACGAGAAACAGTGAGGGCGATAGAACCTGCACGAGATTGGCTTCGGATTTGGATTTCAGCACCTTGGTCTTGGCAGGCAGGAGCTGGACGGGGATTTGCCGACGCAACTTGGGGGAGCCAGGCTTGGTGACATCCTCCTCTTCCTCCTCAGCAGCCACCGTACCACCCTGCGGCAGCGACGGCTCCACCAGTTCGTGTAGCGAGCCAAGTGAGAGAGTCCCATAGGCGCTGTCGAACGATGAGCAGCTGCAGGGGCTGGGTTCCGGTTTCGACAAGGGTCTGGAGGTGTCAGTGAGTGGATCTCCTGTCTCTAAGGAGCATGTGGCGGAATTGGGGAGGGGGCTGATGCTCAATTCCTCCGCTGGGGGGAGGAACTGGCTCCCGTCGAAGGAAGGGGAAAGGTATCCCTCGCCGGTCTCAGCCGCGATCATGGAGATGGTCTCAGTGGAGCTGTTGGAGAGGCTGAAAATCAAGATAGGAAGTTCGGTTAGAGTTGCCACTGAAATTGACTAGCAGAAAGCATGGAATTGACAACCCTGGGGGGATTTCAATGCCCGAAAGCTGAAATCGCAGCACCGTAATGTGCACATAAGCACACAGGGTCCACTTACTTCCTTCCTTTGTTTTTGCAAAACTCAACACCTGAGGCTTGCAACCGTCATAAATACGAGTCAGTTGCCAAGCGTCTGAACTTACCGCTGCTGGGAATCCAGGCTGCTGGTGCTTTTCCGGAGGGTGGGAGGGGAGCTGGCTTCCGAAGAGTCCCTGTTGTCTTCTTCCTCCTCCTCTTCCTCTTCCGCCTTGGCTTCCTCGACCTGGGGAAGCTGCTGCTTGCGTTGGAACTCTTGAAGACGCAGCTGCTGCAGCTTATTCTACGGGATAAAAGTTGCAAAGGTAGACTCTCTTGGGACAGGGAAGATCCTCTAATCCAGAACCAATGCGTAATGGGGATCTTGGAAGGGCTTTTTTGGGGGTGGGGAAGCTGGGAGACCCCAGCCCGCATGAGACCACGAGGCAGGCAGAGAATGAAAGCGAAACTTGCTCCAGAGGATAAGATTTGAAAACGTGGCATGAAACTTCACCGATGTAGACAGGGGCGGGACCTTAGGAAACGTTGCTGTTTCTTTGCCTTGCCTCAAGATTTTCAAACAGAGGCTCGACGGTCAGTTTAGCTGGCAGGGAGTAGCGAAACCCGCTGATGGGCTGGATGACCTCTAAGTTGCCTACCTGAGCGTTACAGACAGCCTCGACCCAGCTCCGGCAGAGCGACTGCCCGCTGGTCTGAAACGTGTAGGCACACACGGCGCTGCGAAACTCGTTCAGGTAGATCAGCAGGAAAGACCCTGGGGGGGGGGGAATAACAGAAGGAAAAAAAAAACTTTAAAAACCAAAATAAAGACGGTCCTCGACTTAGTGGCCAAAGTTACAACAGCAACGCTGCATGTGTTTGTGTGTGTGTGTGTGTGTGTGTGTGTTTGTGTGTGTGTTTCTTACCTGGATCCCTGAGCGCCCGACACACCACCTTGTCGATCAGGAGGGGCTGGCGGACAACCCGGGTGCGCTCACCCTTCTTGGCCGGCTTGGTGATGAGGAAGAGGTCGGTGAAGAGGAAGCAGTAGACGTCCATCTGGCCCAAGAGAGACCACCGGGGGTGAGAAGCAGGCTGGGGAAGGGGGCGAAAGGAGGAGGGATCTGCTGCGATGGAGACCCCTGGGGAGGGGCAGGACCCCCTCCCCGTTGGGTTTCTGGGGGTTTCTGTGGATGGATGGATGGAGGGAGGAGAAAGAGGGAAGGAGAAAGGGAAGGGAAGGAAAATGAAAAAAAAAGAAAAATGAAAAGGAAGGAAGGAAGGAAGGAAGGAAGGAAGAAGGAAAAAAGATAAAAGGAGGGAGGAAGGACAGAAGGAAAGGAAGAGGGAGGGTTAGGAAAGTTAGATAGAAATGAGGGAGGAAGGAAGCAAGGAAGGAAAGAAATAAAGAAAGAAGGATCAGAAAGGAGAGGGAGGGAGGAAAGAATAGGAAAGAAGGGAGGAAGGGAGGGAGGGCAAGAAAATGCCAAGTAGAGCTAAATTACGCATTTAGCCCTTTCTCCAGACGGGACAGAATTTCGGGGTGCTTAACACCCCCTTGGCGACCTGACATATCCCAAACATCCCCGCAAGCAGAAAGCTAGCAGAGAAGCCGCAAGCAGCCCTTCCTGACACCTCCCCTTTCTCCCATTAGCCCCAAAGCGGAGCCAGCGGCCCCGGCAGCCCTTCGCCAGCCCCCCCCCCCACCCTTCCGGGGACCCACCTTGCTGTCTCGGCCTTCCCTCATCTTCAGGGCGCCCTCCAGCAGCAGCCGCCGCGTCTCCTCCCGGGACGTCCCGGGGATCGGGGCCATCAGATCCAGGCGCTGAAACTCCTTCAGGATCTGGGGGGTCGGTGGGGGGGAGGAGAGGAGAGGAAGCAAGGGGGAGGGATGTCACGTTTGGCCCCGAACCCCCAAAGCACCCTTTGCAAACGAGAAGCAGAGACAAACCCAAACCGAGTTGAGTTGAGATTAATTAACCACGGTTAGTTTCAAGCCGGATCTTGGCTTCTCCTCCCATCGAGACGGTTCCATACACAGGCAGTTCTCGGCTTACAGCCATTCGTTTAGTGATGGTTGGAAGTAACAACGGCACTGAAATAAGGGACTTGGGACCGATCCTCACACTTACGGCCGTCGCAGCATCCCGAATTAATCACACAGGCTCAACGTATAGCCGTGACGCAGACTGCATGTCGCGACGGTCATAAATCAGGTCACATAACCGACCCATACTTTTTGTGCGTTGTCGGTTCTTAAGCGAACCCATTGCTGGGCAACCCCGTCGTACATCGAGGACTACTTGTAAGAGCTTTGGAGCTGGTCTCCCTTGCGCCTCCCCCTGCCCTCCCCTCCACCCCGACCCCTGCCCAACCTTGTCTACTTCGTCGGTGCTGCCTTCCACCACCTCGTAGGCCTCGATGCGGTTCACGGTGGTCGCCAGGCGCTGCTGCTCCTGGTGCTGCCGCATGCGCGAGTTGACGTGGTTGATGAACAATTCCACCGCGTTGATCTGCCGAGAGGGGAGAAAGAAGAGCGGAAACCGCTCCTTTTATCCTCCTGGAGCAGAAACCGACGATCCCCCCCCCCCCGGAAGGAGTCTGAGCAGCAGGAAACTCTAAGGTAGACTGCGATGGAAGGTGGAAGCACTACTCGACCTCGGTGATGGATAGGCGTGTAGGATTAATATTTATATGCTGTGATTAATATTCGTATGTTGTGATTAATAGTTATATGTGATTTTATATGTTTATGTGTGACTTATACGTAAGGGTGTAGGTCTACACATATGCTGTATATAGTATGTTTTAAATGTGTGTTATGTATGTGTACACTCTGATGTTCTTGCTGTATTTTTATTTATTTTATTTTATTTTATTTGTACCTAGGCTTTTTTATTTTTTACAAATAATGCAAGGTGGTGAAGGTACACAACGTTCCTTCTTCTGCCTGCTTTCCCCACAGCGTGAACAACCTTGTGAGGTGGGTCGGGCTGAGAGACATTGGCCCAAAGTCACCCAGTCAGATTTTATGCTTAAGGCAGGACTAGAACTCCCAGCCTCCCGGTGACTGACCCAAAGTCACCCAGTTTTGACTCCCTTCGAAATATTCCGTTGCTGAATTGCATTTGGACTCTTTCCGGCTCGGTGTTCGGAGGACAAAATTGCGCAAAGAGTTTTTTGTGCTGGTTGAAGGCAGAGAGGACTGGGGAAGTTTTTAAAAAATAACATCGCAAAACTGGTGGTCGGGAGTTCCCAAGATTAACTCAGGGCGATGACAAAATCCAGGAGTTTTCCGGCTTCCTGAATCCCCAGTGGGAGGAATGCACGGCGGGCCCTCCGTTCTAGCTTTCTCGTATTTTCTTATCAGTTCCCCAGAAAAAAAAGAAAACGATTAAAAAGAGTTTTGAGCACCGATTATCTGCTCCTTTATCTTATTTATCTTATTTCCTGGCAAGCGGAGATGGGTGCTGTGCGGGCTGGGTGGATTGCAAACAATTCAGACTTTTTTCTCCTGTTAAGCTGCCCAACCCAGTTGTCTTTTGCAAGACATGCTTCTGGGCTGTGGAAAACGCCAATTACAGAATAACGAGAGCCGGAAAGGACCTTGGAGGTCATCTAGTCCAACCCCTTGCTCCAGCAGGAGACCCTGATTGTACCATTCCAGACAAATGGCTGTCCAGTTTATTTTTTTTTGAAAACTTCCAGGGATGGAGAACCCACACCTTCTGGAACTCAGCCATTTCCACTGGTTAACTGATCTGGGATTACGGAATAACAGTTGGAAAGGACCTCAGAGGTCATCTAGTCCAGCCCCCTGCTTCAGCAGGTGACTCTATACCCATTCCAGACAGGCGGCTGTCCAGCCTCTTCTTGAAAATTGTGGAGCACCCACAATTTCTGGAGAACAAGCCGTTCCAACTGGTTAATTGATCTAGGATTACAGAACGACAGAGTCGGAAGGGACCTCAGAGGTCATCTAGTCCAACCTCCCCGCCAATCGAGCAGGAGACCTTACATCTGATACAATCTGACCCTTTGTTTCTTGGGCTGGCTTGCATGCCCATGCAGCGTGGGTTTTGTTAAACGGCGCACGCAAAAGGACCAGCCCAACCCTCTAGCCATCATCTGAGAACTGGGTTTGGCCCCTTACCATGCCGATGATGGCTTCTCGGTCCTTGGGGTCCTCGGTCTTCTTCAGGATGGACTTCAGGAGCAGAGGGTACTTGGTCAGGCGCTGGTGCGGCTTCACCAGCATGTCGCTCAGCTTGAGCCGGTTGCACTGCTTGTGTTTCTCGGCCCACTAGGAGAGAGAGAAAAGCTTTATGGGAGTCCCGTCACAAACGGGGCCGCCCAAGAGGAGACCCCGCCAGCTGCACTGCATACAGGAAGCCCTTGACCCTGGGGCTTTCTACCCTGTGGCCCGGGGGGGGGACGTCCATCCCCACCTCTCCTTACCGTCACGTAAAGCCGGAAGAGTTCGTTTTGTCGCAGCAAATTGCGCATGTATTCCATGCAAGCTTCCTCTTCCATACAGTAACGGACGTACGGCTGGAAGTGGGAGCCGAACTGGGGGGAGGGGAGAGAGCCAGAGTTAACCATGGTTTAAGGAGGACCGTGGAAGCTGGGATTATCTAGCATTGGCTGAGCATCCAGGGGGCATTTGACTGGGCTGTGGGAGAGACTGTCTTCCTTGGGTGGGGTCCTGGGTGGTTTCTGAGCTGGGGAGGGGTTTCTTGCGGATGTCTCATGGCCCAACTAGGGAACATCATCAGCGCTAGAAGGGAGTGGGGTTTGGGGAGAGGAGGAGGAGGAAGACTGTGGGGTCCTGGGTGCTCTCTGAGCCTGGCTGTTCTCTTGCAGACGTCTCATGACCCAACTAGGGAACATCATCAGCGCTAGAAGGAGGCAGGCTTTGTTCTCTCTTTATATACTGACCATTTGCAAACCTCCTTCCCTTCCCTGGGCCCGACATCAGCTTCCAAGCTCAACTCCAAATGTAGAGGGCCTCTGAGCATACCATAAGGGCCTGCCCCACCACCCACCCAAGCAGCCCTCTTTCCTCCTCACCATCATAAAGCCTTCGGACAAATCGGTGGGGTCCAGCAAGTTTCGGCTCCTCCGGGCCTTCTCCAAAATGGGGGCCATGACGGTCCTCCAGAGTTTGCGATGGACCCGGACAATCTCTTGGATGTTGCTGAAGACCCTCTCGGCGTCCACCTTGGAAAGAGGGGAACCCCCCCCCAAAAAAAACAGAAGCCTGTGAGGCCAATCCGTTCCTTTCTGAGGAATTAAAATTCATACGGGTCATCCTCGACTTATGGCGTTTCATTTAGGGACCGTTCGAAGGGACAATAGCTGTGAAAAAAGTGACTGAGGACCTGTTTTTTCCACACTTAATGACCGTCGCAGCACCCCCGTGGCCATGCGATTGAAATCCAGGCACTCGGCAACTGACTCGTACTTAGGATGGTTTTGCCGCGTCCCGGGGTCGTGTCATCCCTTTTCTCAAAGCCAGACTCGCTTTACAACCGTGTTGTAAAAGATTGTAAAACAGGGCAAAACTCACTGAATAAATGTTTCACTTAGTGAGAGAGATCTGGTGCTCAATTCTGGTCGTAACTTGAGGTACTAGGCGCCTCTACATACGACTTCTGGGCTGGGCAATGCGCATCACAAGAATGCACAAACTGAACATTTGTGACTTTGACCCATTTCTCAGCAGAGTTTTTAATGGGGGGTGGGGGGGGAGCCCTTACCTCGCACAAGAGACCCGAATCCTGCAAATTTAGAAGACAGCAGAGGAAGAGCTGGAGAGAGGAGAAAAATAAATAAATGTATTAATCCATTAGGCTCCACCGTCAGCAGACTGTGGTTAGATTAGAGAAGAGACGGGCAATTTTGGGGTGCGATTCACGAAAGGCTGCGCTTTGGGGGGGCATTCCACCCGTGCACAGATATTTTTTTATTAGTTGATCAAAATCGAAACTGCAGAAGTATGAAGAAAAAAAATGAAAATAAGGGAGGAAAAAGGGAAAAGCACCGACTTCCAATTCCTTTTGGTGGAGAAGAATAAGGTAATAACATAAGACCTCAACTTTTTACTTTTATATAGTAATATATTACCGGCCATTTCTGCAACTCTCTCTAATCAGCAAAGACAAAGTTTCATATATTTTTTTCTCCACTCAGGCACAAAGTCCACAAGTGGTTTCCAAGTAGAAAACAAAATGAATTGCGTGCTTTTCTTTAACAGCTGGCTGGGGAAATTCGGGGAGCTGAAGTCCACGCAGAAGCTGGTTGAAATTGAGAGACGGTGTGGGAAGATTTGCACAGGGCACCGCAGGATTGTGGAGGAAGTAACTCAGGACTTACATCCGTGATGACTTTCAGTCTCTTGATGTAGGAGGCTTCGGTGTGGAGCAGCTCCCAAATGGCTTCCTGCTGGTGGCACTGGCGTCGCGTCAAAGTCTGAAGACAAACCAAGGATAGATTTAACCTTAGTTAAAGGAGAAGGAGGAAGGAGGGGAAAGGAGGTAGAGAGGGAGGGAGGGAGGAGAAAGAGGGAAGGGAGGGAAGAAAAGGGAAGGGAAAAAAGGAGAAAAGAAAGAAAAGAAAAAAGGCAGGAAGGAGGGGGAAGGAGGTAGATAGGGAGGGAGGGAGGAAGGAAGGAAGGGAAAGAGAGAGAGAAAGGAAGGAAGGAAGGAAGGAAAAGAAAGAAAAGAAAGCTACCTCCCGCAACTCCCAGGCTCACCTCGGTCCCTGGGATGATCTGCTGCCAGCTCTCCTCCATCCGGAGGCCGCCCTGCTCCTCCTCCTCCTCCTCCTGCTCCTGTTCTCCATCCTCCCAGGAATCCTGGTCGAAGCGCAGCTGGTTGGGCAGGCGGGGCAGGCCGAAGAGGCCGAAGGACTGCAGCTTGCTCTCCAGCTGCTCCATCTTGTCCAGCTCCTGCATGGGGGGGGAGAGAGAGACACAATGGAGGGCTGACCCACCGGAAAGGAACTTTGCATCACCTGGGAAGCAGCCCAGGAATGAAAGAAAGAGGGGGAGAGAGAGAGAGAGAGAAAGAAAGAAAGAAAGAAAGAAAGAAAGAAAGAAAGAAAGAAAGAAAGAAAGAAAGAAAGAAAGAAAGAAGGAAATAGAGAGAGAGAGAGAAAGAAAGAAAGAAGGAAAGAGAGAAAGAAAGAAAGAAAGAAAGAGAGAGAGAGAGGGGGGAAGGAAGGAAACAAGGAAGAAGAAAGAGAGAGAGAGGAAGAGAAGAGAAGGAAGGAGGGAGGAAAAGAAGGAAGGAAGGAAATCCAGAGATCCCTTTTCTGGGAAGGGATCACAATCCGGATTTTCCACCACCTTTCCGGAGAGGAGAGGTTCAACTTGGGGGGCAAGGAAAAAGCGGGGGACGCACCCTGGAAAACGAGCTGCCGCTGTTGCCGGACCCGAAGAAGCCGCTGAAGCGGCTGGCCCCTCGGTTCTTCCGCGTGTCCGGCCCGTTGGGGACTGGGGAAGAGACCGCCGGGGGCAAAAGGTCCGGATTTTGGATCCTCACATCGCCCAGAAATTCATTCATGTTCTTCCTTTGCCGTCCAGGTCCCTGCTGGGGGGGGGGAGGGGGGGAGAAAGAATTGAGTGTGGGGGCGTCAGAAGCAAAGAGATTGGGTGGGTGGGTAGTTAGGAATATATAAACCAGTTACACATTGAACTCATTATATACACGATACTGTTTTTCACTCTCAACATTTAAGATGCAAGGACTTCAGCTCCCAGAATTCCCCAACACGTATATAAAGACTTCGGTTCCCATCATTCCCCACCCAGCATGTGTGGGCTTCAACTCCCAGAATTCCCCCCTCTTAAATACGGCCAGCTGTACTTTCAACAATCCTCGCAAGCAGAAGACCAAGTCCTTGGAGAAAGACGACGCAATGCAAAACTCTCCCTGCAGAGCTGGCTTTCTACATGCAGGGTTTCCTGATGCCCATTTCCCAGCCTCTGGTTGTGTGTGTGTGTGTGTGTGTGTGTGTGTTGCTTGTTTGCCTGCCGGGTCAAAATTTATTCAGCAAAGCTTATTTCGTGTCTGGATCAACACAACGGCGAAACTTGGAAGCGAAAAAGAGGAAATGCAAAAATTATAAAGTTATAGATAGTCCTCTCCAGAGAAAACTTCTTTTATTTCTCCGTCGTCAGAGTCTGAAAGAGCCGTAAATTATAACATGGGGTTGAGGGTTGTAAAATCATCTAAAGGACCATAAAGCAAAAGGCCTGGGCGAACTCTGTCCTCTGCAGCAAAGGAAAAAAATAAAAAATCAAATCAGGCAGGCCCGGAGAGGGGGGGGGGGCAGAAATGGACAGCCCTGGTGGCTTTGGCTGAACCCAGAGCAGTCCCTGAAAAGATTACAAAAAGTCACCGGTGTCTGGAGGGGATCACAAAATAAAATAAATCTTTTAATCTCAGCTTCAGTTTTATACTTTTCATTGCCAGGTACCCAGAATTGGTTGAAAAATGGGTGGGTGAATGAATGAATGAATGAATGAAAAGAAGGAAGGAAGGAGAGGAAGAGAAAAGAGGAGAAAGAGAGAGAAAGGGAGAGAAAGAGAGGATGGGAGGGAGGGAGGAGAAGAGAAAAGAAGAAAGAGAGAGAGAGAGAGAGAAAGGGAGGGAGGGAGGGAAGAAGGAATATGACAAATAAATAATAAATATTTAAACCATCCCAATGATGAATCAGGGAGTCCTTAATAGCGATATGCACATTTTAAATTTTTATTTCAGGTCTCAGAGGTCACAGTACAGCACAGGTCTAATTCTACCTACACACACACAACAGCCCTGCGAGGTAGACTAGGCTGACATTACACCAACAACACAACACCACCGTGCCAGAGGAGACGGGATTGGCCCACTGATGGCTTCGCATCCACAACCCACCAAACAATCACAATCAAATTTCCAAAACTTCGGCCTGTCTTGCAAATTGAAAACTTTACCGTCAATAAAACCAACGTTCTCGGTTTCTTTCATTCCGGACGCTCCCGCCTTCCAACAGAGAGTAGGAAATTGCAATTGGCACCGCGTTCAAAGGGCGAGCTAGGATTGCTTTGGAAGGCAAAACGAGCTAAATTTCACTCATTCATGATTTTAGGTGTGGGTCAGCATACCTAAGTTGGATTCAAGCAACCCCTGCGGCCAGCTCATTGAAAAACCTAGCAGCCACATTCCCTGGGCAACACTAAACCGGTTTAATGTCGGTTAGTTTGCAGCAGCTTCACAGAACTCAGATCCTGCTGCAGTAAGCAAACTCAAGTTTCTGATTCCGAATACAGACTTACATCCTGTCCGGGTTTCCAACATCCAGGCTGACCCTCGCGCCCCCCGGATTCACTCTGACCAGCTTCTCCTTTTGCCTCGTGGCAAAGATCCTTGCTTGGTTTAACTAGCCGGGACGAAAATTCAGAAACCTCGGCTTGAGAGTTATAGAGCTGAATTCGAGCAGCGACAAATCCCGGCGCAACGGCCGGCTCCCTGCCGAAGGGCTCGTCCAGCAGGTGTTGGAAACGGGCGTAATGCAGCGCTGACCACTCGGTGTGGGTCGGAAGGTCCCACCTTCTCCATTTGGGGCCAAACATGGCTGGCTCCTCAATCCCGCATGATTTTCGACGCGGGAGAGAACTCGGCTTCCCGAGTCAGTCCGAACTACTTTTGAGAGTTGCGCCCGCGGGCCGAGACGTCACAGCTCTGAATTCGAACTCAGCCCAGCATCCGATAAAGGAGACCGGCTCCGTTGACTAGTGATGGGAAGCTGCACTGGCGAAGATTCGTGGGTGCAGGCTGAGCGCACATCTGCCAACGAGCACCAAGCTGGCAAAGCGGCACCACTTCCTGCTTCTTGTGGGAAACCGGGCAGGGCAGAGGGTGGAGAGCTTCCAACCGGCTCCAAAGGTCAGGCTTTGGGGCAATCAATCAATCAGAATTTATTTGCTGTCCAAATAATAGGAACCAAACAGTTTGCAGAAGAGGCAAGGAACAAGTAATTCTGATTCCCCCCCCCTTGCAGTAGATAGTAATTTTTGTCCCTTTTGGCCCAAATCAAAAAAAAAAAAAATCAGAATTCTTTTTAGTAAATTGATAAGCTCAAGGGGCTGGATGGTCTTGTTAAATCAAGCCTCAGAAATGTCGGATTGACAGCAGGGGGAAGCAAAGCTCTGTTTAAAACAAAATAAAAACACTAAAGATGTATCAAAAAGAAAAGTAAGCGTACATTAAAAATAAAAGGTAAAAAATAAACAAAGAATAGAATTAGGTACAATGTAAACGAAAAGGGAAACAAAAATAGGAGTTGGATAGAAATGAAAAAATGAAACGAAATAAAACAGAAGCTCAAAATCAAATCAAAGAAGTTAAAAATCAAATCCAATATATATCAAAAATCAAATCCAATCCAAATGAAAAATCAAATCCAATATAAACTCAAAATAAAACCAAACAGATCAAAACATACATTAAAAATCAAATCAAATGTTAGTTAAAAATAAAATGGAATGAAAACACCGCTCTTGAGTTATACTCTGGCACCTATCCATTTTAATCGGCTTAGGGAAAGGAAGTTGTCACGGCTTTTTTTTCAACCCCCTGGCCTGGCTTCCAATTCAGGGATCTCCTGTTGGTCTTCCATCCTAGTTAAACCAGTTTTCCAAGGTTAGCCAAAGTTGGTCATGTGCTGCCCTCTGCTGGCTGGCGGTAATAAATAATAGGCATAAAGATCACCCCTCCTTTCTGGCTGGGGAGGGGTGATTGTTGCTGGCACAGATCTCTGTGTAGCTCTAAAGTCCACCAATGGGAAAGTGAGGTCATCCTGGCTTGTTTCAGCAGAATGAAGGTTTTTTTCCCAGGCAGAAGCAAAATTCAACCGGCGCATCCATTTCTGCCACTTGATATGACCGAAGAAACTCGGATGTCTCTGCTCGGATGACCGGCCGGACTGTAACCTTCCAAGTGGGGCTTTGATCAAGAGCATAAAGACCCCCTGATAATTCCAGCAGCTGGTTTTCCGCAGAAAAAATATTTTATTCCCAAAACGAGCACTCAGCTCCAACCAGTAAGCGGAAAACAAATGCTTTGGGACATGGGGAGTGGGGAGTTAGGGAAAGGGGCACCCACACCTGTCCCCCAACTCACTACGGCATCAGTACTCTCCCGGCGAAGGGAAATTTGCTCCAGTCGATCCAAAGATGGGGTGGCGAGGAAAGAGGGGCTGATGCCCGCCGGGCGCAGGATAGGCAAACTCAAGGATTTGCTGTCCTTCACCGCCTCTTCGACCTTCAGATCGTTTCCCGGTTTGGCTGAAACAGAGGAAAAAAAACCTGTGGTGATCTGGACCACTTCCTGCAAAATGGCCTACTTTGGGGGGGGGGGGTTGCTGCAAATATGGGTCCTCGTCCTACTCGGTTCTCCAAGCAGGTGCCCTCTGGATCTGCTCCAGGTGAAATCGTTCTGTATTGTGGTGACATTGTTTCTTCCGACATGGTGAAACTGACTAGATCACATTTCTGACTGGGCGAAAATTGGCAAATATCAAAGCAGTGGGAGAGAAGTGAAGATTGATCACCCTCGATGACGTCCTTCTGGCCGGAAATACACTGTGGATCCATGATTTCCCTCCCCACCGCCTTGATATTTTCCCATTTGGGGCCAAACAGTCACACGATCTAATCAGTTTCACTATCCCAAAGAAATTCCCAGCTTGATTTTCTTCCCTTGTAGAGCAAAATTTCTCCATCTTGGCAACTTGAAGATGGGTGGATTTCAACTCTGGGCTGGGGAATTCTGGGAGTTGAAGTCCACCCATCTTCAACTTCGGATCTGGTTCATCATTATCCCTCCAGGTAGGTGTGTCATAAGTGCGAATGGTTGCTAAGCAATCAGTCACAAATCAAGGACTATCCATCATAAGATTTAAGCCCGTGGATCAGATCACCACGCTACCTTTCACGCGCAGGTAATGCCCTCCGAAGCGATAGGCTTCAAAGTTGAGTGACAGCGGGGTGTTTGACTGGTCCAGATAAATGTCCACTTTTGACAGATCGATGCCTTTCCGCTCAAAGACCGGAAGCAGGACCTCCCTGGATCATCCCAAGAAGAAAAAGCAGGCTGAAATTCAACAGGTGACGGCGTTCGACAGACAGGTATCTGCCCCCAAAGAATATCAGACTAGAACATCCAGATGAAAACATATGTTTTTATTTATTACTTTATTTTATTTATTACTAAAGTATCTAATGCCATTCTTGTCCATTGTTAATTAATTAGAGTCATTTTGATAGGAGATGCAAATCAATTTAATACACAGATTTATTTCATTTAGAAAATGTACAGGCAGCCCTCGAACTTACGGGGCCAGAACTTCCGTTGTTGAGCAATCTTCGGCAATGTCTGAGAGGCTTAAACGGGGCAGCAGGCGAGACAGAATCAGAATTATATTCTTACCCTAAAGATTTCTTCTTCATGGCTGGGGCGATCTCCGTTTCAACGTCCACGTTCAAATCAAATTTCAGAGTGAAATATTCCCTGCTAGGATCCTGGGGAAGAAATAACTTATTTTAAAAGTCAGTAAGGTTTCTAAAAGTGTTTCTTAAGTGCTTAAAAAAGAAAAGGTGTCTTACACATTTAGCAGAGTGTTTTGCAAACCTGGCCTTCAACTCCCAGAATTCCACAGCTGGCTGGCTGAGGGATTCTGGGAATTGAAGTCCACTTGTCGTAAAGCGGCCAACTTTGAGAAACCAGGGTTTAGCGTTGATTTAAACTTAAACTCTCTGACTTTTTATAGGAGATTCAGAAGCTAAACCGCTGAAAGATTCCCCTGCCCATTACAGCAGGATAGGTCTGAGCAGGGGGTTGCACTGGATGACCTCTGAGGGGCCCTATCAACTTGCTATTATTGTGAGAGCTGCAGTTTGGCCTCTGGATCCCATTCAAAGTGGAAGTGTGAGGATCAGTTGTAAGCCACTTTTCTTTACCGCCGTCGTAACTTTAAAAAGTTGCTAAACGATTGCTCGTAAGTCGAGGACTATTTATATACGGATTCTGGAAAGAAGCAAGGTACGATCGACCCATCCTTACGTCCGTATGTCTCCTTGTTCCTTTCTTGGGCTTTCGAGCTAAATTTCGTTTTTCTCTGCAAGAAACAAGGAAGACAACGGAATTGGGGTTACCACAGCGCATCTCTGCCCATCTGACTCTTCCTCCCAAAACAGAGGTGAAAAAAATTGTGTTTCCCTCCCCACACTGTCTTTCCATTCCTTCTGAAAGCTAGCTCTCCAGGACTTGAGATCGGCTGACCTTGAGGAATTAGCCTTCTGAAGCGCGGGGATGTTTGCCGAACGGGTCTTCCCTACACTCACCCTTTCCCATCGATCAGCGGTTCGGCCTCCTCTTCCACATCAGAGGCCGGGCTCGTGCGTGGCGGGCAGGACCGGGTGGAGACGTTGCGCGCCAGGATAGACCCTGAAGATAAGAGTTATGGGGTGGTTAATCCCTGCACTGGGACTTGGCGTCCCGTTCACACATTCCTCCTCCCTCAAAGAGATTCCCTATCTGGGCACATTTCTTTTGACTCTCTTATTTTATTACTAAAAGGCTTCAGATGCCGCAAACAGTGGCTTACTTATTCTGAGGCATGGGCAGAATTCTGCACCAGATGCAAATCCCACATCGTATAAATTGGCATCTATACATCAGCGCTTCTCAACCTTGACTACCTTAAGATGGGTGGACTTCAACTCCCAGAATTCCCTGGTGATAACGCATTCCTTTTGATGTGCATCCCTATCGCATTGCCTGCTTATTCTCTTGTAATCCCTTCCTCTGCAATCTCTCCACTGCAAGGAGTAGAGACATGCTTACTCTCTTGTAATCCCTTCCTCTGCAATCTCTCCGCTCTAGAGAGCAGGAGACAAAAAACGGGCATGGCTGGCTGGGGAATGCAGAGAAGGTTGGATATTAAGTTGGCAATTAAGTCTTCGGCCAAATCCAGCCAGTTCAAGGTTTTAAAATTTGATAAATGAATAAAGAGGGCCATGCACAAGAACCAGGCCCAGTTCTGGCCCAGCAAGGTCTCGATGGTCACCTGGAGGTGGAAGGTCGAAGCGAATATGTCGGTCAAAGTGCATCGCCCCGTGGATCTGCCCGTCGCACGCCTCGCACAAGTGCAGGGGGCTGTGGTGATTGACTTGTTCACATTTGGCGTGGTGACAGACCTGGAAGGGGGGGAGGCAGAGGAGAGAAAGGAAGATGGCGTTTTACGAATTATAATCCTCCCGGGATTGGGGGGGGAAAACTTATTTTTAGACCACTTTCCAAGTTAAGGAAAAGTTAAGTTATATAAATTCGGTCAATGGATCTGTTTGGTCTACACAGGGATAACTAGAGCCAGGCTTCTGAAGGGTATTCAAATGAAGAAAGAGGCATTCCCTGGCATACATATATATATAAGAAGAAAGAGGAATAATGATCTTGCAGACAAGAGAAGGAAGTGGCATGCTCTCGCAGACGTGAGAAGCAGGAGAAATTATTTTGCAGACGTGAGAACGAAGAGGCACTCTCTTGCAGACATAAGCAGGAAAAAATTCTCTTGCAGATAGGCAAGAGACTGAAGAGGCATTCTCTTGCAGACGTGAGAAAATAAATTCTCTTGCAGAAAGAGAAAGAAGAAGCATTCTCTTGCAGATCTCTGAAGAATGAGAAATGATCTTGGAGAGAGGCAAAGGAGGCAAAACAACATTGCCTGCCGGTGGAGCAAGAAGCGTTCTCTAGCAAGCTGATTAAAAAGCATCCCTTGGGCACGTCTGAAGGAAGAAGCTTTCTCCGGCTTTTTGAGATAAAGCAAGCGTTCTCTTGCCTAGAAGTCAAGGAAGAGGCATCTTCTGCTGGACTTCCCTCCATTTATCCTGCAGCCCTCAGGATTCTTCCACTATTCAGAAAGCATCCCACAAGCTGGGAAGGAACCTCAGAGGCCATCTAGTCCATCCCCGTGCTCAGAGCAGAACCTGCTGCAGGATTTGAGGCGGCTCTTCCCAATTGGCGTGGGTTGCGAGTTCGATCCTTCAGCCCCTGACTCTCATCTAATTCTCTCCATCCGGATATTAATAACTGCACCCCTGAGGCCTTTGATGGCAGGTGGTCCCCAACCTAGACAACAACCGAGCCCAAAGTTTCCGTTGCTGAGCGAGACCAGTTGTTAAGCGGGTCTTGCCTCGTCTTATGGCCTTTCTTGCCACCATTGTTAAGTGAATCCCTGAGCTGGTTAAATTAGCAACATGGTTGTTAAGTGAACCCGGCTTCCCCATTTTGACTTTGCTTGTCAAACGGTTGCAAAAGGAGATCACGTGACCCCCCCCCGGGACAGTGCAACCGTCCTAAGTACAAGTCAGTTGCCAATCATTTGAATTTTGATCACGTGACCCTGAGGATGCTGTGACAGTCCTTAAGTGTGAAAAATAGCAACAGAAATTTTGGCCTCCATTGTGATCTTTAGCCGAGGACCGCCTCCAATTAAAGGCCTCGGGTGCAGTTACAAAAATCTGAGTGTTGTGTGCTGATCACAGAGAACTAGAACTAGATAAAATAATGTAAAATAGGCCAGGACAAGATACATATTTGTCCAGATTTTTATACATCATAACATAACATAACAGAACATAACATAACGGGCCAAAATACATCTTTGCCCCAAATCCTCATTTTTTTGTTTTCCTCTCCTCTTTTCAAAATTCACTTTTTCCCAGGCCAATCCAGGTCAAACAGCCACCCCCCTCCCCAATTTTGAAACTTAAAAAAGACCCTCATCCCCAAAAAACGGAGAAAAATCATCCTCTGTACCTTGGCACGTCTGTAAAATTTGAAACAAATCTGAATTCTTGGTTGATTGCTCCAATTTTTATTTTATTTTTTGTTTTTGTCCCCCCCCCAAAAAAATAACCGGCTGTTTCCTTTGGAAGGAGATTTTTCAAATTCCATTCTAAGAGAAACGGGGGGGGGGGGGCGCTGCTCTCTTTAGTTCCCAATAAAATCTGAATTTTTCCCACTGCCCCCCCCCCCGCCATTGAGCAAAGGGTGAAGGACACGCCTGGGTCCCAAGCCTGTCCAGACAATCTCGGGGCGATGCTGCCTTCCTTCCTGCCAGCCTTGAACGACCCATCTACCCCCCTCCCGTTTCAAAGCCCCAGACAACCACAGGAAAATCCAGGTTTGCGGGGGGGGGCTGGGAGTCAGACAGGGGAGTCCAGAACAGAGAGACCCTCCCTCCCAGCACCCCCAAAACTCCGTGAACTCCTTTCTTCTGAGCTCTGAGTAAACTCAGCCCAGCCAACCGGCGTTCCCACAACCCACCTGGCCTGCCTGCCCGGCTTCCTCCACCCTTTCGCTGCTGGGGTGGACACCCCCCCCCCGCTCCCCAACTGTGTCCAGACAACCTCCGGTGGGGACTGGGGACGCTGCTTGCCTTCCTGCCAGCCTTGAACGACCATCTACTTCCCTCCCCATTTCAAACCCCATCCATGCGCAGAAAAATCCAGATTTTGGGGAGGGAGGGGACTGGGAGGCAGATAGAGGGGTTCAGAACCCCTCCCACTCCCAGCACCCCAAAACCTCCACGATCTGCTTTCTTGCGAGCTCTGGGTCGCCTCTCCCCAGCTAGCCCATGTCCCCCCGACGCGCTTGACTCGCGATCTTAGAAGACCCCCGTCTCCATGACCCCCGAGCGCTGCCCGGCCTTCCGTCATTCTTCCTCCCCCGCCCCCGGCTTGTAGCTCCGGTTCGCTCTGGCTCGGTTTCCGCGAGGCTGGGAGGCCGCGAGCAGGCGAACAAAGGCCGGAGGGGAGAGGGAAAGCAGCAGCCTCCAGACTCACCTGGCCGGCAGCAGCGGCGGAGCTTGGCAAGGCGCGCAGCGCTCTGGATGCGGTTGCAGCAGTCTTGGGGACGGGGGGGGGGGAAGACTCGAGGCTTGACTCAGCGACGGGGGGGGGAGGGGGGAGCCGGCAGCCAGGAAGGGCAGCCGACAGCTGAGCCAGACGGATCTCCGCCTGCTTGCCTGCCCGAGCTTGCAGCCGTCCTGGCCGGGTGCCTTAATCGCACCCGACCCTGCTGCGTTTTTACGCGCCGACTTGCTGGCTGCTGCTGCTGTCTCTGGTGCTCCCCCAGCGGCCGGCTTGGGAAGCCCCCCCCCCCAAGGTTGGCAGGCTGAGGAGGGGGGGCTGGAAGCTTGGCTGCGGGGCTTAGCCGGGATTTTAGCGGGGAGAAGGGGGGGGAGAAGCTTCCGGGGGCAGCTGGAGAGGCTGGCTGGCCGTGGGGAAGCGCTGCGCAATCGTGCCAGCTAGCCAGAGCTGGTGGGGACAGACCGTCTGGACTGTGCCCTTCCAAGCCAGGGTTGGGGTGGGGGACTCAGAGCTGAACGAAGGGGTATTTTATGCCCCCCCCTCCCCAGCAAGCGAGTGTCGCGTTGCATTCCCACGACAAACGCTGCCCAACAAAGGAGTCACCTTTGGCATACAGGCGACACGCCGCACGGTCAAGACAGGCTGGGACGTGGACAGCGATTGGAAAACTGGGAAGGGGGGGTCCACCACCAGGTGGGAATCATAAGACACCGAACCAGGATTGGGGAGGCAATCTGGATGGAGAAATGAGACAGAGAAAGGGGGGGGGGTTCTTTCTTTTAAAGGTAGTTTTAAAAAGATATTTTTTAGGGTTTTTTTTTTTTTTATAAAGAGAGAGCTTTTAGGTTCTTTGAAAGATGTTGCTTAGATTTATTTTTAAAAACGTGTTTTCTTAAAAAGAATTTTTAAAAGGTTTCTTTAAAAGGCAGGCTTTTTTTTTTAAGATACTCTTTTAGATTTATTTTAAAAAGATACAGGTAATCCCCCAATTTACAACAGTTCAGTTAGTGACCATTCAAACACTGAAAAAAGTGATTGTTTTTCACACTTACAGGCATTGCAGCATCCCCCCCCCCCAAGATCACGTGATCATAATTCAGATGCTTGGCAACTGACTCGTATTTATGATGGTTGCAGAAAGCAGGAGACGCTGAGTTCTAGTTCTGCCTTAAGGCATTAAAGGTGACTTTGGGCCAATCACCAGGTGACTGTGAGTTCTAGTTCTGCCTCAGGCATGAAAGTATCCCCACAATTGCGTGATCAAAATTTGGGTGCTTGGCAACCAGCATATATTTGCAACGTCCTGGGATCATCTGTGATCTTCCCAGCTGCCTTTTGACCAGCAGGGTCAGTGGTTCAAAGCCAGATTTGCTTAACGACGACGTGGTTCACTTAATTGCAGCCCATTGCGAAAAAGGTCATAGAACTGGGCGTGATTCCCTTAGCAACCGCCTTGCTTTAGCAACCAAAGCTCTGAACTCAATTGTGGCCACAACCTGAGGACCAGCTGTATTTGAGAAGCCCAGCCTTATGGATCTGGGGATGAGTAAGGATGAGTAAACCGGGCCGGCTGAACCGATAAAAGCCCAGCACGATGACTCATGAGAGAGTCAACGGACACTCCCTTCTAGGAAAGCCTGTAAGAGCATAGCTCCTCTGTTGTTTTTTTGTTGCCACGGCAACCTGCAACAGGGCCCATCTCGGAAACAGCTGAGATGTCAGCTTGAGATTTTCCCACAATCCTTTGCTCCTGCAGATGCCTGAGCTCTAAGCGCACAGTGCCACCTGTGGGTGCCAGAAGGAAACGCAACTCTACGTCACCAAGGGCCGCTCCGATGCAGATAAGAGATAGCACAGCCCACTGGTGAATAACGGGTGGAAAAAGAGATTTGGAAGACTGCCTAATTTCCTGCGCCATAAAGGAGAATGGGGGAGGATTGTACTTTCAAACACATCATCGTAAACCCCACGACCAGAGAATCCACAAAACATCAGCTCTTTAGGCAACCGACTGCAGAGATCAGAAGGAAATATAAATCTAATTAGTAAGCGATCAGCGAAATAATGAATAAAGAATAAATAAAAGTCATTAAATAAATGAGGTGGGCAAACCACAAGCTAAAGCGATCGAGATGCTTTAAGGCTGGGGAAAAAGAGCAGTGGGATCCAGACAGGGCTTAGAAGCCTCACCCCAGATCTGAGAAAAGCACAAACATCAACGCAGCCGATTCTTCCTTCAGGGATAATAAAATGCAGTTTTACGGGAACAGGCCATCTGATCAAAGGAGGGGAAGAGACAGGCTCCCCACGGCTAATTTGCCAGCAGACACACAAATTATAATCTGGCAGCAAAACCCGCCAGGAAAATTGTGGGTATCAGCGCTGCGTCCGGGTCTGGCCAAGGGAAGGGGCTGGCCTGCAGCCAATTCACACATTACGAGAGGCTGACCTGGGTTGGACCTCTGCTTTTTTGGCAGGAGTCTGCAGACGAGCCCAGGGGTTGTCGTTTTTTGTGGAATGCTTCAATACCCACATCGCTTAGGAGACCAAGAGGGCCCTGGCTGGGGATGATGGGAGGTGCAGTACAAACCAACCTGAAGGAATGGAGCAGGGACTCACTCAGCAACTGCAGTGATTCACTTAAGAACTGGCAAAAAAAAAGTCGTAAAACGGGCAAAACTCACGTAAAAAATGTTTCACTTAGCAACCTAAATTTGGGCCTCAAAAATTCCAGAGTTGAGGGCTCATTGTAATTCCTGTTTGCAAGCTGAGTTCTTCCATGTTGCAAATTGGAATTATCCCGTGTCTAAATTTGGGAGGTGGGGGATTTAGAAATGACATGATAGCATCTTCCAATACTTGAGGGGCTGTCAAAGAGAAGAGGGGTGTCCACCTATTCTCCAACACACCTGAAGGCAGGACAAGAAGCAATGGATAGAAACCAATCAAGGAGAGAAGCAACCTGGAATGAAGGAGAAACTTCCTGACGTTGAGAACAATTAACCAGTGGAACAGCTTGCCACCAGAAGTTGTGGATGCTCCATCACTGGAGATTTTTAAGAGATTGGACAGCCTCTTGTCTGAAATAGTCTAGGGTCTCCTGCTTGAGCAGGGGGTTGGACTAGAAGATCTCCAAGGTCCCTCCCAGCTCTGTTATTCTTATTCTGCAGTAGCTGACGGAACACCCTTCTGGCCAGGATAGATCCCAAAGCCCATGGGGCACTACTGGTGGGCAAGGGAAATTACCTTGACAGCTCTCCTGTTCTCAGCACAGCTGGGATTTTGGCACAGGGGGACGGTCTCCTCTGCTACGGCTGGCTCATCTGGAATTAAAAAGAGAAGCTGAAGACCCCGTTTAACCAGTCTCTGCAGATACAGGGAATCCTCGGCTTATGAACACAAGATCGACAAGAGAAGTGTGTGTGTGTGTTTATGTGCGGGAGAGAGAAAGGCGGAGAGGAAAAAGGAGGAGAGAAGGAGAGAGAGAGAGAGAGAGACAAAGAAAAAGACAAAAGGAGCGAAAGAGGGAGAGAAAGAAAAAAGAGAGACTGAGAGAAGGCAAAGAGAAAAAGAGAAAGAATGAGAGAGAGAAGAAAGAAAAAGAAGAGACAGACAGAAAAGGTGAAGAAAGAGAAAGAAGAAAGAAAGAAAGAAAGAAGGAAAGAAAGAAAGAAAGGAAGGAAGGAAGGAGACATGGGCTGCCCACACTTCAAAATTTTTCTGGCCAGACCCCCCCCTTCAGACAAAGGCCCTCTGTCTCCTTGTCTATCCTCAAGCACTTAGGAACAGCTGCGCTATTGGCCAAACGGCTGAGCAAAATTATTTCTGCCCGACAATCTATTATGAATAATAAGGGAAGTGGAAATAGGCGGTTTTTCAGCCAAGAAAAAGGCCACCGCCGTTTGAGGAAATCCAGTTGCAAGACTGGGATAAATGAGGGAATGTGGGGGGGGGGAGGTAAGGGTCCCTAAATTGTAGCCAACAGACTCTAGCAAAAATCATAAAAACATCTTTGCTTCTAGCAAAAATACATCTTCTGCTGCTTCTCAATATTGTGAAATTTAAAAAAACAAACAAACCGTTGAGGTCATCTAGTCCAGCCCTGTCAGGATATGGGTCACAGTTTATCCACTTGGCATAAAAACAGGTTTTGCATTTCAACCATCCCACAATCTGGATCACATAATTACGCCATTATGCCTTCATCAGAAGAGGAGGAGGAGAATTTGATTTTGCAGAACAGAATCGGCCTCCCAGCTGGGCTGAATGCACGGGGGTGGCCGTCCCGTCCTTTTAATCTTCCCCCTTTCAACGCAGACACAAGCAACAAAAGGAGTTTTGTGATGCCAGCATCTGGAGCGGAGCACAAAGCATACGGATTCTGCGAAATAACAAGAGCTGGGAGAGGCCTTGGACGTCATCTAATATTCTAGTCCGACCCCTTGCTTAGGCAGGACAGATATCTAACATAGCTAAAGAGTGGGTGATATATAGATAGATAGACAGACAGATGGACAAATGGAGAAATAAGACAGAGATTAGATATAGATGATAGATAGTTGATAGATAGATAGTCAGTCAGTCAACTGGAAAAAGAGGTCTAGGGTCACCTGCTTGAGTAGGGGGTTGGACTAGATGATCTCAAGGGTCATTTCCAACTCTGTTATTCTATAATCCCAGATCAATTAATCAGTGGAACAGCTTGGCCTCCAGAATTTGTGGCTGCTCCATCAACTGGAGTCTTTTAAGAAGAGACTGGATAGCCATTTGTCTGAAATGGCCTAGGGTCTCCTGCCCGAGCAGGGGGTTGGACTAGACGACCTCCGAGGTCCCTTCCAACTCTTGCTATTCTGTCATTCTGTAAGGCAGCCCCCTTCCAGCCGTCTCCGTCTGACTTACCCTCCAGATCCTGGGCAATGTTGAGCGTGGAAGTCCAGGAGAAGCGCCCCGCCATGCTCGCCTCCAGGTCCATCAAATCGGGGGGCAGCACCTCCAGTTCATAGGCCCCCCTCTTTTTCCAGTAGAGAAACATCTCGGAACAGCAGGAAAAGAGGCTCCGGAGTTACCCCGAGTTCCTTTCCTCCTTCGCGATCGTCAGAAGCGGCTTTCTTGGCAACTCCTTAGGTGGGTCACCCCCCAAACTGAACCCCCCCCAAAAGAGCTGGTTTTGGGGGGGGGGGACAAGAAGCCCATTCAGCCCCTGCAAAGCCGGTGTTTCTGGGAACTGAGTCGGGCTGGCGAAGAGAAATCCAGCAATGTTCTCCAACTCTTGTCTGGACAAAAGACCCTTTTTCTCTCTTCCTCCTACGGACCTCGGACGGATTTTACCGTCCGTCCGTCATGAAAAGAATCTCCAGCCCAAGACTAGACAGACAGACGGAGGACGGGCGGGTGGGTTAGGGAGAGGACCGGGTGGGGAAGGCAGGCCTGGCTGCCCCCCGCCTCCCCATCCCTGGGGAGGCGAGGGCAAGCCATGTTGGTTCGATGGGAGCTTGCGACACAAGCCCTCCGAAGGCTGGCTGCATGAGCGTGCAAAAGACCTACGAGAAGTAGACGGATCGAGCCAGCATCGGACTAGACACTTCAGAACGATGGGCAAGCCTGAGAAGGGGCAGTCCTCGACTTAACGACCGCCGCAGGGAGAATTCCCATGGCTACATGAGTTGTCGGGGATTCTAGTTCCACCTCAGGCACGAAATCCAGCTGAGTAGCTTTGGGCCAATCACCAGGAGACAGGGAGTTCTAGTTCTGTCTTAGACAGTAAAGGCGGCTAGGTGACTTTGGGCCAATCTCCAGGAGACGGTGAGTTCTAATCCCACCTTAGGCACGAAAGCCAGCTGGGTGACTTTGGGCCAATCCCCGGGAGGCTGTGAGTTCTAGTTCTGTCTCAGGCACGAAAGCCGGCTGGTTGATTTTGGGTCAATCCCCAGAAGACACGATAGGGGTGTCCAGGAGGTTCCCCCCCCCCAAGGAATGAAGCTGGGGTCACCTGACCAAGAGGAGGGCGGAGCATTCTGCAGCCTCTCCAGGCCAGGAATGCTTTGATGGGATTAATTCCTCCAGTTCTGGCTTATTTTCAACCCTCATTTTGCTGTTTCTGCTTAATTTTTGTTTTTCTTTCCTTCGGGCAGACAGTCGGCCACTGGATATAATCCTTTTTCCGATGATGGAGAGAATAAAAAGGATTATAGATTAAATAAACACGCAGCCTGGCTCTATTGTTCTGGGCACCGCAAAGCAACCCACAACCTCGTGGCTTCCTTAACAAGTAGAATTTAGCTGCAGACCGCACTGGCGTGTGTGTGTGTTTGGAAAAAAGTGCAAATCCTGCTAAAATGACAAGGCGCACCACTTTGCTGAAATTCACACTCAGGCACTCCTCGTCCTGAGAGTGGCAAAGTGGGGTTACTTCTTTCTTTTGGGGTGCAAGAATTTAATGTACTTTTTTAACATCTGGAGGGGGGTGTTTGTTTTTGTAAAAAAAAAAATTTTCCCTTTGGGCTTTCGTATTTTAACTTTTTTTTAACATAGAAAATAAGAACTAAAAAACAAACAAAAAAAAAGAAAGAAAATAAGATTTTCATTCTCGATTTCACAGCCTGCGACCGGTTCTCAAAGGGATGTGGAGAATCAGATTAACCCGCCGGGTTTATACAAAATGTTTTAATTTGAGTATCGTGATAAAAATACGCTCGTTGCGGAAGGGAGGAGCCAAATTTTACCAAGGGAATGGCAGGGAATGCCACGCACCGACCAGCTTGCTGGAGGAAAGCCCACTAGGTCCCGGAGACGAATCCTTCCATAGGAGGAATTCACAGGCGACGGTGTTCCCTCCTCTGCAGATGTTTCTTAATTTTTAGTTTCCCAGCACCGGAAACATCGAAGTTGTAATCCGAGGTGACGTAAGGGATCTCCCCACCGGTCCTGGCCTAAAAACAGAGAGGCAGGGAAAGAGTGGAGCAGATGCTGTTATGGGGGGCTAGTCCTCATGAGATGCTTCGAGACGCCGAGAATCCACGAGACAGGTTACCAAATGGTGCTTGGAATAGATGATAGATAGATAGATAGATAAGATACATAATGGATGGATGGATGGACGGATGGAAGGAATAGCCTGCCTCCATAAATTGTGGATGCTCCATCATTGGAAGTTTTTCAAGAAAAGACTGGACAACCGTTTTACCCAGATGATGTAAGATCTCCTGCTTGAGCAGGGGTAGGACTAAATGATCTCCAAGGTCCCTTCAACTATTATTTTATTATTCTCCAAAGCATCCGAGGGAGGCAAGAAGCAACGGATGGAAGCTTACTGAGGAGAGATCCATTTTAGAACTGAGGAAGAATTTCCTGATGGATTTGCTTAACCATCCCAGGAAAAAAGGGTTGTACAATTGGGCACAGCCAACTTAACAATTTCTTTGCTTGGTGATGGAAATTCTGGCCCCAGGTATTAACTGCAGCCATGAGGACCGGCAACTTGATTTTTTAGTGGAGCAAAGCCGACATCACACGACACGCGTTCTCCTCTTCCTCCGGGATCATGTGCTAAGACCAGACTCCCACTCAGGCCTCTTTATAACTCATCCTCCATCTTGGGAGCCGTGCCCCTTTTACAAAACAAGGAGTACACGTAGATTCCTTTGATCTTCTGCGTGGCTGCCCACATTTGAGTTTGAGCTCAAGCCTGCTGGCCGGCTAAGGGAAAAAACTCCTGTTATGCATAACTAAAGCGCAGCGAGGGGATTAAAAGAGATCAGCTCTTTGCTGCCTGTTGACATTTGCAACGGATTGACAAACCGCATTTTTCTCTCTCCGCATCACCTTCAGCGGTCCACCGTCCACTTACTTGGTTCAGAAAGATGCAATTCGGGATGGCGATGTTCCCAATCAGCAAACAGTTCACACGGCGTAAGATCTCCGGAGCCACCGGCGTCAGGATATAGTAAAGCTTGCTGGTCATCTCCACTCCTCGGACGATTCCTATTTTAAAAGAATAACATTTCAGCTTTCAACCTCTGGTTATTTAGCAAAGGATACAGATCCAAAACGGGTCTAAAAAGCAGAGCTGTCCAACTATGGCGATTTTGTAGACTTCAACTCCCAGAATTCCCCCAGCCAGCCATTCAATTTGGGAGTTGAAGTCCACTGGTTCCCAAGATTGGACACCTCCACTCTAAAGAAAAAACAGGATTTAAGGCAGTGCCATTGTTAACTCTGAAGGGCTGCTAAACAAAATGAGGATTACCTGCACAGACTATCCAGTCTCTCCTGCAGGAGAAGAAGATAAAGACTGATGGATGATAGGAGCTCTTTCGTTCATCCAAATAAACATGCAAATTAATGCAAATCAGACCCCTTACCGAAGCCCAGGCAATCGCAGAGGGGGGTCTGCGTCAACACCACAGGACCCTTGGCTTTACACGGGATCTGGTCTGGCAGGTGGCACAGGCCGACCCAGCTGGCATTGAGGGAACACAAGATGTGGGTTGGCTCCACGTCGACATGGATCACCTTCAGGACAACGGCGCTGAAGGGCACCTGGGAGATCCAGAGGAAAAAGAGAGGGGATCAATTTGCTTTTTGTTCTACAGGGACACTGATAGAAGGGAGTATCTATGGAACTGTGGGGTCCTTGGTGCTCTCTGAGCTTGGTGGTTTTCTTGTAGACATTTCATGACCCAACTAGGGAACATCATCAGTGCTAGAAGGGGGGAAGAGGAGGAGAAAGGGAGGAGGAAGAGAAGGACTGTGAGGTCTTTGGTGCTCTCTGAGCTTGATGGTTTTCCTGCAGACGTTTCATTATCAGTGCCGGGCTGTACAGGGATAGACAGGCAGCACGGCCGTCAGAGACATTCCCCATTTCCTCTGCCTGTCAAGGCTGGCAATTCGCCCCAAGCTGAGCCTTACCTGATAGGGCACCAGGCTGGGCAGGGGGAGCACCGCTTCCAGGTCAGGCGGCTGCAGCTGGCCCACGTAGCCCACCATAGTAAGACTTCGCAAGGTGCTGCTGTGTGCTCGCCTGCAAGGACCAACACAGAGGTACATCTGAGACAGAAGCCTCAACTTACAAACAAAATGCAGGCAAAATTCCCGATGCTCAGTTTTTGCCCCATTTTATGACCTTTCTTCCACCGTTGTTAAATGAACTGTTGTAAACTGAGGACTGAGTTGAGGACTTGCGTGTATCACTACGAATTTAATCAAGACAATATCAGAGAAGGAGTGTGGGAAAAAAGGCGAGATCAGAACAGCCGGAGGAAAACGTGTTTAAGGTGTGAATTCTTTTCTTTTTCCGGCTGTGCTTCCCGACTCTCCGCGCCCTGAGCCGGTACCTACCCTTTGCCGGGGACTCCAGCGCCCGGAAATGTTGGCTGGACACGCAGCAACTGATGCCCAGGCTGGGGAGCATGGGAGCCTCGCTGGTTCCGGCAGTGTTCCCAACTTCCGCCGGGATTTTTCCTTTTGAGGGAGGGCTTCCCTCGGGTGTGCAGGCCGGCGGTGCTGCGGATGTAGTCGGCGGAGAGCTGAGGCAGGTCTTTGAAATCCTCGGTGCTCATCTGGACCACGTGGGTGGGCGACAGCAAGCGGATGGTGTCGATCAGGAGCAGCAAGCCGGCCCCTTGGGAGACAGGAGGAGAGGCAAAGGAGGATGGAGTGGGGAGGGCGAGGGGCCGGAATGAACCAGGGCTGTGAGGATCTGCTTTGGGAAGCCCTTGGTGGTTTTCTTCTGGACGTTTCAGGGTCCAAATAGGTAACATCATCAGTGCTAGAAGGGAGGGGGGGTTTGCAGAGAGAAGGAGAGGGAGGAGGACTGCGGGGTCCTTGGGGCTACCTTTCACCCATCCCATGGTGTTGACCAGCAGAGGGACGTCTCTCTCGTAGCCTCCAAAGACGTATTTCAGCGTGTCGAGGTAGCGCTCGGTGTCGTGCTCGCAAGAGTTGTCCCCGTAGAAGGCCATTTTGCGAGGGGGGCGCTGATGAGTGAACGGCGGACCTGAAGCAGAAAGAGAGGCCAGGCCAAAACTGCAGTGGTCCGAAGGCGGAAAGGTTAATGATAAACATTTGGGGGTCTGTGGGGAGATGTGGCACAAAAAGGTGTGGAACATCAGGGGCCCTTCATCTCTCTCTCTCTCTCTCCCTCTCCCATCTGTTTATCAGCTTTCTCTCTCATCTCTCTCTCTCTCTCACACACACACCATCCATCACCCTCCCTTAATAACCAACAGAGATCCTGGATCCCATTGTGGTCTTCAGTCGACGCTGTGGGGCGATCAGTTTTCCCCACCCTCCACCCTCCCCTCTCATTTTTCTCTACTGCTGCAAACATCCCAATGTCAAAAGTTCCTCCGGCTCTGTTTCTTTGCTTTTTCAAAAACTGATTCTTTAAGCTTTTCTTTTTTAAAAAAAGAAAAAAAAATCCTGCAAGGCGCCTACCCAAAACGGGTTCCCGCACGTTAACCAGGGAGATGCAGCCCGGTGGGGTGAACTCCGGCTGTCCCAAATCGCATTCCAAATACTCAAGGCAGGGAAGGCTAGGATTTAAAAAGAGGGAGAGAAACAGTCCAGGAATAATTCAAGAAAAAAAAAAAAACAATACCAAACAAGAGACCAAGCTTAGGAGAACTGGGGGGCGGGGGGGGGGAGGGAAACACTCACCAGTTTAACAAAAGATTCATCAGGTATCTGTTGAACGTTGATTTTCCGATGCTTTTGGGGCCACAAACCAGGATAACTGGGCAACCTTCATCTTCCACTAAAAAGCAAGCAAGAGTACCTGGATGAGATTTTGGGGTGAAGATGCAAGAATTCAGCACAGGGAAGGGAATTTAGAGCACAAGGAGTCCTCGGCTTACAACCGCAATCAGGGGCCAATTTTTTTGTGGCTGAGCGAGAAAGTTGTTAAGTGAGTTTTGCCCCACTTTACGACCTTTTTGACCACTGTGGTTAAGTCAGTGACACGGTTGTTCAGTGAATCTGGCTCCCCCCATTGTCAGAAGGTCACAAAAGGGAGTCCCAGGAGCCTGGGACACCGCAACCGTCATAAATATGAATCAGTTGCCAGGCGTCCTGAATTTTGATCGTATGACCATGGGGATCCTGCGACGGTCGTAAGCGTGAAAAAGGGTCCTGACTCCCTTTTTCCAGTGCTGTTTTAACTCTGAGCAGTCAACTAAATGAATTGTTTGTTAAGTCGAGGACTATCTGTATTATTGTGTAAAAATAAAAAATTGAGGCTGTGCATTATCACATTCTACTGCATCAACAGGAGTTGGAGGTCAATGGGATTTTTTCCCCCCTCTTTCCCCTTTTGCTTCTGTTTTCCTGTTATTTTCTTCATATTTTGATCAACTAATAAAAAATATTTGACTAGAAGAAGGCACCCCTCCCCCCAAAAAAGGTCTGTTCCTCAAGGTGGGGGGGAAACCCCCTCCCCAGTATTCCTGGGCGACTCACCCCGGCAAGCGTGGATCAGCTCGCCAATGGCGGAATGCATGCT